CCAACTGCGCCTCCCTCCTGTACATTTGAACTTGGCGCGCGCCCAGCCTTCAACCTTCCTCTCGACCGTTTCCTCGCTCCCCGATGGAGGCGTGGCCAATCCTGACTCATGTCCTCCCACTGGCAGTGCGCCGCCTGATCCCGATGCCTGGGACTCCTCCCCCCTACTGCACTCTGGTGTGGACGCTGGTCCTGATTTCCAACTGCTGCTCTCTGAGTCCCCTCTGGCCCCTTCTTCCTGGGGTGTCCCCCTCGGCACCCCCTTGCTCTGACCAAGGGAGCCCCTTTCTGTGAATCTTCCGATTCGCTGGAAAGACTCAGAGACCTCGGACCGCTGTCATCGCTAACATTTCCTTCGGACTCCTCCCCCTCGCTCTCTATTTCCTCCCTTTCCTGTGCCTCTGCTCCTGAACCCCTGACAATATCCAAGTGGGTTTTTCATCCAGTTAATGAGATTGACCTTTTAATATTGTTTTCCCAGCTTCCCACTGCTTCATCACATTGCATGTAGATAAGTTTCCAGGGACAATGTTATTATTCTTATTGATACACTTCATAAAGCAGTAGAGTATTAACTGAAATGCCTTTGGTATAGCATCACCCAGGTCTTACAGTTATGCAATCAGTTATTTAATTATATCTTTCTGGGTAGATGAGTTGCACATAGTTACATTTTAGCCTAATATTTTTCCATTTGTATAGGCAAATGATGCCATTTGAGACAGCATCAATTAAAAAAAGCAAGTTTTTGCTAATGACTGTTTACATAACAGCACAGCACAGCACAGGGAGAAGGGGAAAAATATTAGATACAGTGGAAGCCAGCCATGCATGGCAATGCAATAATCCATCAGGCATGTGGGCTTAATAAAAAGCCGGTCAGACTCACATATAGGTCAGACTCATTTTAACATTTCCAAAATCAGAGTCAAGCAGACATGGAGCAAAGATGCTCTCAGAAAGAGCAAAGCATGCTCAGCAATACTTTTCTAAGAATCAGTTTGTAAAAAGATGCACACACTTTCTGTGGGGAATTGCAGTCAAACATAACTGTATATGAGTGATAGTTGATGCATGAAGGGGTTAAGACCGCAGAGTTGCATTGCTAGACTCAGGTTATGCCCCTTTACCTTTGGTGAAGGAGGAAGTGAGGCTTCTTCTTTTCCCTGTCCTCTCTCTTTCTGCCATGTAATTGAGCAGGAAAAACATGTCTGAGCTTGCTCCAAACTCCTGCTTCGTGCTGCACCTGGAAGCACTATCTGTACACTACAAGTGTATTTGAGGGGCTCTATGCACATACCACATACATGCACAGAGTTCCTCCTCACAAGTGGGTAGGTAAAAGGGTAAAGTAAAGGACCCCTGGACAGTTAAGTCCAGTCAAAGGTGACTATGGGGTTGTGGCGCTCATCTCGCTTTCAGGTCAAGGGAGCCGGTGTTTGTCCACAGACAGCTTTCCAGGTCATGTGGCCAGCATGACTAAACTGCTACTGGTGCAACGGAACACCGTGATGGAATCCAGAGTGCATAGAAACGCTGTTTACTTTCCTGCTTCAGGGGTTCCTCTTTATCTACTTGCACTGGCGTGCTTCCAATCCGCTAAATTGGCAGAAGCTGGGACAAAGGAACAGGAGCTCATCCCATTGCGGGGATTCAAACCGCCAACCTTCTGACTGGCAAGCCCAAGAGGCTCTGTGGTTTAGACCACAGCGCCACCTGCTTCTGGGGTATCATGATTGGGCCAGGGCTTCCCTTTCTGTGGAAGACATGAATGCCATAGAGCTTCTTTTGACATACTTCAAAGTAAGAGCCCTGTAATACTTATTTCTGCATCTAAGCTTATTAAACTGAGACCTGAACATTGCAGCAACAGTGTACAGTCAAGCCTCAGCTCCCGAACGCCTCCATTTTGGAATGTTTTGGCTCCCGAATGCTGAAAACCTGGAAGTAAATGCTCCGGTTTTCCAACATTTTTTGGAAGCTGAATGTCCGACGTGGCTTCCGCTTGAGTGCAGGAGGCTCTTGCAGCCAATTGGAAGCCATGCCTTGGTTGTTGAACATTTTGGAAGCCCAACAGGTTTCTAGAATGGATTACGTTCGACAACCGAGGTTTGACTGTATTTTTGTCATCCATCTGTCTTGAGAGACAATGGAGTACACCTCCGGAGGTGGAGTCAAACCACTGTGTTAGCGGCACTGAAGGCAGCTCTCTGGGGAGCAAGTCTGGGCATTGTGTATGGAGGTCCTGGGCTGCCCAGACAAGACTCCCCTCTTGGCCTCGCTGATGTGGTCCAAAGGAAAGCAGAGCAATACATTTGGCACCAGCTTGGCTGCAGGAGGTACTGGAAGGAGGAGTACAAGGCACCATCCAACTGTCTTGGGGTCTCCACTCTAGATTTGTGTAGGGTTTACTCCTTAGCCTTTTCTTTTCCCAAAGGTGTCCCATAAGGCAGTGGAGGTTTAGGGTAAGAGTTTCCCTTCTCCTAGGTGGGCTACCTTCCTAGGTTGACAAGCCCCATCTGACCTTCACTTCCCTCTACAGCATTTGTAAAAACCACCTTCTTAACCATTGGATCCACTATAAGTCTCATCTGCTCAATCCACTAGAGCCAGTCTTCACACGCAGGGGAAATGCCTATCTCATGGAGGGTTTGAGACCCATCGGCTACCCTCACCTGGTTTAGCTGGCCAGTCAAAGCCATTCTTGGGGTGTGGTCAATGTTGCATGGTGACAGCTTCTAGGAGCCAGAGCTGAGTGCAGGGTGGGGATCAAAGATGGACAAACTACTCCACAAAATGGTATAAGTGCAATATATTCTGAACAAAAGGCTAAATTAATTGTAAATAATGTGGTGACGGAAGAATTTAAGATAGAAAAAGGGACATGACAAGGTTGCCCAATCTCCCCATTGCTTTTTATATCGGTCCTGGAGGTTTTGCTGAATATGATTAGAAGGGACCAGTTGGTTAAAGGTATACATGTTGGAGCCAAACAGTACAAATTGAGAGCATTTGCAGATGACTTAGTATTGACGTTACAGGAGCCAGAATCTAGTACCAAAAGGGTTTTAGAACTGATTCAAGAATTTGGTCAGGTTGCAGGATTTAAACTGAATAAGTTAAAAACCAAGGTTTTAGAGAAAACTTAACACCAATTGAGAGAGAGAGGTTTCAGAATGAGACAGGTTTAACAGTGGTTAAGAAAGTTAAATACCTGGGGATTAACATGACAGCAAAAATGGGAATTTATTTAAAGACAACTATGAAAAATGCTGGGCTGAAGTGAAAAAGATTTAGAAATTTGGTCAAATTTGAAGCTTTCACTGCTGGGTCGTATTGCTGCGATAAAAATGAATGTATTGCCTAGAATGTTGTTTTTGTTTCAAACATTGCAAATTGTGGACAAAATGGACTGTTTCAAGAGGTGGCAGAGAGATATTTCTAGATTTGTCTGGCAGGGCAAGAAGCATAGAATAAAATTTAAAATACTAACAGATGCAAAGGAAAGAGGTGGATTTGCCCTGCCAGACTTTAAACTTTACTATGAATCAGCAGCTTTTTGCTGGTTGAAAGAATGGCTGCTTCTTGAAAACACAGACATTTTGGATCTAGAAGGTTTTAACAATGTATTTGGATGGCATGCATATCTGTGGTATGATAAGGTCAAAGCACATAAAGCATTCAAAAACCATATTGTCAGGAAAGCATTGTTTAATGTTTGGATAAGATACAAGGACTTATTGGAAAACAAAACCCCAAGGTGGCTGTCACCGATGGAAGCGAAAGCTCAGAAAAAGCTCAATATGGAGGTCAAATGGCCGAAATATTGGGAAATTTTGGAACAAGATGGAGATAGACTGAAATTGCAGAGTTTTGAGAAATTAAAAAACAAAGTGCGAGACTGGCTTCATTATTATCAGATAATGGAGGCATATAATTTGGACAAGAAAATTGGCTTCCAGGTGGAAAAATCAAAATTAGAAACAGAACTGTTAGAACCCAAAACTAAGATTTTGTCAAAGATGTATAACTTGCTGTTGAAATGGAATACTCAGGATGAAACGGTGAAATCTGCTATGATTAAATGGGCACAAGATGTTGGACATAACATAATGATGGCTGACTGGGAACAGTTATGGACCACAGGTATGAAATTTACGGCATGCAATGCCTTAAGAGAGAATATTATGAAAATGATATACAGGTGGTACATGACCCCAGTCAAGCTTGCAAAAATCTATCATTTGCCCGATAACAAATGTTGGAAATGTAAAGAAACTGAAGGTACATTCTTTCACCACTGGTGGACGTGCCCAAGGATTAAGGCTTTCTGGGAGATGATATATAATGAATTGAAAAAGGTATTTAAATATACCTTCTTGAAGAAACCAGAGGCCTTTCTCCTGGGCATAGTCGGCCAACTGGTGTTAAAGAATGATAGAACTTTCTTTATGTATGCCACAACAGCAGCAAGAATACTTATTGCAAAGTATTGGAAGACACAAGACCTACTCACTCTGGAAGAATGGCAGATGAAGGTGATGGACTACATGGAATTGGCGGAAATGACTGGCAGAATCCAAGACCAGGGAGAAGAGTCGGTGGAAGAAGATTGGAAGAAATTTAAAGACTATTTACAGAAATATTGCAAAATTAATGAATGTTAGAATGATGTTGGAATGAAGCTAGGTGGTTTAAGCAATAATGCCATAAAGGTGTATGTAAAAAAGGATTGATAACAGATGAAAATTTAAAGTTATAGTATATTAAGTTAAAGGATCATGAGAAAACAAAGAGGGAAAGAAATTGCTGACTTAACTAATTGAACTGGAATACAAAAAAGGGAGGTATGAGGAGGTCAGGGAAACAAGGATATGAATGTAAGCTATGGAAAGATTGATCCATTTTCCTTTTTTCCTTTTTAAGTGTCTTTTATTCTTTTATTCTGTATTTTGTATTTTTCTTGTATTTTTACTTCTTGTTTTTGTGTAATTCTTTTTTCCTCTGAAATTTTAATAAATATCATTTTTTTAAAAAAAATAATCTTTCAATTGCAGCTTTGTAAAAAAACAACAACAGAAGGAGCAATATGTGTCTACCCCAAAGCTACTCCTCCTCCTCCCCTAACACCCCAGTATATACACCCCAGTTATAACACTTTCAGGAAGTTGGTCTCCTTTCGTTGCTCTTGCATGTGGAATCAAGACTGCCCTTAATAAATCTGGTACACTCAGAATAGTACCTTTCAATTTCTAACAAGAATCAAGCAATCATTGCTTGTTTATTAAGAGGCGCAAAACTGGACTTCTGCCATTATATATGTTCAATATGGGTAACTGGGCATTAGCGGCAGCTGTGTTAAATAGAGCTGGATAAAGTAGGAGCCTAAAAGTCACACTTCTTAATGTGATGTGTAGGACTTTGGGACTCATTTACTGTGAGATCCCTCAAAGCTGCAGGAGTCAATCTGGGAGCTCAGTGATTCCACTCCAGGCAAAGTAGTACAGTAGACAAGTCCCACTTTTCACATTACAGCAGAAGCTGGGAGAACTGAAGAGGTTGTCATCCATGCCTCATTTTCCTACTCCTATGCACATACTGGCTCAAAGGCAAACCGAAAATGGCTTCGCCTCTCTCTCTCTCTCTCTCTCTCTCTCTCTCTCTCTCTCACACACACACACACACACACACACACACACAGCGAAGGGTAGAATACAGTTCAGTGCACAAATTATGTGATGCAAACCTCAAGAACAAAACAAGTTGCCTGCAGGGAAGCAGCAGCGTTCAGAATTCCTGCAGTTTAATAAAAATGTCACACAATGGGGTAAGTGGACTCGGTCTCTCTTTTACCCTGACCACCTGCTGGAAAAGCAGCTTTGCTTACTGCTTCATTATCCAGGCTGTTGCTTTTGCCAGTATAGGTCTGGTCTGTGTTCTGCAGGACTGCTCTAGTCTGGGGTGGTTTTGTGGTGGTGGTGGTGGTGGGGGAGTAACGTTACTAGGTTTTCCAAGTTCCCTTACTCGGAAGCCCTTTTCTTAAGCAGTGCTGTCATGCCCCTCTTATGTTTTTTGTTTTGGCTTTTAGGCTTATTTCCAAACTGGATTTTTGTGTGTGTGTGTGTGTGTGTGTGTGTGTGTTGCACGTGTTTGACTGCTGAGAGTCTTATCTCAGTACAGTGGTACCTCGGGTTACATGCGCTTCAGGTTACATGCGCTTCAGGTTACAGACTCCGCTAACCCAGAAATAGTGCTTCAGGTTAAGAACTTTGCTTCAGGGTGCGAACAGAAATCGTGCTCCGGCAGCACGGCAGCAGCAGGAGGCCCCATTAGCTAAAGTGGTGCTTCAGGTTAAGAACAGTTTCAGGTTAAGTACGGACCTCCGGAACAAATTAAGTACTCAACCCAAGGTACCACTGTACAAGACTGTCCCTGAAACAGTTGCAGGTGCCAAGGCTAGGTCCTCTTTTGAGGCTTTTGTCCAGCTGTAAGATTTGGGGTTCACCAAGATGCAACCACACAGCTTTAGTTCTAGGAATTGCAATTTTCCCTACAGACTTAAGAGAACTAGATTTTCTTTATTTAGCTACCAGGCTCGGTTCAAGGTGCTGGTATTGGTGTCCAAAGCTTCATTTCAGGGTTTCGCAAATTGGGGTCTCCAGCTGTTTGGGGACTAGAGTTCCCAGCATCCCTACCCACTGGTCCTGCTATCTAGGGGTGATGCGAGTTGTAGTTCAAAAACAGCTGGAGACCCATGTTTGGGAAACCCTACTCTATACCATTTGGAACCAGGATACCTAAAAGATCATCTCATCCAATACATAAGCCCACACATCAGCACTTGATCAGTGCATTTTGCGAGAAGGCATCCTGCAGACACTACCCTATCCAGGAGGTCTGGCATGACGTCAGAGTTGGGCCTTTAATGTGGCAGCACCTCCCCTTTGGAACTTCCTCCCAAAAAAAAGGTAAAGGACTCCTGGACGGTTAAGTCCAGTCAAAGGCAACTATGGAGTTGCGACACTCATTTCGCTTCAGGCTGAGGGAGTCGGTGTTTGTCCACAGACAGCTTTCCAGGTCATGCGGCCAGCATGACTAAACAGCTTCTGGCAAATGGAACACCGTGACGGAATCCAGAGCACAAGGAAACGCCCTTTACCTTCCCGCCGCAGCGGAACCTATTTATCTACTTGCACTTTGATGTGCTTTCAAACTGCTAGGTTGGCAGGAGCTGGGACAGAGCAACGGCAGCTCACGCCGTCATGGAGATTCAAACTGCCAACCTTCTGATCAGCAAGCCCAAGAGGCTCAGTGGTTTAGACCACAGCGCCACCCGCAACCCTTTGGAACTCCCTCCTATTATATATCAGACAGATGCCTTTTTAGCATATGCTAAAGACATTTCTCCTTCAGTAAGCCTTCTTTATTCCAGCTGGTATCAGCATTGAATTGATTTTATTGTGTGAGCTGCTTTAATCTCTCTTTCTGTATGTGCATATGAACTTTTTTAAAAAATTGCTTTTATATGTTTTAACTGCTTTTATCTATGGATCTGTTTTATATGTTTTTATTAAACAGGTGTCGTCCCCCCCACTTATGTGGGAGTTATGTCCCAGGCTTCCGTGCACATAAGTGAAAATCGTGCAAGTGGGGAGCACACTCTAAGCATGTGTTTTTTCCTGCTCTCTCTCTCTCCACACTTGCGTTGAAGCTCTGGGATTGGCTGGAAAATCGCCAGCTGCTGCGCTACCACACGTGTCAGCTACTAGGCAGGGAGGCTGAGCAGCCTAAACAGAACTATGCGGCATCTATTGTCTCTTTGGGGCTTCCTCCACTCTCGCTGAAGTCCTCTTCAGGGTCCAGGGAAGGTCTCCTTATGAGCCACAAGGACTCTCCAACTCTCCCTTGCCATTTCCTGGTTTTTATCTATCTATTCATTTATTTCCCAGCACCGCACGTATATGCAATCACACATGAATATAAGTAGGTGGGCATCTGTATTGTAAATTGCTTTGGGGATGCCTCACAGGAAGAGATCAATTAAATAATTTTATGACAATTTACTCAGCAGTAGCTTGTAAGATACAGGCGAAACACCGTTCCTCTTGAGCTACAAATTAAAATAGGAAATGTACAAAGCACTGCTGTGTTCTAGGGATACTGCAACTGTATGAAGAGGTCACATCGTCTGAACAGAATTCTCTCAGAGAGATGGATACCATTTCTGAAGCTTTGTGTTATGCCATGTCATACCAAATTAACTAAAGGCAGCTTGCTCCAGGGCCAGTCGATTCGCCTGCTTATTGGTGCTCATGCAAATTAAAGGAAAACCAAGACATCCTTCCATGACTAACTGCCTGGTATGAGGATCTGCTGTTCCTGTGGTAGTGCTGCTGTGTTCTCATTTCCACATTGGCTTTAATTAGTATGCATCCAGCTCTCTGCAAATATTGGCATCCCCTTGCTTAAGGGAAGGAAAGGGTAAAAAGAGCAAGCAGCAACTAGCTTATTAGGCAAACAAATCCAGCATGCAGCTAGCTAGCCAGACTGATTATTAGTGGCTTCAAGCTGATGTTTGTTAAAGCGCTACACAATTTAATTGACCCAACTTTGTACTTCTATATTCCAAAATGTTAATATCTATATTGGATTGAAAGGAAGCGGATTCAAGTTAGCTGACTCCTTCTCAGAAACTCATTCCAAGATGCTAATTACAATTGCAGCAAAACCACTATTTTTTAAAATCTCTCATTTATTCCCTTTTTGGGGACCCTTAAGGACAGAGATGTCATTTTTCACTTACTTCAAAAGCTAACTAGGTTCCCCTGAAAACTCAAGCCTTTCCAAATGACTATGCTTTAAATAAAGGTAATGTGTTTTGTAACAAAACCTTGTAAAAATTTAAGTTTGCAGACTACAAAGTTGTACATGAACTGACTGAAGGTTAAGCAGGACACAAAAGTGGTTTTTGCAAACTAAGAGCAAGTTCAGTTTGCAACATTATTTTCTTGGGGGGGACGGGACTAAAATGTAAGCCATTCCTCAATTTTCAGAGTTTGTGACCCATTGAAAAGAGAAAACAGACTCTTAATAAATTATAGACTGCGCTTTATTATAAATAGTATTAAAAGTTAAATATACATAATAGCTTCACAAATGACAATTTAGGTTTAAATGCCTGAAATATAATAAATCAAGGTGGAATGCAGTGAAAAATTGGAAGTAACATTAACACATATCCATGTTTTACTGTAAAGCTGAACCTAAAAGGAATAAGAATTGCCTCTCCCACTGAACTGGTACAGTTAAAATTGCTGCACTCCTTGCAATTAGAATGGGGCAAAATTACTTAAGCAGTTGGGACAGAAAAGTGACCAACTGGATTATGGAAAGGAATGATGGGGGAAACTGGTGGCAGTCTTTTATTTACTGGCACTGGTAAAGAGATATTCTTTCATAACATACCAACCCTAGCTTGGAAGATAAGCTATATGATGAATTTCTCTAAGCGGGAAGCATTACGTATATATTGGCCTACAGTTGCACATATTCTGTTGATACTTTTAAACTTTAGGTGAAAAACCATGTACTTTTAAAAAACGAAGTTCATTTTAAAATGGCTAATGATTCCTCTTCCTCATTAGTTTCCCAACTATAGACACAATCTTCCATCTTAGAAGTGCTGGTATTATGTAATAACTGCTCATTTTGAAGGGGCTTGTGTGGAAGAAGATTAAACTCACAAGCTACCCTAAATTATAGCTTGGGCTACTTCTCCCAATTTATTAGTCTTACTGACTTAATCAGATTCTTCTGAAAAAGCATTTCTGGGACAAGCTTAATGGAAATAACTCTTCCAATTTTTAACAAGAACAAAAAAATGACACGGCATATCATAAAAAATGTTTGGCCTAGTTCAGCCTTCCCCATCCTACTGCCCTCCAGATGTTGTTGGACCAGAGCTCCCATCATCCCTGACCAATGGCCATGCTGGGTGAGGTTGATGGTAGGTTGAGTCTAACATCTGGAAGGCAAGAGGTTGGGAAGGTTAGCCAAGTTCAATCTGATTACACTCAACTGAAGGGACAGCTGCCTTTTGAGTTACAAGCAAAACAATACTTCTCTGAATACAATACTAGGAGACATTCCAGAAAATGCTTTTTTATACTAAAAGGAAAAACCACAGCATCCAGCAAACGTTTGCAAGCACCAACTATCCAAAACCAGCACAGATTTATTTATTTTTTAACCTCAGTATCTTCTGACTTTTCACATCTCTTTGGTTGGCAGTAATAGCTACCTCTCCATCACCTTCTTAGTGGACGTTACAGTTTTGGAAGGAGGATAAGTAATGGATAAGTATTTTTTGCTCCATAAGACACACTTTTTTCCTCCTAAAAAGTAAGGGGAAATGTCTGTGCATCTTATGGAGCGAATTTGTGGTCAATCGCTGGCTCCCTTTCCAGCCCCACCTCCTTGCCCAGGCCTCCGTTGTTGAATGTTCTGCAGACGGAGGCTGTTTGTTTTCCCAGCGACAAGTGACTGGCTGATCAGATTATCTGTCTGGAAATGGCTCCCTTTCCTAAAGAAGCTGCAGAACTGTGAGTTGAACCCCATAAAAACAGGATTTTTTCCCTTTGCAAAGTAAGCTCAATCTGATGGTTCAGGTATGACTCCAACTGCTACACTTGCTGTGTGACCTACATTGACCCCCAAATCATCAGAAATGTGTGGAAAAGGGTGGCACGGACAGATCTTTAGAACCCGAATGCATCAGTTTAGACTTAAGGGATTGGAGACCCAAGGACGAACCTTTAGGGTGCCTTGTACAAATAGGTTGCTTCTTTTTAAAAAAGGATCATATGCTAGACTTGCTCTGGTGCAACAACCTAAGCAACATGACAGCTCATGTTAACTGTTCAAAATGGTGGAGCACCACTACTATAACCAGATGGTGAATAAAAGGGGGAAACATTTCCTTGAAGGAAACAGACTAGCACTTTCTGCTTAAGGAAACAGCTCTGCCTCTAGTCTGCACAAACAATACTTCACTATAAATAACATTCTGAGGATTCAAGTATTAACTCATCTACTCTGCAAAACTGCACAAGTCAGTAGCTTTGAGGGACAAAGGTGTTTCACCGAAGTCTGGCAAAGTGCTGTTTTAACTGTTTGATTAGTTGCTTCGTATCCACGTGCTCTGGAAAAGCTTCTTCTGACTTCTGACTGGCTGCATAACTTCTTTGGATATCTCCAGCCTGCAAAAAAGACACACAGGCCGAAGGACACAAACATGTCATCAATACACTTTTTTACTAGGTTGCTCACACACCCGTCTCTTTAATAAATTCCAACTCCCAAGACACAATCCTGACTTGGCTCCAGTCACTCACACCCTCATTTATTTCCATGGATTGCAGTAATGCATTCAACAGGAGACTGTTTCAGAATGCCAAGAGTTCTGACTTGAGTCAATAGATCAGATCTCAAAACACCACTCTTTTATCTTTTATACAAAGAAGGAGGAAAACGTGTAGAAATGAAATGCCCATAAAAACCAGTGATAAAAAATACTACTGCCTTCCCCAATGCTTCTAATATTGGATATCTTTAGCATACTCAGGAATCAAAGTCTTGTGTCTCTTTTGTAGGAAATGCGTATTTTTTGTGTGTTCTGCAATTTGTTTTTGGCCTCAATTGGCAGTGCTTTAGAGTCCCAAACTTCCTGGGACCAATACATCTCAAGCATATCCACACCCAACATGAGCTTGCCCAAGTACTCTGGATTAACAAAACTTTCAAACAATCTACAAAACACAAGGTACATTTAAGAAAACAACTTGTGAAACCCATCACTGGAAGTTTGAAAATGCTTCCCCAAAACTACAATTTTCATACAGAACTTCCCTTGATAACCTAGAGAAGACCGCACACTTCCTGTGCCTATTGGAGAGAGAACGAAAGCATAAAGCAATGACGTTACCTTATCAGACAGTACAGCAAAATTGAAGTGTGGCTCATACATATGAGGTGCTATCCGTGCAGCAGTCTGCAGAAACACTCTTGCCTGAAGAACAAAAAGCAGACACACAACTGACCTATAGATTTGTCTAGGGCAAGATATTCCTACTTTTCATTTGTTATGCAGTTGGGACAGTCAGAATACAGTGCATTTCAACTAGAGGGCTGGTCGGGTTTGGGTGGCAAAGTTGTAGTTTCTTTAAATTTTGCATACTGTAATCCTTGTGCATAACCACCACTTTACCTGACGTTTAAATAGTTTTATTGCACACTTTATTTTCACATGAAATCATTGTATCCCAGTTTTCCCCTTGCATACTTTGTACCCTATATTTCTCAATCCCTAAGACTCTTTTCTTTATAATGTGACTTTGATTTTCCTTTGATTTATTATGGTTTGCATCCTTCATAAACCAAAATACATTCGCTGGTCTTCTGCTGATGTAGTTTAAATACATTTTCTAAGCTGATCTCTGTCATAACCCTCTCATCCACAGGGGAAATTAAGGTTCCAGTTTCAGACACGGGTCCATCTAGCTCAGTTTAGGTACATGGATTGGCTGCAGGTCCCCATGGTTTCAGACAAAGGTCTTTCCAACCCTGCCTAGAGGTGCTGGGGAATGAACCGGGGACGTTCAGCATACAAAACAGTTCTCTACCACTGATCTACTGCCCATTTCTCAAGCGGGGCTGCTGTAACATTCCACAACATTAGCAACTGTCAGCGTTAGCAGGAGATATGTTATGCAATGTTATATAATTTTATAAAACATTATATGCACCCACACACATGCAGCCTACTCTGAAATTAGCATTACCCCCAAACCCTGCAAATGTGCAGTTCCCCTCCCTATCTGCTCACCCTCCAGCTTTATTCTTGCAGGATGGCGAAGGATTAGAATTGACAAATGTTCTGTCCTTTGAAGTGCTTGGACAGCAGAATTCTTATCTTAGTGTTTCCCGGAGGCTCACGGAAAAACAGACTGTCACAGGAAGACATGAAGGATGATACACTGTGCATATATGCAGTCTGACCCCCAATTCGCACAGCACTCAGTTGCCCAGCCTAAGCGGCAAAGAAATTGCCAGCATTGTGATCTGCTTCTGAGAAACCAGAAGTACAATTTATGAAAGCCACGGATCAAGCAATCATGGGGTGGAATTTGGTGATGGATTTATGTGTTTTTTAATAACTGCTGTCACAGAGCTGCTACTTCAGGATTCTAATCACATCAACTTTGGTTTCTAAGCAGCAAGAGGGAAGTTAATTCAAGGTAACAGCAAGGATGTGCACTGTATGCATGTTTCCTAGAAAACACATGTCTGGAAATAACTTAGAGCAAGGCACCTAACCTTGTTTTAGCCACAATGACTCACAGTCAACCCTCTGAGGCCTGCATGGTAAAGTGAGCATGGCTGGGATAGAAAAGTAGGTGTGGCTGATCTGGAAAATGAATACCTTTAATTTTCTTTCTATCCAAAGTCAGTCTGTTCACTTCCTTAGTCCCTTCCTCAACTCATTTGCATTTTTTAAAAAATGTTTTTTTCTTTATTATGGTTCCTTCAAAGTCCCTCCTCCCCTCGCCAAAATTTCCCCAAATTTGCTTACCAATGAGATTAACAGGTGATGCTGACTTCAATACTTTTATTCCCCTCGATTGTTTCTATTATAACTTCACTTCTATTAATTGCTGGCTGGCTGCACTGTTTGTCCTGCTTCGATGCCTTTGGCAGCACTCGGGAACGATCATTAATCATCAGCTGCTGCAGGCATCACAGTGGGAGGGATAATGCAACCAGCAGTTAATAGAAGTAAATTGAAAGGGCTTTTAAAAAGTAGCACTATTAAGAGCACACCTAGAAGCAGCAACAGGAAATAATCGATTAGACATTTGGGTTTTTTTAAGAAGCCCCAGGGCTTTTCTTCAGCTGGAAATCCCCAGGACTCAGTTCCGGCACCTCTCAGGAGGGCACCATTGCCATTCTAAGAGAACAAGGGAGGTGTTCATGGTGAGTTCCAGAACCTCCTTTGCTAGAAAAAATAGCTCTGAGAAGCCCCAACTAAGTTAAAAAGCAGCAAAACTTATCTAAGGGCACTTGTGAAAGCCCAATGAAGGTAATTAAACATGGAAAATTGTTTTTTTGGGGGGAGGTCTGCAAGCCACCCCAAAATCCCTTGGCAGGCTGTTTGTATGCTGCAGTCCAGCTACCCTTGACTTAGAGGCACTCCTGATTATGAAGAAGAGGTCGTTGCTGAGTGGGGAAAGTGTGGTGATTTCTAAGCTTCAGGAGGTAAACCTCAAGCACATGAACTGCAAATGCACTGAAAGTTTCTTGAACTCAAGTGACAATGGTTTTTTAAACAGCTTGCAACAAGCCACTTCTTCTTTCACTGTTATCATACCTTAAGCTACAAATGAAGCCCAAGCATAGGCCAACTGAATATGGCTCTGTAAAACTGATCTTCATCTATCACTACAAGGAATGCAGGAGTACATTTGAATGTTGCCATGGCAATTGCTAGAATATTTATATAGTAGCCTTGAAAGCAACTTGCTGCTTAGAAACAGAGATCTAAGGACTGCATGTTGTACTGTAGCTTATCTGCTGAAAATTTAAACCCCCCCAAAACACTTTCACTATTCAATTAAGAAATTCATCAATCTTGTTCACAGTCAACCAAATGGCAAGTCGAAGGCACACTCTATTGATGACATTTTCAGAAAGGTGCATGCAATTTGAGTAATGACAGATACAGTGGTCCCTTGGGTTAAGAACTCAATTCGTTTTGGAGGTCCGTTCTGAACCTGAAACTTTTCTTAACCACTTTAGCTAATGGTGCCTCCCGCTGCTGCCACGCAATTTCTGTACTCATCCTGAAGCAAAGTTCTTAACCCGAGGTACTATTTCTGGGTTAGTGCAACAATCAAATGGTGCAAGATCCCACTGCATTTCTATTGTTGCTCTCTACCAACAAATATAGTCCACTTTGAATGCTCATTTTCAGGGTGGTGTTTATGGTCTTTTCATCTCGGTCTTCAGATCTGTTTCCTAGCTTTAGAATTCTCAAACAGTGCATGCTGCAAGAATGCTGTAGATAAACCTGTGCTTGTTTCCAGCCAGGTTCTTACAATGGAACTTTTATTTTGCATCTGTCTGTCTCAGGAAACAATGGAACAGTGCGCCATTGTGAGTAAAGTCAAACTGTTGGAGAGTTACAGAGCCTGCTGTGGTTGTAGTGACCAATACGTGAGAGACATTGCATTACTGCAGGTGGGGCAAATGAAGCCGTCGGTTTCACTGTTACAGAGGAACCATGGCATTTGGTGTAGTGGTTAAGAGCAGTGGACTTGTAATCTGGTGAACCGGGTTCAATTCCCTGCTCCTCCACATGCAGCTGCTGGGTGACCTTGGGCTAGTCACACTTCTCTGAAGTCTCTCAGCCCCACTCACCTCACAGAGTGTTTGTTGTGGGGGAGGAAGGGAAAGGAGATTGTTAGCCGCTTTGAGACTCCTTAGGGTAGTGATAAAGCGGGATATCAAATTCAAACTACTCCTCTTCTTCTTCTTCTTCTTCTTCTTCTTCTTCTTCTCTGTGCTCCTCCCAGCAGTCATGTCTCCTCTGGTCACTGCTGTGGATAAACCACCTGTCTGTCTCTAGGCCCTGTGATTGTCTGCAAGGGATTCCTACACAGCAGGGTTAATGTTGCCAGTCTTCATGTCGTATCTGCAGGCATCTCTGTGACACAGAATTCGTCTGCCAACAAGCCTGGTGTCTGAAGCCAGTTTCCCGTAAAGCAAATCCTTGGGGATCCTGCCATCTTCCATTCTGTATACACAAACAAGCCAGCATAGATGTCACTGAGATAGAAGTGTGAACATGCTGGGCATGTGGGCTTGGGAGAGTACATATTTGTTTGAGACTCTGTCCTGCCATATGATGCCCCAAATCTTTCTGACACAGTGCATATGGAAGGCATTGAGGTGTTGCTCCTGGTGGGTGTACGTTGCCCGTGTCTCACTTCCTTCTTACAATGGAGATTACACATCAGAATATGAAATCACCCCTTCATTCATCTCAAGCAACAACTACCCTGAAACAATATGTAAGCTACTGTTTTCCTTTAGAGCAGAATACCAACCTGCTCTACGCGGCCTTTCTGCATCTCCAGCACAGCCAAGTTATTGTAAGCTTCTGCATGGTCGTTGTTGTTGGCCAAGGTAAGTTTGAAGCACTGATAAGCCAAGCTTATATCTCCTATTCCCTGAGAAGGAAAAGCCAAAAATACATAATTAAAAAAAAAAAAAAAGGTGCCATCGTTGTCACCCTTTAGCGTAACCAAGAAACAGAAGCAACAGAAGGACTATGTATGTAGCTCAAATTGCTTAGAACCTGGAACAGTACCCGAACCACTTTATTTTCCCTTATTTCCTTGGGAGACCACAACGTGAGAAAACCTGCTCAGACACAAGTTGAGCCAGCCTCCTTCCCCCACAGAGATCTTGCTTGGTGAGGGGGTGGTGTGTGTATACACATATGAGCTCATACGTCATCATGCCTGGCATATTCCACTAACCATTTTGTTATGCTCTAGAGGAGGAGTAAGGATGTGGTTGGACTATAACTCTCATCATCCCTGATATCAGGATTTAAACCAGGGAAATTCTGAATGCAAAACACTTTTACTACCGCTGAGCTCTGGTCCTTGGCTACATGCAAACTCTAGGCTTACAGACCGTATGCTGCTGAATCCCACAATTGCTCCCAGCGACTGGCAGAGGGCACTGATTTATGTGTGTGGTGTGTATGCATCTCAATCAATTATTGCACATCTGTTAATACACAGAGATGTGGACAACGTAAAGAGGAAGTCTTTTGAAGTTACTCTGGCATAGCATTGTACTGCATTAGGTTGATTCAGAGCCAGGCTTTAATACCAGAGCAGTTTTTAATGCTACGATTGCAGCATAGGAAACAGTGTGCCCTTGAAAGGTGCGTGCAGGGTGTTTTGCCACAGAGGAACAAAAGCTTGTCCAGAAATACTTTGATATGGCTTGGGCTGGGGGACTTTTAAGAGCAAAGGACAGCTTTAAGCAGCCTTCTGCAGTGCCTTTATCTATTTCTGCTGCAATTCCCTCCTATTTCCTTTCCTGCCTTCCCCAACGTTCACATTGATTCTGCTATGTAGAAAGCAAAAGCACTCCTCCTTGCATCCTTTCGATCTTCAAAACTAGGTCTGTATCCCTAATCCAAGAAGAAACTGGGCAGTGTTATTGACTTGCAAATAGCTTTCTAGGATAACGTTTCATTATTCCCATACAAATGTTTCAATGAAGTATTCTTAACTAGTACTGGCTCTTACCACAGCTACATGTCCCAAGTTGTACCACACATCTGCAGCCTCCTCCTCGCTTTCAGCAAGAGAGAGGGCACGTTCAAAGGAGCTGAGAATCATGTCATACTGCTGGGCATAGAAACAACAGAGGCCCAGGTTGTTGAAGAGCTGGCTGTTATAAATACCCATCTGCAGGAGCCGTCTAGTTCAAGAGGGGAAAGAAATGTTTTTATTTTGTAGTATGGATTATGAAAGCAACTTATATATTGCATGAACACTACTCACATAATTTTTAGGAAAAAAGAAGGTATAAATAGTAATTTGACCCTTTGCTGTGGCATGATTTCTTTCCACACTACTCAGCGACACCAGAAAACCAAAACCTCACGGGAGAAACACAGCCAGCGGTTCTTCCCACACTATTGCCAACCCTCCTGAAAAAACTTCATCAGAGAAGATAGTGAGAAAGAACGGCAATATGGGACTCTTCCCAGCTGGCATGGAGTCCACCTGTACCTCTACTGACAGTGATGGGTATTGGAGCATGCCCAGATTACACACCTGCTACTTCAGAGGGAGTTCATCTCCACCCAGAAGAGGCAGCTTCCCAAATTCCCAGACAAGGAAATAGCCTATCCACAGGGCCTCTGTCTTGGTCAAGAGTCAAATTCAGCATTCTCAGCAGCTTCAACACCCACTTTCTAATATAGAAAGCTGGCCTTAAAATGATCGAGTGTCACTATTGTAAAATTTATATTAAAATGGGTGAAATTATTATTTGGCACTCATGTATTTCTCCCCCCCCCCCCAAACCCTCTTATCTCCCAAAAGCAAAACAATTTGATGGGACTTTTCTAAATACTGTTCAGCCATCATCATCATCTCCCATGAGGAGCACCTCTAAGTAGAACAGTCAAACAATGCAACCCCAGAAAGCACTTCTGTTGTCATAAAGTCTGGCATTTCATCAGGTCCAAAACATTTCTAATGGCATAACTTTTCAAATACCAAATATACCTTTGCAATATCTAGAAAGTAAAGGGTAAAAAAAGCATTCCCCTTTGTTTCTGGGTTTCTGCGGAGGCTCATTCTGTCCAGCACTCAAGCACACACCTCTTTGAAATTTTATTTATTTACCATTTAAAATTATATCTCATCTTTCTGCCAAAGAGCTTTCATCAGACAACAAAGCCACCCTTTGTTCTGTGGAGTCATAATTGCTACAAATGGCTCACAGAAACTGCTGGGGAAAGCCCAGAAAAGGAACTCAAGTGCATTATTTAGGCAGAAAATCTATGTTCCGGATAAGAGGAAAAACAATTTTAACATTGAGAACATTCAGAACACTTAACAGAAAAAGGAACACAAATGTTTGCCACAGCCTTCGGGGATATGTGGTGAATTAATGGGCTGTATACTACAGGCAGGTAGAACTAATAAGAGCAGCTCAGAAATAAGGGACTAATTCTTCTAGTACATTTTGGAGAAAAGGTTGCATAGAAACCTATCGGGGATGCTTTATACAAACAGGGCTACAGATTCTACACAGGTTCCTTCTAGGGCTATCACAATAGGATTCTTGCAAAGATATCATTTAGTTGGCCATGCCCCCATCCCCAGATCTACACCAGCCATTAGTTTTCCTTTTCAGCTGACATAAGACTTGAATAAATGTACATGCACATCCTACCTGTAAAAACGCAATGCTATCTCCGGCTGGTCAGAATAAAAGTGATTACTTCCAATGCATGCAATGGCTTCCACATGGGTGTTGTCTTGTTTTAAGACATCTTTATAGCACTCTGCAGCAGCAGAAATGTTGTTCATTTCCTACAGATGGGAGCATTGACACATTGTAAGAGTAGCTTTGATATATACATAAAACTATAAACAGTAATATTTCAAATAATAAGCAGAGACAAAACGGAACAGAGATTATACAAGTTTTATTAGACAGTATACAGCACCCCAAGTTTATATGCCTTCTTGCAAATTGCCTCTTCTCCACCTACCTCTTTATTGCCAAAAAGCAACTATACTGCAGAACGATAATTTTAAATAGCACTCCATATGTTTTCTCCAAGCCTACTCACAGTAAGTAGGCATGCTATTGGGTTTCTCCTGCTATTTATAGGCTGCAACAAGGTAAACAGTACTGCATAGTAGCATCAGTTTCCTATAGCATGGAAACACACTCTTCTGATTGACAGAGTAGGTTAGGTAAACAATCATGGACAAAAGTTTTTTTAAGGGCCACTTAAAAGCTTGGTTGTTAAAGTGTAAGGCACTGGCAAGCCTCCCTGGGGCTACAAGCCCACTTACCTTGATGTAAGTGCCATTGAACTTAATGGTGCTTACTTCTGAGTAGACACATTCACATTAGAGTGGTTGATCAAAGGCCAAGCTACTCTCCCAGTCCTCTGCTATTAGAGCAATTCCACAGAAAAGGGACAACAAAAAGTACAATGTGGAATGTTCACGATATAGCTGCCCTGAGCTTTTTCTTTTTAAAGGAATTGTAAACAAAACAACATTTCAAATTCTTTCTGGAACAATGTTGCAGCAAATGTTAGATGGTAGTTGTTAAACAACTGTTCTCTGCATAAATATATAATAGGGCCTAGCAAAGTGAAGACAAAGTTACACATCAGACAAAACTACAAAACTCTTGAAAAATCTTGAATTCAAAAACATCTGTATCTTCATTATAAAATTAGCATTGCAAACCCTTTAATAGCATTAACAGGCTTTCATCTTAAAAAGAGATGCATTGCATTCCACCCATCTACTATGTTTTATATTGCTGAATGATCCTCCTCCCTCTCTAGCTCCTGTTATGTTACAAGTTGGCAAATAACTGTTTTCAAGATAGTGGCTACCTTTTTTTAGTTTACCTTGAGCTATTCTGTTTATTATGTGTGGATTGTTTATTCAGAAATAAGTCTCCAGTAACTCTTTTTTAGAATAGTAACCTTAATTACTATTTCCCGCCCCGACCTGGCCACAGTGATCCATGCGACCATCGCCTCCAGGCTTGACTACTGTAATTCGCTCTATGCAGGGCTGCCCTTGAAGCTGTCCCAGAAACTCCAGCGGGTGCACAATGCTGCAGCGAGGCTCCTCATGGGGTCTCTGCCATGGGAGCATATTCACCCAGTGCTTTTCAAACTGCACTGGCTCCCAGTAGAGTACAGGGTCAGATTTAAGGTGCTGCTTTTGACCTTTAAAGCCCTGCACGGCCTAGGACCCTCGTACCTACAGGACCGCCTCTCCTGGTATGCCCCACGGAGAGCCTCAAGGTCCATAAATAGCAACACCCTAGTGGTCCTGGGCCCTAAGGAAGTTAGATTAGCTTCAACCAGAGCCAGGGCCTTTTCAACACTGGCTCCAGCCCGGTGGAACACTCTGCCTCATGAGACCAGGACCCTGCAGGATCTGATTTCTTTCCACAGGGCCTGTAAGACAGAGTTGTTCCGCCTGGCCTTTGGCTTGGAGCCAATTTGATTCCCTCCCCCTCTTTCTTTTTTCTTTTTCCTTTCTCCTCCTGTGATGAGACTGCATTTTAATATTTTAATGTTTCAATATTTTAATTGTTGTATTTTAATCTTGTTTTTAAGTTGTATTCACTCAACTTGTTTATCTTTTGTGAACTCCTTCATTGAATGTTATATTCTGTAAGCTCCTTCAAGGATATGGGGAAAGTATTTTGTACATATTTATATAAATAAATACTGAAAAATATACACTCTGCTGAAAGTGAAGTGAAGTGATTTACTGCAGGAATTCTTACTAGCATAAATGAATCCCCAAATGACAAATACTGATTAACTCAGTATCGGTCTATGAAAAGTCCTTCTGACAGGTTCTTTGCCCGCTCAGACGTTTGTTTCTTCTGTTTGAAGTGAACAACAAATGCTAGAGGAAGACAGAGGACTACAAGGTCAATATCAGGCAATGCCTCACTGGACTAAATGCAGATTTGCCTTTGAAGTTGTTTGAAGCTAGAAAGACAATTGCAACAGAACTCAGAAGGGGTGTGCACTGAATGCAAAAAAGCCCCAGGTTCAATCTATACCATCTTCCAGTCTGAAAATGTGGAGAACCACTTCTTGCCAGTGTAAAACACTTCAGAGTGAGATGGATCAGTGACTTGACTTTCTGTATCATAAAGCTTTCTATGTTCCTATATTCCAGAATAAGACTACAATAATGGGTAGGCTGATCGCCGAAGAATTGATGCTTTTGAATTATGGTGCTGGAGGAGACTCTTGAGAGTCCCATGGACTGCAAGAAGATCAAACGCATCCATTCTTAAGGAAATTAGCCCTGAGGGCTCACTGGAAGGACAGATCGTGAAGCTGAGGCTCCAATACTTTGGCCACCTCATGAGAAGAGAAGACTCCCTGGAAAAGACCCTGATGTTGGGAAAGATGGAGGGCACAAGGAGAAGGGGACGACAGAGGACGAGATGGTTGGACAGTGTTCTCGAAGCTACAAACATGAGTCTGACCAAACTGCGGGAGACAGTGGAAGACAGAAGTGCCTGGCGTGCTCTGGTCCATGGGGTCACGAAGAGTCGGACATGACTAAACGACTAAACAACAACAACAACAACAACAACAATGGGTGGGCTTGGTTCAAGCTTCCCACGTCAAGCACTGAATAATGTGACTTGCATTACAACATGCTGGAAATTAGTGCAGTGAATTTTTGAGGACAAAAATGGGCACGCTGAACACTTATCTTTGTTTAATAATAATAATAATAATAATAATTTATACCCCACCCATCTGGCTGGGTTTCCCCAGCCACTCTGTGTGGCTTTCAACGAAGCATTAAAACAGAATAAAACTTCAAACATTAGAAACTTCCCTAAACAGGGCTGCCTTCAGATGTCTTCTAAAAGTCAGATAGTTGTTTATTTCTTTGACATCTGATGGGAGGGCGTTCCACAGGGCGGGCGCCACTACTGAGAAGGCCCTCTGCCTGGTTCCCTGTAACTTTGCTTCGTTTACAATAGAAACTTGTTTTACATACCTCGTGGATCCTGGCAATACCACAAATGAGGGAGACTTCTCCAGGAAACCGATCTAATCCTTGCTTGAAAACATTTAAAGCTGTCAGAGGCTGGTCTAAGCGGGAATACACCTGAGCAAATAAATGATGGGTGCATCTGCATCAATGGCTAGAATGATTCTAACATCTGACAAGTAGCTGTTTGTGGTATAGGTGCTACATAAAAGTCTCTGAACAAGGCAGCATCAAGGTATAATATGAAAGGGTGGGAAACTGCCTCTGTGCACTTTCCAGGACTCAACTCAGTTGTATGCCAGAGAGTCATAGCTCCATTCTCAGTTAAGACCTACATAGTGGGAAAAACTCAAGGCTGCCAGGAAAAACACCAAGTTTCCCTCTGCTTGGGCCCTAACAGATTTAGCTAGAGGAATACGCATATAACCTGTTATGCAGGTGAACTCAATACCCAACCAATTTCTTCAAGCTGCACAGTGTAAATACATTGTTTTGTGAGAGCAAAACCTGTTGAGGTCACGCATACCAGTGAAATAACATGATAAAATATGTACTGCTGACATGGCATACAGAAGAACAGAAAGTCAGCTGTCACTGGTGTTCTCATTAAATGAAATAGGCAATAAAGCAAGAGCACAAAGTGGTACAAACAGTACCCAACTCTTTTTGCGAGGAAACAAATTACTATGACTACAATAGCAAATCCTCCCAAATTTTGCACTGAACCACAACCGTCTCCTTTGAAAAGGCACCTTCAGCAAGAATTATGTGACTAACAGGATACAGAACAGCTTGAAAATGTGTCTTCATAAAAAGCAATAGAAATAAGAACACCAGGATCACTGCATTCATTTGCCAACTACTCCCTACTGTCTCTTCTATTGACAAACAGAAGTAATTGCTTCCTGGAGAGAAGGAATAAATGAGATTGGCTAGGTTCATTTTTATTAAAAGGCATGCTGGACTCTGACCATCTCAAATTGATATTACCAATAAAGGAGGTCATTTTAAGCAGTTTAACCACAACAAGCTACTCTCAGAAACACTCATTTCTATACGTCAGTCTTATATTGCATCTAAAGCAGTCTTCACTGTAAATTTCTGTCTGTTTATAGGCTATATAGCAGCTCCCAAAGGATTAATCCCAGCAATACCTGCATTAAAAAGTTTTTTTAAATGTCTGCATTGTGCTTGTCTTGTTTCTTCTCAGTTCTTTAACACCCGAACCCATTTCTCTTTCAACAGCTTTCCATAATTGCTCCCCTTGATATAAACACATTCAGCGACAGATTTACATATAAAGGAAGATTACATGGTACCTTGTTAATTCTGAAAAGCAACATATTGGGGGGAGGAGAGGAGAAAGGAGAAAGGGAGAGATGGGGGTTTCACACAGCTAGAGAAGTTTCAGTTGAAGCCACACATAACTAAGCAAGCAATTCAATTGTTCTGTCCCTTCAGTGGTGCGCACCACTAAAGGCGAAAAGCCAGCTCTGCTTTTATCCACAATATTGTACATATAGCTAATTAGATATGCAGGTTTTTGCATAAATAGGGTAGGGGGATGACAATACATGTGATGGACAAGGAAATCAGTGCAAGTTTGCTACTTGCAGCACCAAGGAGTATTACAGAAACCAGAATTGCGGTAAGAGTGATGGCTTAAGAGTTATTAAGCCTAGAGAGTTATTAAAACTAACCAAATGCATGCAGCTAAAAAGAAAGGAGATCTAGAAAACTGCATTAGTAACTGGAAAACAAAGCCAAACAATTTTATTAACAAGAACAGATAAAATCCTTGACCAACCTGTAAAAAGGTTAAAATATTAATATTTTGAAAACATTCAAATTCAAGGGCCTCAGCACTGCTGTCACCGCACTTCCAGGTTACAGTTTCAAACTTTTAATCTGAAATGATTAATTTTTTCATTGTAAAGTCCAACTTACTTTTGCCAAATACAGTACTGTATCTACCATATCCTGTTGTCTCAAAGCGGATTTAAATTGTGTTTCTGCTTCACGATATAATCCTAGTCTGAGGAAAAATGCAATAAAAGGTATGACAAAACTGTAGAAACATGGCAGGGGAGAGATTACATTTTTATAAATATTCTAAATTAAAAAGCACCATCAATGTGGAAAAATATGGGGGAAATAGGACATTGGAAATTAAAATTTTAGTCTTCTCCACCTCCCCTTGAATTGATCTTGCTAAACCCTGTCAAAAGAAGTAGATAGCCCATGGCAGGGGAACAAGAAACTCCCAGCCTGTCTTCTTCTGCTTGGATTGAACTAAATAGATGGGAAAGCTGGACAGGGATAAGGAAAGGGTTTACAGGTGTGGACCAGGCCTCTGTTATGTCCTATGGCAGGGACAGGCAATGTGGTGCCCTCTAGATGTTGCTGGGATACAACTCCAATCATCTCTCATCATTTGCCAAGCATACTGGGGCTGATGAGAGCTGGAGTCCGACAATACCCATGCTGGCTATCCCTGCCCTATGGGGATCTCTCTCTGGGACATCCACTGGGTTGAGCAGACTGGACTGAGCCCCAGGTTTAAGAACAGGTGAGATGTTTTACCTGTAATAACATTTCCCAATTTGAACTTTCCACCACCAGTCCTTGAACTGAGCGTGTTGCGTGCCATATGCTGCCAAATCTAAAGCCTTAAAAAACAAAACACTTATGAGATTTAAACACACACACACACACGGATTAGTAACGTGTAAAAAAATAAAAGAAAAAAGATTAAAGCAAAGAATACAACACAATAGAAAAATACTGGGTTTTGACTGTTTTTAAAATGCGCTATTAGGTGAAAACCAGAAAGGAAAGTAATAACCTTATCAGTTTTAAGGACTTGCAGAATTAACAGAGGTGTTTTATAAATGCATTAAAAAAACCTCTCAAAGCCAAAAAATGTAATTAATAGCTAAGGTGCTACAGCACGACTCTTCCTCATCTCAAGTATTATCTGCTTTTAATTGGATCAACACTTTCAGGGCTTGCAGATTTAATACAAAAAAATGTGCAAGTTCCCCAAAGCCATACTAGCCTGCTTATAAAGCTGGAGACTGAGGGAGTAGAGTTTAGAGAGCTGTAAAAAAGGCAGTAGCAGCCAGCTAATCATTAAATTCTTCACCATTGAACAGTATTTTGAAACACTGGCTGCCACACAGAGGGGAGCTTTGTCAAGCGTACACAGATCTCACAATGTGCATTCTGTATGTGCAATAGCATTTCCCTAACACGCTTTTGTATCATACCCAGTTTTTCAACAATCAGCAGTTTCAAGGGGGAAATCTGGGGCTGGGGGCTCTATTAAGAAGGAAATTCTTTAAAAGATTTAAGACCCCTGGTTCTTCCCAGTCTTGGTTAAACTGACATAATTGTTGGAGAAAGGGAACTTGGAATGTTTTAATTTAAATCACATATACTCCTCCTATTCCTAAGCCATTTAGATGCAGAAAAGTTCCACTCCAGAAAAACTGTCTTAATTCGGCAATGCACATGCATCAGCTCATGTGCCCATCATTCTTTATTAGACTCTTTTCCCCTCCAGCAGTTTCCTGCAAATATACACGCAAGCTTTTTTTCTTTCATTCATTCCTTCTAGCTGGAAAGACAGCTTGTAGCTTGGAGGGGAAAAGTGCTGGAGGAAACAAAGCCTCAAACAAGCAGTACATTTGTGTTGCTTGCATATGTGTAAAGCGCCTTGCCCAGAACGGGTTGTTACGGTGCATAGAACATACATGGACATATCAAAAATGAAAGCATTGTTTATCTCAACTAGAGGGAATTCTGTGATGATTTATATGGCTAGTATACTTCTGCTCTGAAAACAATAATTTATCAAAGTATGGATGTAACTGGTGAAAAACCTGGTACGTCACATGATGGGAGGTGCTGAAATAAGCAACAATCTTCATACTCATGGTACTGATAGAGAAAAGCCACTAAAGAGTGAATGTATCTAGGCCCAGGAAGCTGGGTGACCTTGGGGCCAATCATGCACTTAGCCAAACCTACCTCACAGGGTTATTGTGGGGATTAAATGAGGATGAGAACGGAAAATAACATAGTGCAACTGACTTGCGAGGTGGTGTGTTGTGCGATAAGCACACAGAGTGCAATGAGATTGAGTGTTTGCGGGGGGAGGCTTGGTTAATTTCACTGTACACAGGCTGTACATTGACAATAAAGGTATTTTTATTGTTGTTGTTGTTGTTAATGCCACGTTGTGCTCCTTGGAAGAAAGGTGGGATATAAATGCAATAAATAAATTTAAAACAAGCGGCCTTCTTGAGTTGTGAGTTTAGTTTATCTTTTGCCTTTCCAGAAGTTGCAACTTTGCCCCACTTAAAACTCCTGTATACCAGTTGAAGAAAATTCTACTTCTATCTCATACTCAAAAGTAACATTTCAACTGAAAAGAGCCCTTTAAGTTAGAAATAAATAAGACTTACGTTCTTGACATCATTCTCATGGTGAAAAATGTATTCAAACAATGCCTGTAAGGAGAACAATTTGCAATATTCTGTCAAATTGAAGAAAAAGAACAAAAGCTATTTGCAATTAAACAAAGCAAGCACTCAAGTTGTCCGTTTAAAAGTCACAAACATATTTTATACAAACTGTTTTATGCAATAAGGAGTTTACATTGTGAAAGCCAGCACATGTCAGGGAAGTATTCTTAATTTTACATCTGAACCAGGGGAGTTTTTCATTATACTGGATGACAGTGAAAGATCCCTGAACACTTCTACACATGTACCTGGGGCACGGGGTGTATATGTGACACCAACCTCCTCCCAAATTGCGAATAATGACCCCCTCCCTAGTACTCTTCCTAAATGTTCTCCAAAAATGGAGGCAAGGCCCCCTCTGACCATCCTGAAATATTGAGCACCATTTAAACGTGGAAGGCTTCTTTTCATCAGACTCATAGCGGTCAACGTTTCCCTTTTTTTATGGGAAATTCCCTTATTCCGAATAGGATTCCTCGCAAGAAAAGGGAAAAGTTGACAGCTATGATCAGACTGCAGGAAATATCAAAGATGGCCTCTAACCCTAGCATCCTTCTAATACCAGCATCACCTCAGGAGGTTGCTCTCCCAGGAAAAGGGATGATTTCAAGACACACGGGATGTCTTGGTTTAGTTCTTCACTTCTCCTAGTGGTGAAAGAAATGTGATAGGGACATGAGAAAGTGTGTCCCACGGCTCTTCTAGGGGAAAACCCTCTGGGAATGGGAAAGATCTGAATAGACTGTAGCAGCAAACAAATGAGTGGTGACTTCCAGCTCCTTTATGACATTTCCCTCAATGCTGAGCGAGTCACTTAACCCTGCCCTGCCTTCCAGCACTTTTCAAGTCCCCAAAGGGAAAGTATGAGCAATGAAAATTTGCATGGTATCTTAAATGGGATTGAGACACATCTTGGTGGCATCAGGATGGGGAGATAATGGACAAATTTGCCTTTTTTGTTGGCTTTTAGCTTCCTCGAATATCAATTATGTAACACACATTTTAAAAAGACCTTTATTTTAATGAGCAGGGAGATAGCGCAAATGTACTACAGCTACCACCCTGAAATCAAATTGAAAAAATCCCATGCAACGAGAATTTTTAGATCAGCAGCACATATGTAAGTTTGTGCTCTGAGCCAAAGATTTGCACTGCTTTATCGTCTTGCATGTATGCTTAAAAACCCATTAGCTAAGGTTATCATCATCTTTTCAACTTAGCAAGTGGCCTACTTTCATCAAATTATGGCTTTTGTAGGAAATGCCTACATTAAACGGTTAGAATGGTGTTTTCTGGCTAATGCAAGAAATAAGAGAGTATAAATATTCTTAACCATATAAATTACCTAAAACAAAATTGCACCTCATTACCGCTTACTCACATTTGGATTAGAAGTATGGGTTCTACATCTCTGAAAAATTCTTAACTATAACATCACTGTACTTTCTGGTGTAATATATAATGAAAGCATTAATTTTGTTTTCAATGGGCTATTTGTGTAAATCTGGAAGCTGCAGTCCACCATATGTTGTTAGACAACAGCCCCCATCAGTTCCAGTCAGCACAGTCAATGGTCAGTGATCCCTGGAGCTGTAGTCTCAACCTCTGGAGAACCACAAGCTCCCCAACTCTGGTATAAATTCTTAAAGGTTCTTTTCAATACCAGACTCTTCCAACAGAAGAATAGAAAGTATTCTTTTAACCCTTTATTGCCACTGTATGGCCAAGCAAACAAGGCTAACTATGACTGGTCTTTGGCTACTTGGTCTTCCTCTGGCGTAATATTTAACTACAACCAAGCAACCTTTAGCAGACTCTGGCACTACATGTTCCTTTCTACCACACCCATTCTGGTTAAGCACTGGGGCCACTCAGACATTGTTTGGCATGAAGGGAATGAGCAGGTACAAGTCTCAGGTTTGCTGCTCCTTTTTCCCCTTCAGCACCAAGATGAAAAGTTTCTGATTGAAGTTTGCAGCATATCATAGTTTACTGGCTTCAGACACAACACCAAGCTATGAGAGCCCCAGGTATAGAGCGGTATGTAAATTTAATTAATAATAATGATGATGGCTGCCACAAGCCATAAATAGAAACTTCTAATTTCAAGGATGAAAGAATGACAGCCTGCTCATTTTTGTAACACCAAACTATGGTTTGAAATGCCTCATTAATGTTGCTACTAGCGTAAACCTAGTTAAGTTCAACTAGGGTTTCTGGTCAACCAGGATTCAAAACTAGCTCAGAACCCTGGTTTAATTACTAACATTGCTACTGATGCAACTGCTTCTCTTTGAAGGTAGAAATTTGTGCTCCATTCATGCCTGGAGAGGGCAGGCAACCCTCCAGTCTGCTTCTGACTGCTTAACCTTGTTAAATAATTGGCAATGTTATGCCTAAACAAAAAACCAATGCAGAAACAGATACCTATTTCACCCAAATCAGCAGGAAATTAGTTGCCCCTCATTCTTAAACATTTGCTTACATATGACAAGGATTTTAAAAGATATAAGAATACTACGTTTAAGCAAACAACGCACCTTTGCCAACTTTGGTTTCTGAGCATAATTATTTAAGTTGAGTTTAGACACGTTTATAAATGGGCCATCAGGATTTGTGAGCATAGAGGCCTGCAGGGGGAAAGATACCACAGAACTGCTTAACATGAATGTTTAAATAATCACCAGCAAAAAATACCGTCTAGCAAACCATTATCTGAAGAAACAATGCAAACTTACTACAGCAGGCAACTGAATTTGGTTGCCAAATTCTTCCCCACCCTGCCATGGATCAAATTGACATAATGTCCTCATAATGTCCTCAGGTGACTGAACTCTGACAAGTGCCAAAGGCAATCACCAAACAGCAGTTACAGCAACCTCCTGTGAAGACATACTTTTGAGTACATCTTCAAAAAAAGGCTCTCTGTAACTCACAACCAGCTGATTTTCAGTTATAGGGAGCACCTTTGAAGTCCATTGTTTGAACTTTTTCCTCTCTATACAGAAAAGCAATTCATACTAAAAGCAATAGGAAGCACTTTGAAAACAAACTGCTCCCCTGAATTATTATTTTTAATGCTCATTTGTATTCAAAGCATTCCCTTGAATGCTTTGAATACAAACGGCTTTCGGTGAGGGAAGGATGTTCCTTTAAAAATTGGCCTTTCTTTCTTTGGCCTCCTTAGAAAGCAGCTTGGGGTTTTTAGGGCTGCAGGAAGCATTTTGAATCCAAGCCACTTCCTCCATCTCCCCTCAGCTGCACCAGGGAGTGCAAGGGAACTCCCTAGGGTAGGCAGTCCCAGCTGACTGTCAGGGTTTCAGTTGCATAGCAATCTCTTCAACCACCAACAATCAGCTGATCAAATATGATGTTCAAAGGCATCATAAAAAGCAGCTCTTATATAAAGCACATAACACTCTTACCCAAGGAAGATATGCAAATTTTCCATTACATGTGCTAATGTTTTGAAAATACAGTGTTTAGATCACTATAGGAGAGATTGAAGAAAATGTAGCCAGGTAAAACACCAAGGACTAGCAAGATGAAAGTTTTCTTATTTTAATACACACATATGCACCTCAAATTTCCAAGGTCTCAAATACTGTGTGTGTTATACTTACTAATAGCATGCTCAGTTCTTTCTCGTTCCTTACCGTTCCAAGCCTGACATATCGCCCTGAGGCGCTAGTCATGGGGCGGGCAGTGTGAGCTGTCCTTGGAGTCCTTATGGCCTGTTCAATTGTACCTGGCCGTCCACCCTGTGTACTGGGCCGCACAAATCCTGTAAGGGGTCTTCCTGTCTGAGTCACCGGCCTGAAATGATCCACAGATTGAAAGACACCATGTGTCTGCCTTAGCAGACATGCCACTGGCTGTATCTGCAAATAACTTCTGAAGTTCGTGTTGCACTCTGTTACAACACTTCTTTGGGGTTTGCATGAAAATTAGTTCCCAGTTAAAGGAATACTAACCATAACATAAAACCCCGTGTGATTATTTGGAAAGACAATTTATAACACCCCTCATACCATTTAACTACTTTGTTATTAAAGTGTTGTAGAGTACTATTTTAGGTGTGTGTGTATATGTGTATGTGTGTATATAAACACACATATGTATATATGTATACACACAATTTAAATACCTCATGTGTGCTTGTTCTCCATGCTCTGAGCATCTTCCAAATCTCACTGCTTTTGCTCACATTCCAACACAATTATACTTTCACATGTTTACTTACATAAGGGAAGACCAGGATGGGCGGGAGGTGAAGGAATCATCTGATTCAATGACCAGTCTGTGGTTATGAGTCAGTGAGGGCAGGAAATGCATAAACAGCAATACAGAAGCAACTGAACAACTTAAAGTATGAAGAACTACCACAGAGGGTGTAGGAATGGATAAATCAAAAATTTAAGAGACACTACTCGCTGGACAGCATTTACTAGTGAAGGGCAACAGTGAACTATATGTAGTCCATAGACACCTGAACTAATTAAATTTTATCAATGAACTGAATACCTCACAGCTTGGCTAGGACCTCCACCCTGACCAGTTCCAGGGATTTTCAGTGAAGTACCAGGTCCTACAAACAAAAAGAAGTATCATTATTTAATGTAACCAATAGATCAACCTCACCTCTCTAATTCTCTTCCCATTTATATTTTTAACCTTTCTAACTACTCAATAACATGAGGCAGAAAGTTTTCCTGCAGAGCAATCCTAAACTCAACAGGGCATGACAGAGCGCTCCAGCTACTACCACAGTCAGTGAGGTTATATTCATTTTAAAAAAACACAACAAAAATAGCAACTACATCATATAATTGCATTAACTGAAAGTGTTCAGTTATGCCACAGTATAGTCTGTGGGAACAATACACTATTTAAGGGAATTGTTAAGTAATTTTGAAATGCTGGGAAGGGAGTCATTGTGTGGCCAAGCCATTTTGAAGGAACTATAGATATAGCTTACGTGCAACTTGAGCAATAGCATTTTCGTCAAGCATCATCTCAGCGATGCCTTCCTGATCCACATCAATTTCATCCACGTAAACCATTTCTGTTAAGGCTCGTATTTTTAAGCACCAAGCAGCCTAGATGATAAAGAGGGGAACCAAGGTTCAATAAGCCAAAATATCTACAAAAAGACAATGCAATATCAAATTATACAGATAATACAGATGATTGAAGCAACTCAGGAATAGGTCTGTCGGCAGAAGTGAGCAAAGGAAGAATAGCAAGATAAAAGGTGAAGACTGTGGCACAGAGAACATATCGCTTTAAATGCAATTAATCCTCAGCCTTGCGGGGAGCACTTTTTGGAAAAAAAACACCCAAACCAAATAAAAGTAATCACAGATCTGATATTCTGCTGTCTGTGTGATTGGCTCTGCTTTAGTTCTGTACCGACACAATTTTTTTGCGCTTACTAATAACCTGAAGGAAAGTATTCTGTGCAGACCAGTCAGTTTATTGAACAAGAACCAAAAGTAGCTTCTTCCTAATGGCTGAAAAACTCTCAATTCTCTTTTTTGGGAGGGCAAGGAAGAGAAATGTGCACCATCTCTACATATTCTTCCAGTCACTTAATGAAAACCTAATGAGCTAACTGAAGTCAAGGAAAAGAGCTAAAATGGTAAAGTGGAACTACCAATATAGACCACCATCTGTTTCTCAGACTAGGATTTGCAATCAAAGTAAATATCAGGCTTTTTATTCACCACAGACATATGCTAAAAACGATGAAAAGCAAGCATTTCAAATATCAAAGGAAACCTTCCAGATCACAGAAAACCCAGGGTTTTTCATAGCCAAAGAGGTTTCCTAGCGGCCGCCTGCCCATAGATTAATACAGGGATAGCTTCAAGAAACCCCCAGTTCTCTTACACAGACTACCCCACCCCCTGGAAAAAAAAATGTTTCATATATTAATCTCCAGGGCAAAGGCATCCATGAACAAGATGTAAAAAAAGCAATGTACTTTAAGGCAGTTTAGCAGCTGGAAGTAAAGAGAAAGTTATATAATCAGCTCAGCCATACTTTAAAAAACCTACATGCTGCAATAATCACAGTAAAATGTCTGGAAGATCCCATGTTAAAGATCGTTAGGAAAACAAGCTGAAAATAAAACTGCCAATATTGTTATGCAAACTGGTAGCATTCTGGTTGCTGCACCTCAAAGAAAGTATTGTAGAGCTGGCAAAATTTAGGGGAAGAAATGCTATAGATGGGGGCAGAACAGCAGGAACATGATAGAGATGTATGGATTTATGCACAGTGTGGAGGAAGAGGTGAGAGGTTTTTCTATCTCTTTCATAATACTAGATTAGTTGAATGCTAGGTTAAGTCCCTTGAATGCTTATGGATTTCTCCTAACAATTGGCTACTGAAGAGAAGGAACAAGTAGTCAAGAGAACTTTCCATATATCTGATGCCCTATTGAAGCTATGAAGAACTCTGCTACCAAATCTTTTTAGCAACTAATTAAATCAAGGAGAAATTTAGGTTTTTGGTTTGAATGACATTTTTTGTTGTTGAGAAAAATGGACATAATTGTGTGCCTCTTTAACAATTTATATCTTGCCTCCTACAAAATATCTGAGGCGACTTGTGACATGAATATATCTACTCTGTCTTTTCCCATAGCAAACAAATTGAGTTGATCATTTTAGCAGCTCTGAATATGAATACATTTGAACTCCCAGGATGCTCTGCATAACAATTTATCTTATAGATTCAACTCTTATCACCTGTGGCTTAAATTGGGATAATGGGTTTTGCATCATCTTCTATGAGTTTATTAGCTTATCAATGTCAGAATGTTTGTGTTTTCAACAATAGTCTTTCACCATTAAGCTTTTGTCACTGTCTGTACTTTATTTCATTTCCCTCAGACCATATTGTTTACAATCCCCTCTCCCAGGTTCACACATACCAGCAAGTCAGGATACCATTTTTGCATCTGATGATAATGGACTCCAGTTCATTATGCCATAAGTTAAAGCCGATACAGCAAAAACAACAGTCTTGATTGTAACAGGCCAGCACCTATAGACACTCCTCTTGCTCATTCTAGCAACCACTGAACAAAGCTCTCAGTATGCCAAGTGTCCCCAAGCTTTTTGGTACTGTGTGCTCCTTTAGAAATCTAATAAACTTTTATGGAGATCACAAAATACCTGTTTTACAGAAGAAAAATGGCAAGGCTCAGAATCTCCACTAACAGAAAAACGTTTATGTACAGCCTAAACTAAATGAAAAAAAGGGGGAGAAACAGACAACCTTCCTAAACAAACCACCACGGTAAGTTTTTAAAACTCCTCCATTTCAGGTTTTTTAACAACAACAACAACAAAATTGGGGTGGGTGTTGGTCTTGGTGGGCACGAAGGGAGGATCGGTGGATGCTGTAGTGCCCATGGGGACTATGTTGGTAGCCTGAGAAGTATGTCCTTCTATAGTCCTACATTTTACGTTTTACACAGGCTTATGGAAAAAGGCTTCTATAAGCATTAAGCAGTCAGAAGTAAGAAACTACAGACAACAATCCCCAGAGTGTAGTTTAAGTTAAACTCCTATTTTCCAGTAGCTTGGCAGGAGATGGCAGTGCCAAAGCCCTTATTCACACCATCTGGCTGGCATCAATACCACACAACGAGGCCCCTTCCCATCCCATCTGCTGCTAGGATTAAGAGAACAAAATTTTAAATATTACTTATTTCAGATTTTATGGACAATTTTATGCAATTCACAGTCTGGAAAAGATATATACAGAGCTTGGATTACGTTTTGGGTTGCGTCCCACCCTCAACTTCCTTGAAATCAACATTTCAGCTAAACATGTGTGAAAAAATATACATAAACATGTCTAAGTAAGTAAAGCTGCCCCTGTAAGTCCCAATGAACTCCATTTATAAATAAACTATTTTATTTATTTAACAAAACCTATGTATCGCTTACTCTAAGCAGTTCACAAAGAAAAATATAAAACATTCCTTTAAAATAGTGGTGAAAATGAACACTAAAAAAGTTAAACCTAACATCTGCAAATGTAACAAATGTAAACCAAATATAAATAAAATCAGCAACTCAAAATAAACTGTACATAATAAAATTACTTGTTAAAATTGCATGCCTGAATAGGCTTACTGAAACAAACAAAAAAGCCTTTAGCATGAGCTGAAAGCAACACAACTAAGGTGCCTATCTCATATTAATGAGCAGGGAGTACAGCCACATTAAACAATCAATTCATTTTAAGAGCAGAATGAACATTATGTGGCAGTACACTTCCACAAATCGAAGCAGTCAAGTGGATACATTTGGGGTGAGACAAGCCTTCAGCTAAACTAGGCCCTTAAAGAGTGAAGCCACTTGAGATTAGCAGTTCCTTGAGATTAGCAGTCCTGGGTGTACTTGATGGAGATGACTTCATATATGAAGAATCGTTCAAAGAAGGAGGAGGAGAAGGAGTCTGGATTTGATATCCCGCTTTATCACTACCGTAAGGAGTCTCAAAGAGGCTAACAATCTCCTTTCCCTTCCTCCCCCACAACAAACACTCTGTGAGGTGAGTAGGGCTGAGAGACTTCAGAGAAGTGTGACTAGCCCAAGGTCACCCAGCAGCTGCATGTGGAGAAGTGGGGAAGCGAACCCGGTTCACCAGATTACGAGTCCACTACTCTTAACCACTACACCATGCTGGACGTGCTGATGGACAGCAGGACCATGGTGAGGTGAGGAACCACAGCCACGTTCACCAGGCTGGTGTTTCTGCTCATAATCTCAAGCTCCATGGCTTTGCTAGTGATTGTTGTGGCTTCTCCTCAGAGGTGAAAGGAGAACATGTCCCTTCCCACAACTCTTATTCTCATATTCTAGAGGGGACTATGAAACCAAGCGGTGTGCCTAAAGTCATCTGGAGAGTTGAAATTATAATAAGGGATATCCTTATTAGCATTAGCATTAGCTATTAGTTATTATACTATACTCTGATGTATTATACTATACTATAAAAGGATGTCACATAGAGGAGGGAGAAAGGTTGTTTTCTGATGCTCCAGAGAAGCGGACACGGAGCAATGGATCCAAACTACAAGAAAGAAGATTCCACCTAAACATTAGGAAGAACTTCCTGACAGTAAGAGCTGTTCGACAGTGGAATTTGCTGCCAAGGAGTGTGGTGGAGTCTCCTTCTTTGGAGGTCTTTAAGCAGAGGCTTGACAACCATATGTCAGGAGTGCTCTGATGGTGTTTCCTGCTTGGCAGGGGGTTGGACTCGATGGCCCTTGTGGTCTCTTCCAACTCTATGATTCTATGATTCTATGATGTGAATTTAGACATTTATTTTTCATTAGCAAATATTTTGAGAAGTTTTCATCACCACTCCATCTCTTATTATTTCACCACTGATCCAGAAGGCACAGAATTTGCATCAATGATGAAACATGTATGAGGCAGCAGTAAGAAATTAATGAACATGGAACATTAAGCACCAGCAACAAAATACTATATGTATTTTATTGCACACATTATATAATTATTATACAGTTCAACAACAGTTGACAATTGCTTTTCTCATGTCAACCAATACTATAAACTGGTGTTAGTTCCTTGCCTTCAAATTGACATATGGTACACAAAGAACAATAATCAGATTAGGCAACTAATCAGGATGATCAACCACAACAGCAGCACAGAAGCATGTTCCTGCTATAAAACAAAGAAACCCAATATACATATTTTTCCTATGGTTGATGATGAAAGGTTATTTCCAGCAGCAGAATCTGACAGACTGCAATCCTGTATCCACTTGTCTGGGAGTAAGCCCCACTAAAATCAAGGGGACTTACTTTTCAGCAGACAAGCACAAGACTGCAGTTAGTTCCTCTCTCAAATGCTTGTTTAAAGTGATGTACATTTACTTGAAGTTTCAATGACAACATAATCCTAGGCATGTCCACTTGTAAGTAAGTCCCATTAAATTCAATGGAGCACTCTCTGTTAAGTGTGTATAGGATCACATGTTAAGTGTGTATAGGATCACATGTGTTGCACTCCCTATTAAGTGTAGGATTGCAGCTTTAATTTTTAATCTCCAATACTGATTATTCTGGTAGCAAGTTAATGCTGCTGCTGTTTTAAACTGTACATTTTGTAGATTAGACCCATGGACACATTACTACATGAAAAATTCTCCTACCCCCCAGTTTGTCTGTGTCTGTCAAATAATCACTTAACAATCAGATCTTGCGACTTACAGTACAATGCATTGCACTTAAAATGGGGCATATGGCCTGTGAGACCAGCATGGTATCACAATAGTTATGTTTTCTGCCATGCCATTTTTAACTCAACAGTTTTAAATAAAAGGCTGTTTACAAAAGGTCAAGTTTATGTAGTATCAATACAATAAATAAGGTTTGTGATATATACGGAATATATATATATATATATATACACACACACACACACACACACACACACGAGAGATGACATCAAGACACTAGATAGATTAATTGATTAGACAGGCACCCTCCTTGCTGAACTTGAGGTACACGACTAAGACTCTCCTGTTCCAGTAGGAATTTTAAGGTAGTGTTTAAGTTTTGCAAATTGTTATCCTTTCATTGTCCCATTTACTGTGGGTTGTTTCTATGTACACCACATAGAAATGTGACTAATTAAGCTGTATAAAAATGTCTTAAATAAATAAATATTTATTCACTATATTCCTTTCAGTGCCCTGCTGAAGACATTCTTTAGACAAGCCTTCCCAGATGTTTCAAAACTCTGTAGTGTTAATTTGTTTTAGTCTATTTTACTGCGGTTTGAACCTGTTTTAAATCATGGTTGTGTTTTATTTTAGTGATTATTTTATTGTTCTATCCTTTTGCAAACCGCTTTGAGATTTTTCTACAATTAAATAGTATATATATTTTATGAAATATAAAATAAAATAAAATTCTTATGAACAAAACTATGTCATAAAGATAAACCCATGTCCCACTCTATCTTCAATGAAGCATATATATTTGATCCTGGTGCATATAAAGTAATTACTTTAAATTATGGTGATGAAACTGAATTATACACCAGTACTGTACTTCCCATTAAGTCCTGAAGGGCTAAATAACTTTTATTTGTTTGCTCTTTCAGCTTTTTCTTAAGGTGAATCCCTACATGCAGCCCAGGTTTATTTGCTATATTTTAAAATGCCAATATATAGCATTAAACCTTTATCCTGGGCATCGTTTCAGTGCTCATTGTATTACAAATCTTGCAACGAGTCTGCAGATCTGATTCTACATGCATCATGTCATATTATATGGCTGAGAGAATGCTGGGAGCATCTTACAGCAGTGTCCCAGATTCTACACTGAGTTACAATTGTTCTTTGATCTCTCAAGAACACAACAACTTTCACCCAGAATACACAAGAAACCACTTCTATCCTGTTCCAATATAATTTACGAGTTGTGTCTACCTTCTTGAGGTTAAAGTTGGCTCATTAAATAGAGAAAACTAGAATTCTGAGCTTTTCTAAGTAATTTGTACCAAAACTTTAGAGCTGTCGCTTCCTAAAGATCTGCCAGATCACAATGGAAAGCATGTGAGATAGTATTTAAGTTAAGCAAATAGGCAACTGAGGCTTTTAGCATGTGGTCTTTTAGTTGCTTTAACCAAATTTTAACAGGTTTAAAATCTGTGTTTTAAATCTACCATCACCTGCCCTGAGATTAATTTATGTCTCAGTTCAGAACATCCTACAGCTCTGGTAGGACTGGAAACTATGGTTTGTTTATACTTCACTTTGGCAAAATATAGAAGCAGAAAGCTTCTAATCTCCTCCTGTGATGTGAAGGTTGGAATACACAAGGCCTAAGTTTACTGTGGCTTTTTCATGAATCTCCAAACTATGGGCTGGATCTAGACTTCCCATGAGTGTAGTTTCACTCATGCGACATTCCCACTGAAGGTCATTTTCATCCATTCCTCCCTGTAAAACTGATACAAATGATTTGGGAACCACCTGGAACAGCTGGGAGGTGGTGCTGGGGTCTGACAGGGTAATGAGAAATCAATTAAAATTGCCTCCCCTTTTCCACACAATTAAGAGTTTATGCTGGATCAGAGTTCCTTCCAGGAACAGGAGGAGTCCTTTGGTTCATGGAAGGGCATATCTAGATCTAAACCTATAGTTGGAAGGATTGTCCGAATTAAACCATTGTGTTTGTGTCATATAAAACCAGTTCCTGGGTTCACTGCTGTCACACATAGACATAATGCAGTTAAGGTCTGGCTTGGTCCTCAGAGTTGTCCCCATCAATTTCCCTGGAACAAAAACAATCAATGTTCAACTTGGGACACTGTTAAATGGGCAAGACTTGACCACTCCTGCACATGCTGTGTGACTTTCACTGATAGATGTGGGGTGATGGATTACAATACAAAAGCCCTTCCTTAGCTGTCACAATGTCAGACTTTTAGGCAATGTATTCAAAATAAATTAAAATATCCTCACTCCTCTATCTGAATCCTTCCCATCTTGTTGATACCTTTCTTGAACTGTGAGCACACTATAAACCACAACACACCAAATTATATTAGTAATGAAAATAGTGGCACTGCTGCTACCTAAATCTTGGAAGTAATGCTTATGATAATATAGCCTGAAGTGGTACTTATTGTCGTTCTCTCTTACATTCCAGATGTACCTTGTTGGCTCATGTTCAACAATAATTCTCTCTTCAAGTCTTCAAGCGCTATTGCCTAGCTAGAACATCTCCCATGGTGTATGTAGACTTTGTTCGTTGTTCTCATGGCTAACATTTTACATTTCTCTTTTGAATTCTCTCAAACTAACCTTCCAATTTAACCATGTTTAATCAGAGATGAGCCCTATTAAATTCAATGTGACTTTCTCTCATCAGTGGGGTTAGGAATGCATTTTAAATTATCATCTGATATACTTGCCGATTTTTCTAGTTTACAATGCCAGCAAATCTAATAAGTGAACAGTCTCCTTCACCCAAATAATTACTGAAATTATTCCCTCCAAAACCAGATCAAGAGTAGAGCCTTTCTGAATGCTACTGAATATTTCTTTTCAATGTAACATCATACCATAAAGTATTTAATCTTGTATTGCTTTCTTAAGAAAGTTCTCTGCTCATCTTACAAGAGCACCTTCTAAAGCATAATTCTCAAACATAGTTGGGAAGAAAGTACTCTATGCAGAACTATGTCAAAGGTTATCCTGTACTAAAAGTAATTATCAAAGGATACTAGGTAGTTTGGGTGCAGTTTGTTCTAAATAAAATCTTACAAATTACTTATTTTATAGATTATAAAGAGAACCAGTTTGTCTCAGGTTTTTGTGGTCTTTTCCATTCTCCAGTATTTCGAAGTTTGCTTTGTCAAAGAGGTTCAGTCTACTTATTTAAAAGATGCATGGGAAGAGACTGACACAGTTGTTGCTAAAGAACTTGTAAATAATCATGTTAATAACTAATAGGAAATCATGAGCTTGGATGAAAAGAAAGAAGCTTCCATTTCCATGCCCTCCTTTTCTTTTACCCTATTTCAAAACTAACCACTTTTGTTATAAAGCTTCTGCCTTCTGGAAGAAGGTACAGGGTTATAAAGACTAGGACCAGCCACCTGAGAAACACTTTCTACCCAAATGCAATTCTGGTTTTAAACGCAGTAGAAGGAGTCTCTATAGGAGTATACTGTATTTTAAAATGGGGTTTCAGAGTTTTTAGGGGTTTTTGAATGTCTTAGGTAGATTTTTCAATTTCATCGTTCTGTATGGGACAATGACAATAAAGATATCGTATCGTATTGTATCACTACAAACAACCCTGTGGCACCTTAAAGATCAACAAATTTATTATGGCACAAACTTCTGTGAACTTCAACTGTTCATTATCCAGAGTTGCAGGTACATGCACAAAATGCTTGGGTGGAGGAATGTGTGTGTGTGTGTGTGTGTGTAAAAAAGGGAGGTCAGATGGAAATAAAATGCATAAAAGTACAGAGAGGATAATCATACACTTTTTAAAAAAGGTTTTGTGAACTGCTGCTGTTAGCTGACAAGACATTCCAGCATTAGTCAGGCAACTAAGCCATAAAATGTGTTTAAAATCCCTTGTCTAAGTTTCAGCCTACAAGTGGAACCGCATCATTCATGACACCATGGAGCAAAGAAAGCTCTTTGTATCTGGTGCCTGGAGTCTTCTTGTCAAGGTGTGCATATTGCTGACGTACACAAACAAACAAACAAGAGCAAGAAGTGCAACAGGCATAGCTGTCAACCTTCCCTTTTTTTGCGGGAAATTCCCTTATTTCAGCGCCGTTTCCCGCTGCTATCCCGGATTGTTAGATATCCCGTAGACTGTCTCCGGGACAGGTGAGGCTGCTGATCCCTTATTTTCAAATCCGAAAGTTGACAGCTATGGCAACAGGCAGTCTTCCACTGCTATGCAAAATGCCGGCGCGTGTGCACGGTAAGGGAGGGGACCTCCAAATGCACAAAGAGCCATTTTTATCTTTTAAATCTGCCTGCCCGTGGCCCCATTTTACGTCCTTTCCCCCCGGGGACCCAGCACCCCACACGCCCACACCCCGGCTCTACCCGACTTGACCTGGTCGCCGGGCTCCTTTTCCAGCAGCTGGGAGCAGAGATCCGAGCAGAGCTGGAACTTCCTCCGCCTGAAGTAACTCAAGGCGTGCAGCAGCGGGTCCATGTCCAGCCCCATTGCGGGCCAGAGGCGCGGCGAGTCGACGACGAGAACAGTGCGCCTCCTTCGGCGTCGCCGCGCTCCCTTCTGCCTAGGCCCTGCGTCCCAACTTAGCTTTGCCCAGCAACGCTACAGCCAGGGTCCTCGCCGGCGTGTAGTCGGCTAAGCAACTGCCTGCGCAGGGGAAAAAACAACAACCGAGTGGGAGCCTTAGCGCTCCTCGCTGCTCAGCCCTTCCCGCTCGCCTTGCGTGAGAAGCAGAGAGCGAGAGAGAGAGAGAGAAAGAAAGAAAGAGAGATGGTCGGCCTAAAAGACTCTTAGGAGTCGCGTCCCATTTCTCTTCTTCTGTGCTCTATTTTGTTTTGTATTATTCCCCCTCTCCTTTGCAGGGAATTAAGGCTGCTGGTTGCTGGCAGGGTTCTTTCCCCTGGTGCTACTATATCATGAGAAATGTGTTTTTTGGGTTTTTTTTAAAGGGCAAGCTTTTCGCAGCAGGAATGTTTCGACTGTTTTTGTTTGTTTGTGTGTTTTGACTGCAATGAAGCTGCTTAAAAGCTCAAGAGCTCTGTCCGGGGAGCGAGAGGGCAATCCTGTATTTAGCCGTGACTGAAGAAGAAGGGACGTCCTTTTTACTTCTCAATTCTGGTGGGGTGGTTCTCCTGAGTCCGGCAATGAGGAACTTGTGGCCCTCCAGATGTTCATAGCATCGTGAAATTGTAGAGTTGGAAGCATAAGAACTAACCCACCTCCCCCCAAGTTGATGAACATTGCCATTCAAACAGTGTGTGTGAGAGAGAGAGAGAGTGTGCACCATATGTGATCAGTTGGGTGGGGTGGGGCTTACCAAGGCCTCCCAATATTTTATTCAGGTTGGCACCCCAGGTCAGAAGAGACCCCGAGGCTCATCTAGTCCAACTCCCGGGAATGCAGGAATCTCAACTAAAGCATCCCTGACAGATGGCCATCCAACCTCTGCCTAAAAATGGCAAATGAAGTCCACCAGCGAGTCCACCAGCTTCTGAGGTAGTCGGTTCTACTGTCAAACAGCTCTTACCATCAGAAAGTTCTTCCTGATCTTTAGTCGGAATCTCCTTACTTGTAACTTGAATCCATTGGTTCAGGTCCTGACCTCAGGAGCAGGAGAAAACACCCATGAGGCAAAGTGATGCCAACACCTTGGGCATGCAGGATCCACCAGGGCAGCAGATCCAGTCTCCGAGGAGTGCATTGCCTGCTGCTGCTTCCGCAGTGGCAGTGACAGCTGGATCTGCTGCCACCTCGGCAGCCTCCTCCCAATGCTGCTACTACAGCAGCCTCTTGGCAAATAGGAGTTGCTGCTTGTCTCCCACTCTTGTTCCCAATGTAGATCTTTATTCTCCCACTTGTTCCTGATGTAGATCTTCACTCACTCCTTTTCCCCTGGTGGGCATGGGTGCCAATTTGAATAAAATATTGAGGGGGAGGTAAGCACCACCCCATAATATTGATCACCAATGCTATTTTCCAGAAAAAGAGATGCCGGAACTCACCATAAACGCTTCCCTTGTTCTTTTATAACAGCAATGGCATCCACCTGAGAGGTGCCAGAACTGAGTTCCAGTGACTTGCGGATGAAAAAAAGCCCTGTTGATCACAATGCGTGGCACACACACACACACACACACACACACACACTATTTAAATGACAATGCCTATCAACTGGGGGGGGCTGCCCTACCTTCCTCAAATATTTTATTGGGGAAGGGCTGAAGGGACCTTGGCTCCTAGGAGGTGGCTCTTCTGGGACACCATTTTGTGGTTTGCCACAGGTGTCTTGGACCAGCCCTCTAACCAACAATCAGTGGTAATGGGAGTTGTAGTCCCAGAAGTATCTGAATCATTTCTTTATTTACTTCCTGTCCTTCACCCTGAAGGCCCACAAGTTTCTCTTGCCTGGTCTAAGTTGGACTAGGACTGAGGAGACCCAGGTTCAATTTCTCACTTGCTCATGAAGTTCACTGGATGATCTTGAGCCAGTTACTATCTTTCAGCCTAAGCTACCTCACACTGCTGTTGTGATGATAAAAAGGGGCTCCAAGTACAGAAAACTCCTCTCTGAAACCCAAATTTACCATTGGCCTGACTCCATACAGAGCTCTCCATGGTCTTAGATATGCTGTCTTGAGCTCCTTTGATTAAAGGTGGGGTATAAATATAAGAAGCAAATAATAAGAAACTGTGTGAGGTCTCATTATTATAGTAGTAGTATTATTTGCTACCACTGCTGTTGCAAGGTTTAAATAGTAAAAGCAGGGTGGTGCTGTGTATAAAGTCCTTAGGAGCTAAAGAAAATCCATTTTGTGCTATGAAATACATTCATCATAATCCACTTCCTTTGCAAAGCCTTTCCTATAAAGTCAGTCTGACCTCTGCTTTGCTAACTACCAGTAAATCCCCATCTCTGCTACTCCATTAGCAAGCCCAGCGCCCTCCCTCTCTCTTCTGTCTTATGTGGGATGTGATCCTGTGCATATTCACAATTAAATTCAGTGGGACTTACTCCTTGGTAATTGTATATAAGATTGCAGCTTGTAGTCACAAGAGTAAGGTTACCAGTTGTCCCCGTTTCCCAGGGACAGTCCCTGGATTTACAAATCAGTCCCCTGACAAAATCTATTTAGTAGGAAGTTGAAAAGTGTCACCAGATTCATTGGGGGGGAAAAACTGGTAACCTTACACAAGAGTCCTAATTCTGTTCTTTACAGGGCAATCAGAGAGTTGATAGCACATGAGATCAAAAATGGCAGGAGGAAGCAACAGCTATTTAATATGTTAAACATGCTCATCTTCAGTATATATTACCTGTGATAAACTATGAAAAACATGTTCTGTCTCACATCTGTGCTGTGTCCTTTTCCCCCAAATGGACCTATTTGCAAATGGTGTTTAAATGCATATAAAGTATTACTTTATGTCATTTTAGATCACATCATAAGATAACCAGTTCTGCAATTGCAGTCACAGAACTAGAATTTTAAAGAGTTCTATATTTAGTTCTGTTGTCAGTTCAAAATCAAATCAAGCTGAGAGATGGAAATCAAATTTTCAGTGAAAGAACATTTGTAGGAAAATGAAGCAATTTAATCAGCCTATTTTTTTGTGTTTCATTTATGCCATTGAGGCTTTCATATACAGTACACTGTGTTCAGTATCAGTTAGTGGTGCTCAATAGAGTATATATTTCAACTACAGTGGTACCTCGGGTTACATATGCTTCAGGTTACAGACTCCGCTAACCCAGAAATATTACCTCGGGTTAAGAACTTTGCTTCAGGATGAGAACAGAAATCATGCTCCGGCAGTGCGGCAGCAGCAGGAGGCCCCATTAGCTAAAGTGGTGCTTCAGGTTAAGAACAGTTTCAGGTTAAGAACAGACCTCCAGAACGAATTAAGTTCTTAACCCGAGGTACCACTGTACACGGATTATATCCACTTTTTAAAAAAAGCATACTGTGCATTATGAAAAGGATGCTACATGTATATGGCAAAATTCTTTTTGCATCTAGTGCACCTAGTGATTTGAAGTGTGCTATATGGGTAAATGTGTGAAACGGTGAAATCAGTTATTATTAAATGGGCACAAGATGTTGGACATAACAATGATGGCTGACTGGGAACAGTTATGGACCACAGGTATGAAATTTACGGCATGTAATGCCCTAAGAGAAAATTTAATTAAAATGATTTATAGGTGGTACATGACACCAGTCAAGCTTGCAAAAATTTACCATTTGCCCGACAATAAATGTTGGAAATGTAACGAGACTGATGGCACATTCTTTCACCTTTGGTGGACATGCCCAAGGATTAAGACATTCTGGGAGATGATTTATAACGAAATGAAAAAGAAAGGTATTTAAATATACCTTTCTGAAGAAACCAGAGGCTTTTCTCCTGGGCATGGTCGGCCAATTGGTGTCAAAGAAGGATAGAACTTTTTTTATGTATGCAACAACAGCAGCAAGGATACTCATCGCAAAATATTGGAAGACACAAGATTTACCCACCCAGGAAGAATGGCAGATGAAGTTGATGGACTATATGGAACTGGCGGAAATGACTGGCAGAATCCGAGACCAGGGAGAAGAGTCGGTGGAAGAAGATTGGAAAAAATTTAAAGACTATTTACAGAAATACTGTAAAATTAATGAATGTTAGAAAAATGTTGGAATGAAGTTATATGGCTTTAGTAGAAACGTTATAAGGAATTAAGTATAAATAGATTAATAGAGCATTAAAGGAAAAAATAAGGTTAGAATGAGTTAAGATAATTATAGGATAGAAAACAGAGGAAGAGGGAAAGGAATTGCTGAAATAATTAACAGAAGTGGAATACAAAAAGGGAGGTGTGAGGAGGTCGTGGAAATAAGTGAATGAAAGATGGGATAATGAAATTGTTTGATCTATTTTATTGTTTTTGTTTTGTTTTGTTAGTTTAATGTATTGCATTGTATTGTCTTTTTAGTGTTTAAATTTTTGGAAAAGTAATAAATATTATTTTAAAAAATATATATGGGTAAATGTGAAAAGTGCTGGGTGATTCTTGTCACTGCTAGATATTAGTAGCAGGTGTTATAAATAAATATTTAGGCAAAGGATGTTGTAATCATGTTTATAATTTAGAACTTAATTTTCAGTGGACTGTGGAAATACAAAGTTTATATATCTTTCATAATAACTGTGTTAATAGGTTGCCTTTAGGGGTATGACCCACACAAGATGACTTGCCTTATATATATATATATATATATATATTATATGCATTACAACTTTTCTGTATTAATTGGTAATATTAATAGCTATTAATGGTACTCCATTCCAGTGGCACCATAGAGAAGTGGATATGAGACTTCACAGATCAATGCTTCAGCTAATAGAGCAGTGCCTCAACACAACACAATATAATCAGAGCCTCTGTTTCCATGTAAGCATAAAACATCAGATCTAATATATGGTCCATCACATATGTTGTCTCATTGCACTTCTTTACTCTGGTTTTTTACATCTGAGGTGCATATTTTTAGGATCCACTTTATTTTTGTGATTGTTAGTTGTTTCAAACTGTTTATAATATTGTGTTTTAATGTAGTAACCTATGCTGGGACCTTAGGGAGAAGGTTGGGTAAAAAATCATTATCACTATCATATTCTGATCACTATCATGGATACCAAAATTCTAAACTATGTCGTAAATCTTCTTCAAATTTAAGAGTTCAGAACTGATTTTATCAACCAATGTAAATTATAACATTCCTCTTGACTTTGTCAGGATCTTCAGTTTCATTTCATTCAATTTTAGCCTATTTTTCTCAGTTTAAAGGAATCCAGCAATGTTCTTGAATCAAATATAGTTTTTTATAATGATCTTGGAAAATGCATATGCAAATTGCCAACATAACTCAATTAGGGAAGAGTTTTAAAAGGCAAAATCTTTACCAGCTGCTGCTTGAGAAAGTGTGCTCTGCAACATACAACAAGCAAAACTAGTAGCGTACACAGTAGCTGTTAGAAGTAAATATACAGTGAATCACTAAATAAGAATCACTCCAAGATAATTTGTGCCAATGTTTTTGATGGAGGCAGAACATAGGCAAGTATTCTGTCATGTCACTTCTAAGGAGCAAGCTGACCAATGAGGTTTGCTCTTGGAGTGCTCCTGAATCTATTTTTAAGGTTGGAGATCCAGGTTTTGATGGCATCCAGCAAAGTAGTACCGTAAATTGCTAAGTTTTTTTTGTGTTGGACTTTGGAACAGGTACATCTCTGTAACCATGAGGTGAGACACAAGGTGCTTCTTTGTGCCTATTTGGTAACTACGCTGGTGCAGAATGTGGTAATCTGCTTTCTGAGAGTGGACCACTGAGAGCAGATAATACTAGCAGCCCAGTTTCCTTACTAACTCAGCACTGGCTTTCCAATTGGCTATCAGCATAGACTGATTTCTGGCCTATAAAGCTCTTCATGTTCAGACCCTATACTGCTGCGTATCCCATCTCCATACTCAAACCAATTGTAATAATAACAAGACCAAGTTTTCCAGTGATCCTGCTTATTCTGCCAAAACAGCATTACCCATGCACAAGACAGAAGTATCAGCAGACTGAGTAGCCCCATATTATGCATAATAATGAGAGACTAGGGAAGACAGGGGCCTGGTAACTGGGTGGGGAGTAGCTATGGCAGGAGGACAGATGCAAATTGATAAAGGGTAGAAGTAACTAATCCTTGCCTGGAAATGTCATTTCCTGGTTTAGACTGAGAAGCTACTTTTAAACATTGCAAGAGACAGAATTGAGGGTCACCCATATCAATCAATGGAGAAATCCAACATTTTAATGTAGCTTGGAATGTGCTCCAGTACCTCATGCCTCCCCAAAATTGCCAAAAGGGCACCTGAACAGAATCTAAGGTTCCGAGTAGGTACTTTACTTATTTATTTAACTTCAACACACCATCTTTCTGGCCCTTTTAAAATGTTACAAAACGAAGCCAATGGCTACTTGTCAGGCTAACAACCCTTTGTGGATAAATTCAGCACCATGGAGAGTTATACAGAATCGCGCCGCGTTCATGCGAATTGCACTGCAACGAATGCTGAAAGAGAAATAGATGAACGGAATGAATGCTGTTCACTCCAGATCTCTCTTTCTGTGTTTGACCTGTTTGAGTTTCGATACGTCGATTTTAAAACAAAACAAAACACACCATGCTTTGAAAAGGTATACTAATGAACATCCACATGCACTCGGTTTACAGTACAGCAGGCGAAATGAAGTTTGGGGCATGTTTTCATCTGAATCTGGCTCTGAGGTGAAACGGAGCAGAAGGTTTTCGAACCACACCAGCCGGCAACTGAATTAAACGACAAGAGACGGTTTTATAAGGTCTCGAGTAAGATAACTAAGCAAGGGAAACTATTCGGTTAGGGAAGGAGGGACAGCTGCATTCCTCATGCGGTGAAGGTCGTGTTTGAAGTCTTGAAGGGAAGCTTTTAAATGTTCGATGTTTTATTGTGTTTCTATATTTTTGTGGCGGCAGCCCAGAGTGGCTGGGGCAGCCCAGTCAGATGGGGGCATTTCATTAATAATAATAATAATAATAATAATAATAATAATAATAAAATAAAGCGTCGTTTGGTCTCTCTAACTTAACATTTTGACCCATAGCCGCCTCCCCTTTCCCCTCAGGTTAGCCTCCTCCTGGCTGCTTCCCCTCCCCCACGCTGCCTCCCCGCCCTTTTCTCCTCAGGTGGCGCGAGGAAGCCGCGAGGACAAGGACGGCCATTACGCCTTGAAAGTCCACTTTCAAGGGCGGGGGAAGCTGGAGGGGGGGGTTAAAGGGAAAGGGACATCTTCCAGCTCATGGAAAGGGCGCCATGAGGAGAGGACGACGACGGCAAGAAGGGTGACAGACTGCGCAGGCGCAGAGTACAGGGAAAGTGTGTGCGGCGGCAGCGGCGGCGGCGGCGGCTGAGGATTGACGTCGCGCGAGGCGGATCTCGAGCCGACGGAGGCAGAAGTCGGAGCGCCGAGCGCCCGGGCTGCTGAGGCGCGGAAGGGGCTCCGGGTCCGTCGCCGTGCTCGGGCTGGAGTTTTCAGCCGCTGCGAGGGGGTGACCTCCAGGCCCAGCAGGTGGATGGTAGTGGAGGAGCCGAGGCCGAGCCGCCGCGCAGCCATGTCTAGCAGGAACGGCGGCGGCGGCGGCGGCGGCAACAGCAGCAGCAGCGCTGCCAGGCTGAGGCGAGCCCAGCGCGTCCCGCGACGCCTTCTGTGAGGAGGACGGACGGACTGGCGGCTGTTCGGGAAGGCTCCATGCCGGCGGCCAGGGACTGAGCGAGGGGAAGACACCGATCCCTGGGCTTGAGGGGACCCTTTCTTTCCACCCTCACCCCCACCTACCCACCCCGCTCCGGGGCTCCGGCAGGAAGGACCCCGACCTCCAGGCGGGAAGGGGAAGGCGGGCCATGGCTGACCGGAGCCCCCCGAACTGCCACCTGAGGCTGGAGTGGGTTTACGGCTACCGGGGCCACCAGTGCCGCAACAACCTTTACTACACGGCCGCCAAGGAGATCGTCTATTTCGTGGCGGGGGTCGGGGTGGTCTACAGCCCCCGGGAGCACCGGCAGAAATTTTACCTGGGGCATCAGGACGACATCATCAGGTAGGGGGGGGCACACCACCCAACCCCGCCGGGAAGCCCTTTCCTTCCTTCCTTCTCTCCCCCTCTCCCTCCCTCGTTTCCATTCCCAGGTCTCCTTTAAGCGCCGTCTCTGCAGGAAGACTTGTCAGAGGAGGAGAACGCGCTCGATCGACACAGACAAGCGCTGCCTTTCCTCCCGCCTTGCGAAAAACAGCAGCGACAGGCAGGCGCCCTCCTTAGGGCATCAGGGTCCTCGTTTGATCCCAGTCTACAGAAGCGCCGTATTAATCTGGGATTTCCCCCCACCTCCCCTCCCCTCCCTGTGCAATATTATCTCTCTTCCCTATTCGAGGAGGGTGTGTGTGTCTGTTTATTATTATTTATTTACTATCCTAGGGGCCGGCCAGTTCTTCTGCGTTCACTGCAGTTTCACTCTCTTTCGTGATCTGGCGAATAGTAAATACCCGGGAAACAATCTTCTCTCTAGCTGTCAAGGGCAGTTGTTAATAGGCGGTTATCTCCTTCTGCTCTCGGGAGTAACGGAAAAGTTTGTTAGGCTGATGCCTGAGGATCGATCTTCCTTCTTCCCTTCTCTTTCTTGCTTCCAGAAAACCCCAGAAATCAACATTTTTACCTTATAAATACAGATTGGATTTCCTGTATTCATATCCCAGCCCCCACTCTGTCTTTCTCATAAACACATCTGTTATCGGAGATCTGTACTGTTGCGATTGCTGAGATCAACTAAGGGTGCCCTCTTAACAGCACTAACCTCCTGCCTGTTTCACTCAGCCAAAGGCACATAGAGAGGTGTTCTCAGGCTGCTGCTTGCACCCTTCATTATGAAACTACCTCTTCTTGGGAGTTTACAATAGTCCAAGCTTAAAATCTTTCTGGAGCATTGTAAGGTCTTCAAGTATCTTTTCTGACTGGCTTATGTGGGTGAGGAGTAGTGTGTACTCTGTCCCTAAAACACAGGCTTGAATTCTGACATGTATACATTTTTCTCCATTTCCGCAAAGTACACTGTGTAAATCCAGTTTATATTTGTCCAGTTTGCCAAAAGCAAAAACAAAACCTAGTACTGCAGTACAATATACCCACATATCACCTCTGGGTAGCTGATTTTCTTAAATTTCTCTTATTTATTAAAGTCAATAAATTTATAAATATTTACTGTTGGTAAATTATATAACTGTGACCCACTTCTGCAGCTTTAAATATTTCTTCATTTGTGTTCGGCTGTTAGAAATCACAGTTTTACACATTTAGTATTGGTGCTCATAGTTGGTAGAATTGCCAAACAATTATTAGAAGCATCAATTTTGAAATCTGTTTACTCTTATGGGTGACAATAAATGAGACTGAATCTAAATTTTGAAGCAGTTTTGCTTTGGTTTGCTTATGCATTTTATTTATTTTAGACTGGTGACAATGGAATTTCCCACAGTAATTTGTTATTTTTCTCTTGATATTGTATATTATATACACAACATATGGCAGTTGTGGATCCCTACTGCAAAAAAGGCATTGCTTCCTGTTGAATTCTGAACTTCTGGTGGTCTCCTATTTTTCACTTGAATGTTAAATTTCTGAACAGTTCTTAAGCAATGGGTAGGTATTTTAATCATGGAGGAGTGTGCTGACTTGGCATTCATTACTGAGACCTGGTTGGGGGAGATGGGTGTGCCCGATCGTTCATGGCTGTGCCCCACTGAGGACTCGATGCAGCACCAAGCTAGCTAGCTTAGAGAGCCAGGAAGGTGGAGTTACCAGAGTTCATTCTCCCTTACCAGGAAACCTCTCTACCTTGGCATGGGTCTAGAGCAGGCATAGGCAAACTCGGCCCTCCAGATGTTTTGGGACTACAATTCCCATCATCCTAAACTAACAGGACCAATGGTCAGGGATGATGGGAATTGTAGTCTCAAAACATCTGGAGGGCTGAGTTTGCCTATGCCTGGTCTAGAGGGTCTGTATCATACACTGAGTCTTAGATTAGGGATGCTGTTGTTGTATTGTGTTGCCCAATAGCCTCCCTGACAGAGCTGGCTGAGGTAGTCTCAAGAATGGTGTTAGAGGAATCTCAAACCATAATTCTGGGTGACTTTAACACCCATGCCAAGGCTGCCATTGGACCAGCACAAAGTAGCATGGCCTCCATGGCAACCATGGGTCTGTCTTAGGTTGTTATAGGACCCATGTACAGAGCAGAATTACCCTTGGTCATTACTCCAGGTGGTGACAGGTGTGACGAGTCAGAAATTAGGGGTGGCATTTCTGTGACTCCTTTATCATGGTTAGACAACTTTCTGATGAAGTTTGGACTCAAGGCAGCTATCCCGCTCTGCAGTGATGGGACCAGTTATGGTGGCCTGCCCCCAGAAACTTATTGATCCTGATGGATTCCTGAATACTTGTGGGGACTTGGGGAGAGGCTCTTGTTACATTGTTGAATGGTGAGATGCAGAGGGCTATTGACACATTAGCTCCTGAGCATTCTGTGCAGTGCTGCAGGTACTGATATTCTAGGACACTATGAGTGATTAAACAGGCTGGATGATGGCTAGAGTGCCAGTGGTTTAGATCTCACTCTGAAGCTGACTGAGCACTGATTAGAGAACATAATTGCACCTACTTTCTAATTTAGATACTACAGTTATGGTTCCAGCAGAGGTGTCAAATGCTTTGTCTTTTCCAATTTATGGGATCAATTTCAGTTTATGATGACATCAACGGAGTGCTAGCAAGAATGTGCTCAACTTTATGCCCTCCTGACCCCTAGTAAAATCAAGCTGGGGAATTGATTAGGTGGATCCAGAGTGTGGTGAACACATCTTCACATAGGTAGGAGGGCTGCAACTTTAAAGGTGGCCGTGGTGCAGTAGCTACTGAAAAAGCCAGCCCTGAACCTGGTTGCCTCCTTTCTGGTGACTGAGAAGGTTGTGCAGAATCAAGTTTAAATTAATTTTAAACTTATAAAGAATTTTTTTATGTTTGTGAAGAGCTCTTTGGACTGTAAGAAAATGCTAGCTATGCTGGTGGAGTAAAAACTAAATTATTTACACAAGGAGGCATTATTAGTATTTGTTTCGGATATGAAGTACCACCCCATATCATGCCTACTGTGTAAAGTCTAGAAGGCATTGTGGGCTCTTTTCTTTCTTTGTTTTTCTGCTTATAGCACTGCATGGGCTTGAAAAGTTGTAGCTTGCATTTGGATGTCTGAAATATCATGCTCTAGAAACAATATATGTTGGAAATGAGGCTTAGTAAAAGTATTGGCCTATGGGCTGTGTCTTCATATACAACAATAGGCTACAATATCTGTAATATGTGTGATTCTATGCACAGTTATGTAGAAATCACCGGAGCTTACTCCTGAGATAAGATGGATAGAATTACATTGTAATAACACTGATAGTCATAGTGCTGAAGGGCACAGACCTGTAGATACTTTTTGTGCAACTGATTTGTTTGAAATTCTGAACCTACACTTAAAGTCTCAAATTTGCTGCAATCTTTTTAAAAATTTAAAAGGATGATATCTATTGTCAGGTGCAATGTTTTGTAGTTGAAAGAATATATTTTAGCTACCATTCCTTTGATGGTGAGAGCTACAAAAAAGGCACGTAAGCATTTAGGTGGGAAGGGTCAAGGAAGAATTTATTTGTCATGACTTTCAACCTGAGGAACTTGCAGTGTGCAGCAGAGGACTCCAAGGTTCAGGCTGTTTCCCTGACAGAAGAACCATCAGAACCACCACAACTCATATGATGAGTCCTCTGCAGTACTTCTATCATCCCCAGCCTCACAAAATCAAAGTCTGCAAAATAGGACAAATGTCATTTAACCACCTTGCCAACCAATTGCACTTCAGATCTTATTAGCCTATAGAAGACTTCAGGTGGCTAGCTCCAGCAAAAACAACATCTTCCTATATATGCCTTAGTAGCAGGACACTTCAGCTAGCAGGGCCCCTGTCGAGCTCTCTAAGGTCTTGTTTGTGACTGCTTTGGCCTGACTTAATTTGCCTCCAGCAGCCACTGTGTGCTTCTCTTGCTAGCCTTTCTACTTCTCTTTCAACTTCCCTTACCCACTTTAAGAGGACCAACTCACACTTTGAGGATGATCTAGAGCAGGGATGTCTAATCTGTGGCCCTCCTGTAGTTGTTTGACTCTACCTCCCATTAGCCCCAGCTAATATGGCCAATGGTCAGGGATTATGGGAGTTACTGTCCAGCAACATCTGGAGGGCCATTAATTAACCACCCTCTGATCTAGATCCACAGCAAATTCATTTCCAAAGTACATAGTTTCCCACACTCTAGGCTTGGTTCCTCCATTCCAAACTGGAGCAAACTTCACTTGCTTTTTGTATAAAGATTAGAAACACTGACCCCAGACCTTCAAAGCACTATTGTGATATAAGGACTAGTCCAATGGCATGTATGCCACAGTAAATCTGTTAGTCTTTAACACTTTAAATGTCAGATGTAAAGTGCAGGTTTAACAACCCCACAATAGAAACAAGTGTATAATCCTTTATTTTCTTCCATAAAAGTGTGTGACTACCAATGCATAAGGAACAAAGTGAAGCACTGAAATTGAAGGAAGTAGAAATCTTGATTTGTTGGAGCATTATGTCATGCTGCTATGCTAAAGGTTTTATGTTTAAGTTACAAGGAACTGGAGGAGTACACTGTTATTTATTTCTCTTTCCCTCCAAAGAGCAGCATAAGAAGCTGGTAGATGGAGGTAGGTACTATCCACCTTAATTTCATCCTCTTGTTGACACATCATGCATGCCCTAGTACATGTTTTTATGTTGGACAGTGGAGTGCAGTTGACAATTACTGTTATTGGCCATGTTTATAAATAAGACATGGATTGTTTAGCTCAAATGTAGTTTGTTTGCACATGTGAGCCTGTTCTGGCAAGTTAATGATAATTAACCCAACAAATCTCTGTATGAAGCCATGATTTGAAGTTGGCTTATGAATGGTAACCATGGTTTATTGTTACATCTGAACCTGCAGTGTTGGGTTAATCGTGGTTAGTTTTAGTGTTTAACCAAAACTGCTCATCCAACTACAGATTCATGAGGCAAGAGTGGCTAGAAAACAAAACCATGCCCAATGCTAAGTGACTCTTGCTGATGCTTTTCCAGTCCTTGCACTCCTTTCTCACTCATCCTGGTAACAGGCTCCTTTCACTACTCACCTCCTCCCTGGCAAATTCTTGGTCTCCAGTTCGTATGCTTACCTTTACCAAGAGAAAATTTAGAGAGGCACTGACTATTTTGTTAGCATTGGTTTAGGTCTAGTTGTTGAAAGCACAGCCCCATACTTTGCTGGTTGCCCTAATTGTTACACACATGAGGAGGAATTCTGTGCAGTGTGGCACTAAGGAGATTGTTCTGTTGCAGTAGCTGAAGAAGTCCTTGTGTGGGCTCCAGCTAGTGAGATCAGTTTAATAAATCTGTCCCAAGGGAATTAAAATAAATACTTCACATGGAGGAAACAGCAAAATAAGGGGCTTCAATTTAGGATTCTAGTCCTATAGCCATTTACATGGGACTAAGTCAGTGGGGATTACTTCTGAGCAGACATGCATAAATCTGCAGCAGATGACAGGTCCCTGCCCCGAGGAACTTTTTATCTAAAATTCAACACAGAGAAAACAGCAAAGGAAAGGTATTCAGTTCAGAAGTCTAGATCTAAACCCATTTATGTGGGAGCAACTCTCACTTTCTGTTATAAACTGATTGCATTGTGTCCTATTATTTATTTTAAAAAATGAGACCTTTTTTGTAAGCTCAGAGTATTAAAACCTAACATCAGCAGCAACACAGTGGTTGTCTTCCACTCTTGCATGCCCCTTGGGCTATTTAACTAAATTCTTTTTGTATTTGTTGAAATCTTGGGGTTCCTACTGATGCCTCCCACTTGTGCATGGATGTTGCCATTTTGGCTACACAAGCAATGACACTCACAACCTTAAATAGATGTTGAAATCATAAGAAGACAGGTCCCTGTCACAAGGAGCTTACAATTTAAAATTCAAAACAGAGGAAACAAGAAAAGGAGAATCAAATACTGCATCCTGTTCATAAGAGTAAGTACCAGGCAGACCCACGAAGAGCCTGTCTGAGGCCTGTGGCAGGAGTCTTGTTAGAATAAAGTTATAAACTCAAACAAAAAAAGCAGCCAGTCCCTGGAGATCCTCCTTGCCAGGTTAGCCCTCTGAGGCCCGGGGCTGCCTACCCCGTTTGCACGGGACTGGTATCATTGAAGTCAGTGAGGATTACTTCTGAATAGACATGTATTGAGTTGCACAGGAAGACAGCTCTCTTCTTTGAGACGTTCACAATCTAAAATTCAACACAGAGGAAACAAGGGATTCAATTCAAGATTCCAGTCCTGTACACAGTGACATGGGAGTAAGTTCTATTGAACTCAGTGGTGATTTCCTCCAAGTAGCCGTGTAAATATTTGCACAAGAATGCAGGTCTCTGCCCTAAGGAGTCTACAATCTAAAATTCAACATAGAGGAAGAAGGAAAATAAAGACCCAACTCCTGTCCTCACTTTTACACAGGAGTAAGTCACACTGAACTTATTGGGGATTATTTCTGAGTAGACATGCACAGAGTTGCACAGGAAGACAAGTTTTGGCCCTAAGGAAGCACCAGTCTTTGGGGAGGGATCCCAAACCTGACCCCTTCCATATTTTCTACTTGCAGAAGTGGATCGCTGCTCACTTGCAAATTCCTGGGTAAAGAATATGCAGGAGGTGCACACACACCAGTCTACTGTCTCTTGGGATTTGGGAGTTCTGCTTTTCTTTGTCCCAACTGACTAAGCTGATGGACTACCACCCATGGTTGGGCCAGATAGCCCAGAAGGTTGAAGGAAGGCAGACAGAGAAAAATAGAAGCAATACAGTTAACAAGATGGAGGGGTTGGTTTGGCTAGTACACTTACCTTCTCTCTCATGGAGCAGGCTACAACCTGTGTCATCAAGCTGGACTTCATGGTCGTTGTAACTTTCACAATATGTCTGCCAGTGGCTTCATGTACAAATTTAACAGGATACAATGACAAGATTGCACTTTGTGTGATTCTTTGGGGAAGGAAATTGTGAGGAATTACAGAGGGCTGCTGTCCAGGATCTCTTTACCATAGCAATGTCACATTTGGAATACTGTGTATAGTTATATTTGTTCAGTTGCATCTCTAAGAATTACCATAGAATTTGAAAATGTGCAAGTAATAAGAAACACCAAGTATATAAAGCTATATCTTCTGATGGCTGTGCAAAAATGTTGAGACAACTTGCTACTTAAAACCCATCAATGAAGAAGACAGACAAATCCAACATGGGAGTTCTGTAATCTCTTCACTCCTGCTGAAAACCCCCAGTCCTGTGTAAATTGTCCACTACACCTCAGATAATGAAAGGGAAAGAAGCAGGGCCTCTGAATATTCTCTGAGTTGAATGAGTAGGTTCATCACTAGTTTATTCTGCATAGTAACTAAGGCTGCAGTTCTCCACGGTTAGTCAAAGTAAGCCCCATTGAATTCCATGGGACTTTCTTCTGAGTAGCATACATGGAATAGTAGTATAGGATTGCACTATAAACTTTGGTACTCATGCTCATTTTAGACATTGAAGAAAACATAACCAAGCTTGTAATTTATAAAAAAGCAGTAGCTACCACTCAGAGTGGCCATCTTTAATACTTAAAGATTATAGTAATAGACCAGAACAAGAACCATATGATAAAAGAAACAAGTATTTTTAAATCTCAGCCACACTAATTAAAATTTGCCCTTCTTGATTAAAATTGAGTTACACTTATTAATCTGCTAATCAAGCTGATTAACAATGGAATCCTATACACTTTTTCCTGAAGTAAGCACCGTTTAATTCAGTGGGACTTACTTCTGAGTATACTCTGCTTAGGGCTGCAGTGTCAGTCCTATTGGATGCACTACAACTTCTGTGTAAATGCAGGCTAGCACTACATAACTTGGAGCACTAATTTTTGTGGGGAGACACCTAAATTAATTTTAAAATAAAACACAATCCTTCCCCCCTTATATCTTTGTGTGCATTTTGTTTCTGTTAAAAATGCTGTGAACCTTCGTCAGTATTAATTGATTGGAAATGTGTTACCTTCTGCATGAAATGGGCAATTATATGGTAGATATAAATGAATGGCTAAGAAAAACCTGAGTATAATGTACTGAAATTCATTAATTTGTTTTAGGTGTTTTATGAAACAGTGGCATAAACAACCTGTGAAAAAATGGGGGAATCTCATATATTTTTACTATGTGTCTTTACACAATAGAATGAGTACTAGTTAATATAGTGGAAGGGCATGCAGTGGAACCTGACAATTGAGTTTTATCAAGAAATTCAAATATATCAGAGAGATTGCAATTTCTTACTTATATTATATAAAAAGTTAAAGAAAACCTTGTAGTGAATTTCATTAGAATTTCATTATTAGACTTTAATTTGGATATATTCCTTTTATCACAACAGTATTCACACAGGATGAATAGATTAATTTTACAGTGCAGTTATCTGACAACAAAATAAATGTCCTCCTGACTTTTAGAACTATGTCAATCCTTGTTCTCAGTTTATAATCCCTCAGCAAGAACAAGCAAGGTGAATTATGCTTTATCTTTCATCAACACAAGGTTTCAGACAGTATCTGGATGATTTATGAAGATTTACTAAGATTAGTCTGTGAATTTTTAAGCTTGATTTCTTTTTAGGACTCCAGAATAGGAGAATTTGAAAACCAGAATTGGAAATTTTACACTTTTATATGAAACTGCAGCCATATTATTTGATCATTTATCTGGTGTTAAAATGGTCCTGAAAATAAGTTTTATTGTGGCAATCTAACCTCCAGAATATCGCCTTGCCTGCCTGGGTGTTCCTAAAGGCCTGTTCATGTACTACTTTGTTCCTGGTGAATCTGCCTGGCATGTTAAAATATATCACCTTGGTAAATGGACATCAGAAAGACAATATATAGTGCATTTTCAAGGCAAAAGCACTGCTATGCTTTCCTGCTTGGTTCCACAGTGTGCCAACATATACATGGCTCTTCTAGAACAATGCTTCCTCTGCTCCTATCCACAAAGATATCTCATCTATCTAAGATTGATGACATTATCTAGGCCACAGGTAGGAAGGTCTTGAGAAAGTCCCCTGGGACTTCCAACAATATTCAACCCAGCATCACTCTGAGCTTGGACCAGTCCATACAGCAGATTCACATTCTGCATACTTCTATGCAACCACACAATGGTTATTGGGAACTAGGGATAGAGGAGAAACTGATTCAGTTTGCATTTAAAAGTGAACCTACCTAATTTGTACTTTCTGAAAGAACCGAAACATGACCTCAATCAAAATTCACACTGAATTTTGCAATGTTGTTCTTCAGCCAGGTAATATGAGTGAAAACAATGTACAAAAAAGCATTATATTACAGGAATTTGTTTTGGGGAAAAAAGTATATTAGGTAGAGGTAAGGGTAAAGGACCCCTGGATGGTTGAGTCCAGTCAAACTTGACTGTGGGATGCAGCATTCACCTCGCTTCAGCCTGAGAGAGCCGGCGTTTGTCTGCAGAATTCATACAAACATATTGTGTTAAGAGAAATTTGCACTAAATTGCTTGTTGTTATTATAATATTTATTTATATCCCGACTTTCCCCTTCAATTTAAGATTTGAAAAATTAGAAATTGAGCGGAACTAAAATGGACAGATTCACCCATCCCTACTGCGTACAAGACATTAAAAAATAACTATCTTGCAACTAGGCAAGCAGCTCACACAGCCTTTCCTTGATTCTTACATGTCCACAAGCAGAGCTAGAACAAATCAGAGCCACAAAGAGTTGGATTAGATCACACCAAGAGCCAGCTCACCAATAACTAAGGGTGAGACAGCTGCCTTAAGCGGTACCTGAAAGAACTGGCACAGAGGAGGAAGAGGAAGCTGCTGCAGTGCTGCTGCTTTACATGGCAGGGTTGCCATAACTGCATAAAGCAGTGGCAGCAAGGCAGTGGCTTCTCTTTCTCTTCTTCTCCTCCAGATGCAACACCTCTCTGGGTGGCTTCACAGCCTATTATGAGAGCTTATTTGCTGAGTGCCTAGATAGCAGCAAGCCTATAGGAAAGCAGCATGCTACTGCCCCTCTGCTGCTGCCACTTTACACAGCGACTACAGCGACTATGCCGTGTGAAGCAGCAGAAGTGGGGTAGCATCTTCCTCTTCCACCTTGTCACCACCTTCTTCTCCCTTGGCCATGCATTCCCTCAAGATGGGTCCCCCCCCCCATTTAATCCTCACAACAATTCTGTGAAGTAGGCTTAGGCAGAGAGAAAAAGCTTCATGGCTGAGTGGGAATTTGAATTCTGGCTTCCTGGGCCCAAATCCATCACGCTAACTACTACACCATACTGGCTCTTCAGTGGCCTGTCATCCTTGACCATTGGTCATGCTGGCTGGGGGGTGGTGAGTGCTTGGTGCTGTACAACCATGTGAATGTTTTTTGTTCTGTATTATAATTGCTACCAAGTGCTCAGTGCTGTAGAAATTCAAAATATTACTATCATTATCATCATTGCTGGTGAGTGCTTGGTGCTGTATGAACATGCAAAATGTGCTAGTAGCGTAGCATAGCAGGGAGGGCGCATTCTGTGGTTCGCCTCAGGTGCCAAACTGTATTGGGCTTGCCTTGACCACACCAGACAAGTATCAGAGGAAAATGGGCCCCTTAAAGGCACATTTGATATACCACAAGTATCCACCAAATAAACTGAACATGTTGATTGACAGGCCCAGACTGGCACCCAGGAACTATCTACCGCAACAGGGGTTTTTAACCTGTGGTCCATGGACCTCATAAAATTTATACACCATTTGATTATAGAAAACCTCAAAGTGGTTTACAAAAAAGGTAAATCTATAGAATAAGAAAAAATTTACAATACAAGAAGTTAAAATACCAAAGCAGTTTAAAATTCACACTAGCTTTTATGAGCATCTGGATAGGCTTGACTAAACAAATTACCGGACCTAATAACATCATACACTGGCTTATCTTCCAGTGCAATATATACCCTCATCTGAAAGCAGTACCATTCTGCTTTCTACATAGAACAAAGTGGTCAATCTTTATGCTAAAAAGACCAGTTCAAACCAAAGTTCAAAGAGGATAGAAGTGAAAAGAGCTGTGAAGAAGAAACCGCAGGAAATTAGTAAAAAATTGTTTGAGAGGCACAGGGGAAGAGGAAACTATCCAGTAGATAGCAGCTGGATTTCTGATGGGCAGTTTCCGAAGGCATGGGGGAGCCTTTAGAAGAAAAAGGGGAAAGGAGATTTAGAGGGATTGTGTGTGTTTTATCTGCTGAATTTCCTCTTTTTCTTTTGCAACCTTTAAGACCAGGCTTGCCCATTGACCTGAACTCCCACAGGCACACCACTATGCCTGGCCTCAATTCTATATAATTTTAGACAATTGGTTAAAATGCACCTGTTTTGGCAGGCTTTTGGAGAAGAGACATGATTAGATAAATTGATTGTCACTGCTGTTATTAATAAATTGTTATGTGTTGCTATAATTGGTGGTGGTGTTTTCATGGGGTTTACTTTTTGTTTTTATCTTGTCCGATTTTGTTGTAAGCCACCCTGTAAAGGGAGGGGAATGAATGAGAAAGAAAGAAAGAAAGAAAGAAAGAAAGAAGGAAAGATCTTAAGTTTTAGATGAGGGAAATCTGGTGGAAATATCTTTTGTCCTCATTTGACAATGGAAAATATGATTTTGGACTGCACTGCTCTACAAGATTCACCTAGTAATATACAGTACCTTTACGTTTTCGAGAGATCAGCAGGATATAATGTCATGTGCCTAATTTAGGACCGCTGCCATAAACACTAAAGCAATTATGTCAAGAAATTAGGATGTATAAACTGTGTTCTGCTGCTGTTATCAAAGATGAGAAATTCCAACACTCATTCCTATAAAAAAATATAAATGTAAATAGTTGTTCATCTATTTTATTTGGCTTAGGTAACATCAATGTATAGTTTGTTGTTTATGGTAAGATCCTGCAGATGTAATAAAATGACTGATTGAGAGTTGCTGTACTTTCTATTTAATGACACTATTAACTTTCCTTGGTAATCAGTTTTAGCACAACAAAAGAATAGCCATTTCTCATTTGTGGTGTGCAGTTCCAAATTTCTTCCCTTGAGTATGATTTTTGTTGTGGGGATATTTTTTTCTACCAGAGAATAGCCTGTTACTGGATTTTATTGTTTTTATTTGCTGTAAGCTTCCCTAAGTGAAGCAAATTCATTGGAAGGGCAGGAGTGTAATAATAAAGTGCTGCTGTCACTTCATGTGTTTCCCTCTCCTGTTTTCCTAATAACAACGTGTAGTTTAACACAACATGCTATGGGTGGGATTCCATTTGCACACTGCGGCTTAGCCACCCCCCTGCACCCCTGAAATTGGCTCTGGGGAGGTCAGGAGAGCCCACAGAACAGGTGGGGAGATCGGGGATTGTTCCATCTGGCAATCTGAAGAGTATGATGTTGAATTACACCCTATATGCTTCTGTACCTTGAATATCAACAGCTGGTGATGGGATGTGGGCATGGTGAAACACACAGCAAAATGTATGTGGTGCTACAGTAGATGAGATGTTAGACAGGAAAGAGACATAGTGGTGGCAGTTCCATGTCTCTCTTAATGTGACTTTGAGTTCCACCCTGTGTTATATATTCTCTAGTGTCCCATAGTCTGGGTTACCAGCAGTGTTTTCCACAAAGTGACAATGGGATCAGAAATTAAAATGTTTTCCTTACTGTACTGATTCTTATGACAGTGCTCCCCCGCCTCATTCAGAATTATTTTCTAAATAATGATTCTTAATGATTGTAGAAATAGAGCAAGAAAATGAATGTGTGTGTATGAGTCAAAGACAATGTCTGTGTGCAATGACATGTTCCCTATTACCATTGTTGTGTACCAAGAAATAGTTAATAAGCTGGAAGATCACCAGGCTGTCACTAGGCAGCTTAACTAGATGAATCTTGCCCTTTAATGAAGGCTCTAAAAGTGCTTCTTTCTTGAGGATATACCAGATAGGGGTGCAAGATTACAACCTGCAGAATGATGCAGTGGAAAATCGTGCAGCTCATGTACCTCTCATCTGATTTTTCACCTGGCTCCTCTTCCCTTGCCTGCCATTGAATAATATTAAAGTTCCATTTTCTAAGTAGGAGAAGGACAGGAGGAAGGTGTATAAGAGGACTGGAGAAGGAAAGGCAAGAAGGGATGGTGGCTGCACAATCTCCCACAGCCTTGTTTGTTTGTTTGCTTGCTTTAATCATCTTGCTTTAATTTGCATTTTGTTAGATTCTTTGTCCTTCCTCACTTTTGGGGCATCAGGGGCTGTCACAGCTGCAGTAAAGAAACTGAGATGGGAGAATATATTTTCCAATAAAACATGGCAAACATGAGTTTACAAGCTTGTGTTTTCTGCAGTATTGTGAATGTGGTAACAGATGGGGTTTTTATAGGGGAGAATTAGCTGTTGGGCTGGCATCAGGGGTTGGTATAATAGGGTATGTACTAAGGCTCACACCCCAGTAGAGGGCCCACTACCAATCCTTGGTGTCTGGTAGGGACACTGCTTCTCCTTGATGCTTTCCTGTCCTTAGTAAATGAGCCCACTGTGAGAATAATGAGAAGAAGCAGTACACTGTATCTGCTTTATTCCCTCTTCCTTCAGGAAGTGGTGCTGATTTGAGCCCAGAAGGAGAGGCAGTAGCAACAGCAGAGAGGAGGTAGACCCATTGAGACCATTGTGCCCAAATGGGGAACCAGCCCTGGCAGAAGGAAGTGGTGTTGTTAAAGGAAGTCTCAGTGGGTGGGTATTACATTACACCCAAGGTCTAATGGGGATTTGAGTAGTCACAAAACAATTTCCTCTCATGTCACTTTGGTTAGTGACCCTGGGTATTTTTTTATTCAGAAATGTGCAATGGTTGACTTGCTTGACTCATTCTATCTTATTTTTTCTTCAAACACCACTAGTATGTTGCATCTTGTTCACTGAACTTCTCTCCTGCTATTTGCTTGTGGCAAATTGTGGTTTATCATGCATTTAATCTGTAGGGAATTATGTCCAGGGGATCTTGCCTTAGAGGAACTGGACAAGAGGACTTTTCTTTGCCGCTATGATTCTAATCACTTACCCTATTGCCTTTTGTAGCTACAGTCAAATATTTAACTAAAATGTAAGAAAGCTGCAATGTTAAAAATAACATTTTAAACTGAAGGAGAGGGAAATGGGCCCTTTTTGTGTAATAGTATATAAGCCATCTCCTTGATAATATATTACCAGTGCTTATTTCTATGCCACCTTGCTCTGACTGCTTGACCTTTTTTGTTTTATGTATAATATACAGCTTTTCTTCAAATAATTAATCTTGCCCAAAGGCTATAAACAGACCATCTGCCTAAGTACTTAAAACTAGGTCATATATTCTGGTTATATTTTAATTATAGGGGTTAGTTCATTTCTGTTGGTCTTTTTTCTTTTATTCTTAGCTGAGCCACACAGATTATTATTCACCTGAGCTAAGGATTTAACTGCTCACAAATTTTCTCTCATTAGTCAGTCATCTTAGCCAGTTGCAATTAGTTTTCCAGTCTATATTTAGATACTATTAGCACTGCAGGCAGGGAAAAAGAAGAAAAGAAAATGAAAAATAAAGCTGTCGGAGCCTAATGACCTGGTTCCCTCTTCCTTCTTTTTTCCATTTTTCAAATATGTCAAATTTGCCGGAAAAATCTGAAGCCTCCTATATTAAATACCTTCTGGAGGATAGGTCAAATGATATTACACTCACTGTGGCAGTTTCCTTTGGAGGTTGCAAGAAACAAAGACCATCATGCTCTAAGCATAACAAAATGACTACCTCGGTCTCTTTCACCTGTTGTTTGGTTGTTTTAACTGTATTGTGTTTTGAAACTGTTTTGTGGGTCTATGGACCACAATAAAGAGAGAGGTATATAATATGTCTAATTTCCTGCTCTGTATGTGCATGAGTGCGTGTATGCATGCATGTGGACCATATCCACCCAAGGAGAGGAACAAAACTCAACAATAAAAACACAGTAACAAAATATTAAAATTAAAACAAGTACAAACATTCAGCAATATATTAAAACATAATTCAGTAAGTTATATTCAGCTAGAATAAAAAATAACTTTTATATCTACAGTAATGATACATAATTAAAACAACAGCATGACCAATAAAACACATCAGTTAAAATCTGTTTGAAAGGTGGTTTTAAAAAGTCTAAAACTAACTAAATGTAAAGACAGTCCATTAATTAGGGCCTTCAATACTAATCTTAAAAACAAGGCCAGCCCAAGCCATTTGGCACCTGTGGCGGACCCCAAAATGGCACCCCCTTCTATGCCAGGGTGAGAGACAATCTACATCAGGGACAAGGGGGAAGAAAGATTGAGATCAGGATCTGCTGCCCTGTGGATCATGCTGCCTGAGGTGGTTGCCTCACCTGGCCTCATGGGTGGGCCATCCCTGTTTAAAGCACAGGTATAGAAAAAGATGGTTAGACATATTAGCTGTAACACCTTTGAATGAAAGATCAGAACTGTATTTCTTTTTTATATAAAGTTTTGTTGCATTCAGAGTGCTGAACAGCTGTTTTAAATTTTAATAACAACTTTCCCCTATGTTTCTTTTTTCCAAGTCTTGCTTTGCATCCTGAACGAGTATTGGTGGCAACAGGTCAAGTTGGGAAAGAACCGTATATCTGTGTTTGGGACTCGTACACTGTGCAGACAATATCAGTAATGAAAGATGTTCATACACATGGTATAGCTTGCTTGGCATTTGACGTAGATGGTCAGGTATGTGTATGTGTTTAGTTTTCTGGTTTAATGAGTGCATGATATGTATCATTGTGCTATAAATTCTGCTGTACAAACTGAGTTTGGGAGACAAATTAAATGAAATGTTCATTTTTTTAAAACTTACTTTTATAGATGTTTAAAAATATGGACATGAGACAAATTAAGGCACATTTACACAGCTAAAATGGGTCCTGCGTCATTCTAAAAAACAGGCAGCAAAGTTATTGCATGTCAGTGACCTGGTAAGCCAACCTATGGCTTACTGCAGTAGTGGTTAGTGGCGTGGTACAAGTGGTACAGCATTGCTCGCCTGCTTTCTGCTGTGCTGTAGAGTTCATTTTTGTGTTTTCAGAATTAACTTTGTAAGTATACTGATCACCCAGGGCCATGCAAATGCACCCTGAAGCTTCTGAAAGAATACACATTATGGTACGTTTTCTGCAGTCAACAAAATCTAGCTGGGGAAAAAAGAGGTTTCAGTCCTCTTTTACATAACTGTATAACTGATGACAGAATGGCCGCTAGGATGTCCTTGCAAACAGATTGGAATAAGTGTGTGAATTCTAGTTATTATTTTTTTCGGTCTGTTTGCCCACACAAATTCATGTTAGTCATTTGTAGCATATTGACAGCTTGAAAAGAAATGGAGGAAACCGTTGGCAGTTTACAAAAACTTTCCTGCCTGGCCACATGCAATAAATTCTTACTCAACTTAGGCAAGCACACAAATGACTTTCTACAAACTTACGTAATTTAAAGTTCACAATATTTGGGAGTTTATGACAGGGTTATTAATTGATAGGTTTTTACTGAGACTCTTGCTTTTATATGAAAGAAACATTAACCTTATGGATGGTTAGTCACCTATCACTGACATTCAGTGGTCACTGGGAAACACATATAAAAGTCAATGTGCACTTGAAACCCTGCCAGGGTAGGATAGGGAGTGAAATGAAAGGAAGATGGTTTTAAATAAAAAATGGCAAGCAGAAGAAGGGTCAAGCACACCCTCACACATTTCACACACCATTTTTTGATTCCCTCACCCCAAAGTGGCTTTTCATATTCTTTTCTTTGTGATGCTGTTAGACATTTGTTACTGTTACAGTGCAATATTTTTCATTTGAGACACACCTCTAACTATCAAGAGCATTTTGTACAGCTTGTTTAATGTGTTTCTGGTAGGGGTGACTAAACTTTGTTCCCCCCGATGTTGCTAGACTAAAGCTCCTAACATCTCTAACTATTGGCCATACTTCCTGGAGCTAAGAGAGTTTGGATCTAACAAAATCTGGAGGACCACAGATTAGCCACACCATAATAATAATAATAATAATAAGCCTATAAGCTTTGTTTTGAAAGGCAGTCCTTAAAGCAATCATTGAAATGTATGTAAACATTATTTTCCCTTTGTGAACTGAGAATCAGATGCAGAAAAGACAGCTGCTATTTCTGTTACTCCCTTTGGGCAATAAATGTAAACAGTTTCACCAGGTACCTCCTATCTTGGAGGCCTAAACTTGTGACATGTAGTGTCATTACTTGGGGCAGAAGTGTGAGATGGAGCTCCAGTCAGAAGATAGAATCAGTGCATAGAGGTTGGAACAGGACCAGTATGTGCAATCTTGTCCCTCCCCTGCCCACAGGCATGATTCTGCATAGCATCTCATCTACTGATCTGTTTGTGGTGCAGGATTCTGCATAGCATCTCATCTGCTGATCTGTGTGGTGCAGGTAATGCTGCTATTTAATTGCTATAGAGAAAAATTGCCAAGAAGAGATAAAAATCAAGGAACTGGATTAAGGGACAAAACCAAAAACATTTTCTCAATAGACCATTTTGAAGATATCAGTAAGGTACAGTTAAATTATACACAGGAAGTCTTGTGTATTTTCAGTGTTTGCAAACCTCTGATTGAGGTGAATGAGTACAATCCTAATTTTTATAACTTCACTTGGCCCACTAAGATCTTGCTGCTTAAGGACTCTGGTATGGATTTTCAAAGGCAAAATTTCCCTAAATTTGAGCATCAGAATAATAAGTCTTGCTGAAGGAGAAATAAAATGTTTTTTTGAAAGTTAAGTTGCTCTCCATGGGGTCACGAAGAGTCAGACACGACAACGACTAAACAACAACAAGTTGATTGAAACTCTCACAGCATGTTGATAGGTGCAATCCAATAGACATTGTATATTTGGACCTCTACAAACATTTCATCAAAGACTCCTGAAAAAACTTAGCAGATGTGGGATAAGAGGATGGGTCCCAACAGTAACTGGCTAAAGAATAGGGAACAGAGAATAGGAACAGATAGTTCTAAGAATCAAAGGAATAAGGTGTGATCTGTTATGTATGTAGGCATTGTAGGCTGAAGCCAGGCTATATGCATGACATTGCAGGCCTAGGTCACAATGCTTCCTGGAGCTCAGGAGCTTGATCTGCATAACAAAAGACAGAGAGGATTCTAAAACCCTCCAATGACATTTGCTGGGAGCTGGCAGGCAGCTGAGATAGGGCCAGTGTTATGAATCGCCAGTCACAGCATAAGATGACCTTTCACAGGAGTGGAGTACCCCAGTTTGCCATTCTTGTTCTTCTTGTTCCTGATGTTACAATAAATCCTTTTGACCTGAAATCTGGTCTTGGGTCATGCCTAAACCCACCGACACTTCATGATCTGTATTGAAACAGACACTTTTGAACTTGTTCATAAATGAGTTAGGAATGAGCAGCAAGGTGACCAATGGCGTCAAATTATTCAGGGTGATAAAAACAAAAAGGATTGCAAAGAGCCCCAGAAGGATCTCTCCAAAATGGATTGAGTGAAAAAAACATCCCATATGCACTGGCAGAATTGGAACTGGTGGCAACTCACCATAAAAAAATAAACCATGAGGTAATGGTGGCTAGTGCAATAAAAAATCAGTCTAGCAGCATGTGGCAGGGTGAAAAAGCAAGTTCCATGATAAGAATTCTTAGAAAAGGAATCACAAAATAAAACTCCCTGTATTTTAATGCCAGGTGTGGGCACACTTGGAATACTGTACATAATTATGGTTTCCACATTTCTAAAAGGATATTGTAGAGTAGAAAATGTGTAGAAAAGGGTACCAAAATGTTCCGGCTGCTTGAGCACCTTTCCTTCCATTTGGGGCTTGTTAGAATAGAAAAAGGGTAAATAAGGGGGTGGGATGTGGTTGATGTTTTTGCATGGTGTGCAGAGTTAGAGAAACCTTTCCTCCCTCATAATACTAGGCCTGAAGGCTATCTAGTTAAACTGATTGGCAGGAGAAGAAGGAATAACAGTGGGAAAGGACTTTTGCCTTAATGTCCACCTCGTGTGCTTTCCAGGTGCAACAAACTGACTACTGTGGGATACAGAGAGCTGGACTCAATGTTTCATGGAACAGGGTTGTTAAATTTGTAGGTGCATGTGTGACATTCTCTGAGATCCTCTATGCCAGTCCAGATATTTGGCTATGGGTTAACCTAAACTGCAGAATGGATAGTACAAAATATTTTAAAGTGATGTCTGATGTCATGTACTGTACATAAAGGGCTTGCTTGCATAGTAAGCTCAGATGTTGTTGTCTGTAGAATAATGTAGAGAAATGAAAGGGAGATGCTTGGAAATATATTAAAAGAAATAAGAATTATTGGCACAATTTTGAGTTTGCACATCACTGCTGATAATTTGCATATATGAATAATTGGTTGCATTGATTCATGCCTTTCCAAACTACTAGGAACATAAATCTTTGATAGAAATTAGGAACAGCACACTGCACAGTACTGGAAGATGCTAATCCCAGTTTAGTGGTATGGAAAGATGCTTTGGAAGGTTGTCAGTTTCTGGACTGGCCTAGAGGATCAATAAGGAAATGGGATTATTTTTTCTTTCCCTTAATTTTTATTCTTTTAGATTCTCTATGCCAGCCTCTATATAGAATCAATATAACCTTTATAGAATTAATTTAAATTAATTACATATAAAATATGTGAAGATAATTCAATAATAAGATGTCATGTTTCACAAGAAATATGGGCTGTTTTCAAAATGTTGTGGGAGCTTACAGAATTGGCAAGCCCTTTGTATACAGGCAATGATATTACCAAAAAGGATTTGTGTACTGTTTCCATCTGCTTGGCAGGGAGGATCTATATACAAACATTTGGACTGGCATAGAAGTTCATGAAGAAATGAAACAATGAGGTAAGGAATTATTTTCATAGCCTGAAAAGGTATGCTTTCTTCTACAAACTGCTGCGGGTTCAAACTGATTTCATCACCAAATTTAGGCACGAGATTAGGACAAATAAAATGCCAAGAAGCAAGGGAATGTAAAACAGAACCATGCCTGTTCTCAGTTGCCAGCATGGTATCATCTAACTCCGCACTGTAATGCGAGGGTAATAAAATAAATCAAAACTATCAGCAAAAAATTACATTATGTTTATCTTCAGAAAAAACTTTCCTGGTGGCGTCACAGCCTACATTAGCCCATTTTATGGCAATCCTAAAACGGACCTTTTCTGTAATGGCACTGGCATTGAGGAACAGACTTTCCTCTAGAACTGGGCAGACATCTACAGTGGTCTGTTTTCACCACCAATTAAAAACATGCCTACATGTCAAAGTACCATACTATTATTATTATTATTATTATTATTATTATTATTACTACTGCTGCTGCTGCTGCTGCAGCTACATTTGTATATTGCCCTTCATCTGAAGATCACAGGGCAGTTTACAATATAAAAAACAAAATAAAAACAAAATACATAACACAGTAAGGAAAAGAAACCCCACACAAACATTTAAAATGCCATAGATTGCTTAATTAGCTGAGGGCTTGGGAAAAGAGGAACATTCTTGACTGATGCCTAAAAATATGTAATGAAGGTGCCAGGTGAGCCTCCCTGGAGAGAGCATTGCACAAACAGCCGCTGCAGAAATTCATTTTCTCTCTTTATTACTGAAAATGTTCTTTCTGTGCTTTAAAATATGCACTTTCTTTCTGTCAGATAATACATTTGGGTAGGATCCAAAGAACCCATGCACAAGTGCTTCCATCTAGATTGCCAGCTTCCTGAAAACCATGGTTTGCATCCCAGAAGCCAACCTCAGGAACTTGCAATCCCCTCCTCCTTCCTTTCTTCCTCTCTAGAGCAAATTCACTATCCTGAGCCTCATTTGCTTTAACTGTGGTATTGTGCTATATCTGCATCAGTGCTAACACTGGTTAATGCTCATTCCATATTTAGGCTTTCAAACATTTTTCTAATCCTGTTGAACCTGTTACTGGTTCTTTTCTTCTCAACTTCTTGTTTTTATCAGATTTATTATTTTTATCAGTTCATTTATTATTAATGAACTCCTTGTTAAGAAGAATGGCAGATGTGGAGAGGAAGCTCTGTAGCCCAAATACAACAACCCTATGGCCCTTTGGATCCTAGCCTCTGTCTTTAGGAAGTTTGTAGTATCTGGCTCACTTTTTCAAATATGTGTGTCATTAGATTATCATTTGGTTGAGTTCTCCCACTCACAAAGTACAGAGCACATTGTTATTTTAAATTAATATCTTCTTTTATTCTCTTCTAACATTTTGGAAACGTTCAGCGTTTACTTTCTGTTGGTTTGGATTCAAAAAATACAATCTGTGTGTGGGATTGGAGAAAAGGAAAGATGTTGTCTATGGCTCCTGGTCATACAGACAGGGTAAGTTTAATTTTAAAAATAAGAGTGTGTATCAAATTTTGGGTTGTCAAAACTTTTGCATGTATTTTAGGAATCTGTTTTCTGGGTGTTTCTTTATATTGGTTAGAACATATTTTGATGACTATGCTAGAACACAGAGGGTGGTTTTTTGTGTTTTTTTAAAGTGAAATGGCAAATTGAGTTTGCTGCTCAAAACATATTGGTATTCTTGGAATAAAGTAAATAAGTAGCACCTTAATATTTCATCATAGCATTTTTGTAATGTTATATACTTGTACCCCTTGCTTCTTTATTTGTTTACACACACACACACACACACGCCTGGTTTGGGATGTCTCAACCCAGTGATCCCATGCGCCGACACAAATCTTATAGGCCTGCTTTGGAAGTACAACCACCAGTTTGCTAAAACTTAGATTAGCAATCTGGGAATGGGCACCAGGCCTGTGCCGGCACCCCATGCTCCTTTATTCATGAGCATGACAATCCTGGTTAGCTTAAACTACAGTTCGCTGTTACATCCAAAACAAGGAACTTGGATTTCATGTCAGTTTTCTAACTAGGCTCTTAAATGACATTCAGTCTGTGATTATTCATCTCTAGCTTTGCAGATTTAAGAGTATAAGAGATTCATTTGTCAGTCAGATGAAGGTCTACTCAATCCAGTGTTCTGTTTCCAATAGTAGTCAGCCAGATGCTTCTCAGCGCTCACAATTAAGTTGTGAAGGTGATTCTAACATCAATTTGTATTAAGAAATATACAATGCTCAGTACCTGAAATTTCATTTAGTTATAGCGAATACCTGAATTAATCGTCTTAGATATACATTTTATTTTTATTACGACGTTTAAAGTACTGGTGGCATGAAGCAAGTTTGCCTATTTACATTACAATTATGTCTCACAGATATGTTAGTCTGTGATGTTAGTTACGCTGAAAGACAGTGACTTGCCCAAGATGACATAGTGAATTTCATGGCAGAGTCCAAATTTAAGCAAGACCATGCCATGTCTTACTGGGCACAGAAACCATGGGAGCAACTCGGGAGACAATTATTAAATTATTAAATAAAAGTATACATTAGTATACTTCATGTTAATATATTATTAATTACCTTAAGATGATCAGTTACCACTGAAAATAATGTAAAAGCTTTAACATTACACAGGTCGTTGGAAACCTATGGTGAAATTAGATATAATGATCACCTTTCTCTGTTCATCGATATTTTCAGATTAAATGAAATACATTTTCAAAACTTATGTTTATTTTCTTCTCTCCCTCCTGTAGATATTTGATATTTCTTGGGACTTGTACCAACCAAACAAACTTGTCAGCTGTGGTGTAAAACACATTAAGGTAAGACAATATGTTTTGTCTGAATGGTATTCAACTGTTTTATTCAGAGTTCACCTATTAAAAATATTGGACCAAACTTAGTTATATTCCTTAATTTCAGTAGGTCTGCTCTGAGTGAAACCTAGTTGACTATTGCCCTATATCAGGCGCAGGCAAACTCGGCCCTCCAGATGTTTTGGGACTACAACTCCCATCATCCCTAGCTAACAGGACCAGTGGTCAGGGATGATGGGAATTGTAGTCCCAAAATATCTGCAGGGCCGAGTTTGCCTATGCCTGCCCTATATGTTTTATTAATTTTTCAAACAACTTTGTAAATTGAATAGCAATTTCAGTGAACAGTTATTAGCTCATTAACATGTCAGTCTATGATTATTTTGGGTTTTCCATAAAATTCTGAACCGGAAATTTCTCATCATACCCCAGCATTTGACGAATCATACCAATAAGCTACTGACTAAATGCTGGAAGATCTACATGTATGCCAAGTTTTCAGTGCAGAAAAAGTCTCAGTGGATTCAACAAGCCAGAATTGGGGGAAAATATTCAAGGCCACTGCTGTCACCTGGCTGGTCCAGGAGAACTCTCAAACAGTTCTCCTGCTGTCCAGGAGAACTCTCAAACAGTAAATCTGTGGCAACTTCAGCCAGAAGAGGTTGAAACCTAATCCAAGATCATTGGAACCCCCAAGCAATATTACCCTCATCTTTTCTGGATTAAGATTCAAATTTGGTTCATCCTGTCTAAAACTTCTGCCAATCGCTGACTCTGATCTTCCACTGCCTCCCCAGGATTGGTAGATGGAAATGAGAGAGGGCTGGGTGCCATCTGTGCCCTGATACCCTATCAAAAATTTCTGGATGGGAATGGATTATGTCCATTTTCTGGCATGGTTTGAATTGACAGCAGGGCTCACTGTTTGCAGCAGCCAGCTGATCAATGCTGATAGCAAGCCCCTTTGATTGACAGATGGGTGGCCCCTGTCAAAATGGCCCATGGGGTTTGTGGAAGGTAGGGATTCAGGCTCTTGGTTGGAAAAGGTTCCCTACACCTGTCATAAAACAAGCCCACAGGGCAGAGCTGCAGTCTCTCAAAATCACTTTCTGGATCTTCTCCACCCCCAGGTACGACTGGAGCCACCTCAGAACTTTTCCTCCAGTCCCATCCTGGCAAAGCAGTCCAGAAAGTTACTTCAGCTGATGTATCAAAATCTTCAGAAAGATCCAGGAGAATGAATAGGGCTGTACTTCCCCTGCCTATCCCTTGACAAAGTGATTAAGGGTGTTTTATTTCCTAAACCAGATTGAAAACCAAACTGAAAAGGATCCATATATTATTGTGGAGATGTAGTTTAAGTTTTCTAGGTGAAAAGGCTTTTATTGGGCTATGGATAACTTGCAGAAATACCATACTTGTGAGAGCCAGTAAAATGCTATGATTTTAGGAAGTTTGTCAAGGGGCCAAAACAGTAGAATATTTCAACTATTTGAGAGAATACTGTTTTGAAATAGTAATATAACTAGAAATGCTAAGAAGAGTTAATCTGATAAGCACTGGAAAGTTTTTAAAAGTGTAAAATTGTCACAAAAAAACACTTTTATAGTGTATGTTCTTCTGGTACTTACAAATTAGTCAAAAATTGGTATGCTAACTAAGTTCCCCTTCATGGATCACTGCCTTGCCGTGGCGAAGGGGCTTGAAGAACTCAGAGAAGCTATGAACTATGCCGAGCAGGGCACCCAAGATGAACAGGTCATAGTGAAGAGTTTTGACCAAACGTGATCCACCTGGAGGAGGAACTGGCAAGCCACTCCAGTATCCCTGCCAAGAAAACTCCATGGACAAAGACAACAGGCATATAAAAGTTATGACGCTGGAAGATGAGCACCTCAGTTCGGAAGGCGTCCAACATGCTACTGGGGAAGAGCGGAGGACAAGTACAAGTAGATCCAGAGCTGATGAAGCGGCTGGGCCAAAGCCGAAAGGAGGCTCAGTTGTGGATATGCCTGGAAGCGAAAGGAAAGTCCAATGCTGTAAAGAAAAATATTGCATAGGAACCTGGAATGTAAGAACCATGAACCTGGGTAAGTTGGATGTGGTCAAAAATGAGATGGCAAGAATAAATATTGACATCCTGGGCATCAGTGAACTAAAATGGACGGGAATGGGCGAATTCAGTTCGGATGACTATCATATCTACTACTGTGAGCAAGAAACCCACAAAAGAAATGGAGTGGACCTCATAGTCAACAAAAGCTGTACTGGGATGCAATCTCAAAAATGATAGAATGATCTCGATACGAATCCAAGGGAGACCTTTTAACATCACAGTAATCCAAGTTTATGCACCAACTACTGGTGCTGAAGAAACTGAAATTGACCAGTTCTATTAAGACTTACAACACCTTATAGAAGTGACACCAAAGAAGGATGTTCTTCTCATTATAGGGGATTGGAATGCTAAAGTAGGGAATCAAGAGATAAAAGGAACAACTGGCAAGTTTGGCCTTGGAGATCAAAATGAAGCAGGGCAAAGGCTAATAGAGTTCTGTCAAGAGAACAAGCTGGTCATCACAAACACGCTTTCCCAACAACACAAGAGACGACTCTACACATGGACATCACCAGATGGGCAGCATCGAAATCAGATTGATTATATTCTCTGCAGCCAAAGATGGAGAAGCTCTATACAGTCAGCAAAAACAAGACCTGGAGCTGACTGTGGCTCAGATCATCAGCTTCTTATAGCAAAATTCAAGCTTAAACTGAAGAAAGTAGGAAAAACCACTGGGCTGGTAAAATACAATCTAGATCAAATCCCTTATGAATACACAGTGGAAGTGAGGAACAGGTTTAAGGACTTAGATTTGCTGGACAGAGTGCCTGAAGAACTATGGATAGAGGCTCGCAACATTATACAGGAGGCAGCAACTAAAACCATCCCAATTAAAAGGAAATGCAAGAAAGCAAAGTGGCTGTCCCATGAGGCCTTACAAATAGCGGGGGAGAGAAGGCAAGCAAAATGTGAGGGAGATAGAGAAAGATACAGGAAATTGAATGCAGATTTCCAAAAAATAGCAAGGAGAGACAAGAAGGTCTTCTTAAATGAGAAATGCAAAGAAATAGAGGAAAACAACAGAATGGGAAGAACCAGAGATCTGTTCAAGAAAATTGGAGATATGAAGGGAACATTTCGTTCAAAGATTACCATAACAAAGCACAAAAGTGGTAAGGACCTAACAGAAGCAGAAGACATCAAGAAGAGGTGGCAAGAATACACAGAAGAATTATACCAGAAAGATATGGATGTCTCGTATACCCCAGGTAGTGTGGTTGCTGACCTTGAGCCAGACATCCTGGAGAGTGAAGTCAAATGGGCCTTAGAAAGCACTGCTAATAACAAGGCCAGTGGAAGTGATGGTATTCCAGCTGAACTATTTAAAATTTTAAAAGATGATGCTGTTAAGGTGCTACACTCAATATGCCAGCAAGTTTGGAAAACTCAGCAGTGGCCAGAGGATTGGAGAAGATCAGTCTACATCCCAATCCCAAAGAAGGGCAGTGCTAAAGAATGCTCCAACTACCGCACAATTGCACTCATTTCACACACTAGCAAGGTTATGCTTAAAATTCTACAAGGAAGGCTCAAGCAGTATGTGGACCGAGAACTCCCAGAAGTGCAAGCTGGATTTAGAAGAGGCAGAGGAACCAGAGACCAAATTGCAAACATGCGCTAGATTATGGAGAAAGCTAGAGAGTTCCAGAAAGACATCTATTTCTGCTTCATTGACTATGCAAAAGCCTTTGACTGTGTCAACCACAGCAAACTATGGCAAGTTCTTAAAGAAATGGGAATGCCTGATCACCTCATCTGTCTCCTGAGAAATCTCTATGTGGGACAAGAAGCTACAGTTAGAACTGAATATGGAACAACTGATTGGTTCAAAATTGGGAAAGGAGTACGGCAAGGCTGTATTTTGTCTCCCTGCTTATTTAACTTATATGCAGAATTCATCATGCGAAAGGCTGGGCTGGATGAATCCCTAGCCGGAATTAAGATTGCTGGAAGAAATATCAACAACCTCAGATATGCAGATGACACAACCTTGATGGCAGAAAGTGAGGAGGAATTAAATAACCTTTTATTGAGGGTGAAAGAGGAGAGCGCAAAATATGGTCTGAAGCTCAACATCAAAAAAATGAAGATCATGGTCAATAGGCCCATCACCTCCTGGCAAATAGAAGGGGAAGAAATGGAGGCAGTGAGAGATTTTACTTTCTTGGGCTCCATGATCACTGCAGATGGTGACAGCAGTCATGAAATTAAAAGACGCCTGCTCCTTGGGAGAAAGGCAATGACAAACATAGACAGCATCTTAAAAAGCAGAAACATCACCTTGCCAACAAAGGTCCGTATAGTTAAAGCCATGGTTTTCCCAGTAGTGATGTATGGAAGTGAGAGCTGGACCATAAAGAAGGCTGATCGCCAAAGAATTGATGCTTTTGAATTATGGTGCTGGAGGAGACTCTTGAGAGTCCCATGGACTGCAAGAAGATCAAACCTCTCCATTCTTAAGGAAATCAGCCCTGAGTGCTCACTGGAAGGACAGATTGTGAAGCTGAGGCTCCAATACTTTGGCCACTTCATGAGAAGAGAAGACTTCCTGGAAAAGCCCCTGATGTTGGGAAAGATTGAGGGCCCAAGGAGAAGGAAACGACAGAGAACGAGATGGTTGGACAATGTTCTCAAAACTACCAACATGAATTTGACGAAACTGCGGGAGGCAGTGGAAAACAGGAGTGCCTGGCATGCTCTGGTCCATGGGGTCACGAAGAGTTGGACACAACTAAATGACTAAACAACAACAAAAATCATATGACCTCTTAAGCCCTCTTTAGGAAGAGTGTTGGGGTGCCTTTTTCCAGCCTAAGGATCACAGTCCCTTGTGGTAAATTTTCTGAGGGCCACATGCTAATATTGGGTAGGGTGAAGGGCAAAAGTAGGTGGACTAATGAATGGTACTCTCACAGCTTTCTGCAGTGGGCTCCATTCCAGCCATGTCCCCACCTCCATCTTCCAACCAGGGAAGCAAGATACCTTATTACAGTCACCACCGATGGACCAGCTCTTTGAACCAGTTTAAGGCACATTCAGGCATACCTTGAACAGATGCTGGCTTCCAACATTAAAGAGAAGTTAATCGGACACGACTAAACGACTAAACAACAACAACAACTAAGTTACCAAGAAACTGGAAATATGCATGGAGCTAGAAACAACAATTAGATAACATATATCCTGTCTGGAGATAACATTCTTGAAAATTGAGTACTAAAGACTAATTGAGGTCAGGAAGGATCACTGACTAACTCTGGACTGTAGTCAGCAACAAATGCATCCCCACTTAGCCTAGTTACTTCTGACCATTAACCCTCTTGTGGCTTGTCCTGATAGTAGCAGTCAAGATACAAAATGGTAATGAATGGTTAATGCTGCAGATCTAGAGTTAATAAGGATATATTCCTGCTAAATTCTGCAGCTCAGTTTAGTCTGTTTTATAGCAAAGATAAACTGTGGTAACAGTGATAACGATTTGTCATGGCAAATAGAGTAGCAATGACAGGACATGATACTTCATAGGCTCTCATATTGCAACCTGATGTCTTTGAAGAAAATAAAGTGATTATCTTGTCAGGTCCTAGGCAGTCTTTAGGACTCATTGCAGTGATGGATTTCATTCTCCTAGTGGGGGTAATCTGCTAGTCATATGTATCCCATGCTGATTGTCATAAAATGGCCATGTTGCTGGGATAGTACAATAAGTCTTGTGCTGTCCTTTGTATCCAAGTTGCCTCCTTCATGCAATTCAGACAGGCCAAAGCAATGACAGGAGAAGCAATTACATAAATTTCCTGCACCCACTGCTGACTTTCCAAACAGGTTTTAATATGGAATTTTGGGCGGTAAGTTCAGCTTCAAATATCTATCTGTTCCATGAAATCTAATAACAATAGGGCTTTTGGGTAGCGGTAACACAGAGATGGATTTCCTTCGGGTAGGTCTGAATTTAAATCAGGCTATTTCTGGTTATGCATATTTACTTTTTTTTCTTGAGGCATCCCTGAATAGCTTAGGAGAGTCTTTAATAGGTTTTTTTGGGGGGGGGGGTTAATGACAGCATAACACAGTAGCAAGGGTTTGAATTAATCCTGGAGAAACTGATCTACGGTTATCTTAATAACAAATTGTATTGTTACATGCTACCCCAGTCTCTGCCAAGTGGTAGAAAATTCCAGAGTTTCCAGTCGCTCACCCAGAGTCATGCTTCCATGGGAATTCAGGTCAAAGTGGAGGCTGTAGCGCTTTAAGATATATGGCTTATTTTACACCTATACACAGTTAAAGTCTTCCAAGGGGTGTGTGCAGAACATTATGCCCCAAAAATGCCTCTCATTACCCTTCTCATAGCTTCAGCAAGCTTGGGGCCTAAGCAGCAGTCAGTCATAGCTCCTGGTCTCTTGGTGCACCCTCCTCCAGCAAGTGCCAATGTGGTTCTACCCTTTATTTCCCTCCACAAACTCTGCTTCAAGCAACTCCTCCTCACCCCAACAAAGTTTTTTAGAAGTACATTTTTCCTTGTGAGCATAGCCTGCCCCCTTCCTGTTACCTTGGCAATTCCTGTCCGCCCAGGTTCAAGGATTCCCCTTTGATATGGCCATCAACACTTTTTGTTAACACCTCTATACCAGGTAACATCCTGGCATTAGTAAGGAAATTTAGTTTGTATTTTTCCACTCACCTGGAATCTTCCCTCCAATACTCCAAATAATGACATTCATCAATTTATTGGGTGTATGGGGGTGTCTTTCCCCACCCAAACTATAACAGTATTTAGCAAGACTGCCCTTTATGTACTGATCAGATGTAGCAATTCTCCATTTCTAATATAATAAAACGAAGTGTATCCATTTGCCCTATGAAGCTTGCATTTATTATCCCAATCAAGTATGAAGTTCACTGGATGACCTTGGGCAAGTCAATTCTCAGTTCAGAGCAAGAAAAAGGCAGGTTTAAATCAACATTTTCATTGATACTGCTACATACATTTCCTAAACAAAGGTGTAAATCTGACCAGCAAATCATGTTAGTTTACAACTAGAGTTTGTTATTTTCAGGAAATGCGGTTAGTTAGGATTGCAACCTACAACTGGAGTTATATGATCCCTGATTTGACTGTAAATCACATTGAGCTCATCTTCTAGGCTAAGGCAACATGCATCAGATCACACCATAGTAGCCAGCGGTGTGGGGACATTTACCTAAGCTCCCATCAGTGCTGCTTCTGCAGCTTACTGGAAGGGAGCGAAGGAGGGGCAAGGCACTGCAGTGTTGACATGGTGCAAATGCACCAGTAGAACCAGTCCACTCCTGCATCATGCCAGCCTCACCACTACATCACCCCTCTTCTTCCCAGTAAGCTGTAGCAATGCAGATGATGAAAGGTCAGGTAAATGCCCCTGTTCTGCCAATCACTACTGGAATAAAGTTGTAAATCTCTTTTTTTGTGCTCCTTATGAAACAAGGGGACAAATGCTGCATATCAGGGCACACATCGATGTTACCAGACCCACATAGCTACTATCAATAATAGCAGCTCTGCAACTAATTTTTTTAACTTTCCTCATAATGTCTACTATATTGTGACATTATCATGCTTCAATTTGCCTTCCCTCCACAAACAGCTGTCCATTAAGTGGAGTTGGGGAACAGAAGCATGAAGTGCAATGTCTGTAGGAGTAACTGGACATGTGAATGGGTTAATTTCCTTCATGAGTGTAAATCACCCCATGAACGAGCTAATCACAAATGCAAGGTCAGCCAAGCCAGCCGTTATGGTAACAGCCCAGTGCCCTGACTTTATCTGTGATTAATGAATGTCAGCTCTGTAGTTAGTCTGTGAGCAACGAAGATACTTTGTATGTATCTATAATACCTGTATCTACATCCAGAACTGTTTTACTGAGCCTTATCTTCTGCAACAGTAAACTTTTGGTACTTTAAGCTGCTTCTGTGTGGTGACTGGTACTGGGACCAACTTCCACTGCGTGGGTATCTCACCTCAGATTCCCAATAATTAGATTGTCCATCAAGAACCTTAGCAATTTTCAAGTGGTCTGTGGTGTGGAAAATTTAGGAATTGTATATAGTTACATCACAAAACTTTTAGTTGTAATTGTTTAAAATGCTCTGTGTGGTTTACATTAAATCACTTTATTCTTGCAGTTCTGGAGTTTATGTGGCAATTCATTGACACCAAAGCGTGGTGTTTTTGGTAAGACTGGTGATCTCCAAACTATATTGTGCCTCGCCTGTGCAAGAGATGAAGTAACATATTCTGGTGCACTTAATGGAGATATATATGTATGGAAAGGAATCAACCTTATCCGAACCATACAAGGAGCTCATGCTGTAAGTATCATTTTCATATGAAAGGTGATTGACCAGTGAAATACCGATAAATTAAGATTTTGTGTGACATACACAGATTTCTAAATGGATTGCATTTTGGTTAACAAATGCAGGGGACTTTATCAGATGTTGAATGTCACAGTTTAACTTCTGGCAGACCCTTTCATAAGTTTCTGGCTGAATATACCAGAAAATGCAGAAATTAGGACAAGTTTGCAGCCTCTCCTCATCTTGCAGATTAATGTTTATGGGTTATTTATCTGGGATGGCTGAAGGCTAAGTGCACTGGTGTTCAGGAAGGAATCTTCAGCTGTGTGCTACTCCCAGGATGTTATTGCTTCACTCTCGGTAGGGGAAAGGCAAGACTGATGGATTTGTGTGCAAATTGAGGAGCACAGCTCCTATTCACAACTCCCAATGAGAGACTTATTCCATATAATTTTCATCTGAACACCTGTGTGAAATTTATGGAAGCATAGTGTGGTGACATTTCATTGATGGGTTGTATTTTATATCCTGGTTTTCCTTCCAAACGGCAGAGTAGCTTGCATATGGCTGTTATGTAGTATTTCATACAGACACTGCACAGGGCCATCTTCAGTATTTGAACCTTAGCATATGTCTTTTCTGCAAAAAGGAGAGAGGAAGATGTTCCTTTTCATCATTCTTCATTCCACATAACCTGTAAATAGGTTCAGAACAATGGGAAGAGGAACACCACTTCATGAAACCAATTAAAAAATTTACAAGGTGCCAAACAGTCTTAAAAACATAGACCAACATTCAATGTTTCACAAGCAAACTTCTCACCACTGCAGCCAATTTAAAAGTTCATCATCCTAAAACTACCAACAAAATGAAAGCTGGAATAAGTGGGCTTTAAAAACTTGAATTTATGTCTGTGTTGTATGTGTACACACACACACACACAGAGAGAGAGAGAGAGAGAGAGAGAGAGAGAGAGAGAGAAGGTCCAAAATCCAAGCAGTTGTGGGAAAGATAACATTGTAAGCATTCACTGCCAAACCTGTGATGGAAATATAAACATATATATTGAACCACTGTTGTAGCATGCTTTAAACTTATATACTCTATACCGCTCTATGGTCTTCAAGGGCAGCTTTGTTTTAGAGCAGTAATGTAACCTGAAATAAATGCAAAAGTATTGAGTGACCTTCCCAAGCTATAGAATAGTGTATTGTAGATCAACATATGAAATCTTCTTTTGGATTTAGAATTTTAAAAATGGATCCGTTTCAGGAACTGGATATAAAACAGGAAACAAGTAAACAATAACGATCTTGGTCTTGCATGGTTACACTTGGTAGGACTTTTATATGAGGAATGTATATACTACACCTCCTTAGTGGGTGAATAATTTATTTCAGTATTCTTTAACAGAGGTGAATACTCAAGTTGTGTGGATTGAAGCCAAAGCTGAGGTCAGATAACAGGCACCCTGTATAAAACATCACCATGTTGCTTGGGCAAGTTTTAATTAAATATAAGTGGAAACAATATAGCAAACTTAAATGAGTGCTTTAACCCTCTTGTGAGCCAACACAGAACATCCACTGTTTTGCTGTCTCTCTTTACAAGTGTAAACCAGAATGGAACTCATGGACTTCCAATGAAACTGAATTTTGGGAGATTCAGGACAAATAAATAAAAGTACTTCTTCATGCAGCGCATAGTTACACTATGGAACTATCTCCCACAGGAGGCAGTGATGGCTAGCAACCTAGAAGGCTTTAAAAGAGGATTTGATAAATTCATCAAGGAGAGCGCTATCACTGACTACTAGCCATGATTGCTACCCTCTGTCTCCACAGTTGGAGGCAGCAATGCTTCTTAATACCGGTTGCTGAAAAACAAAGGAGGGGAAAGGGTTGGTTTCTCACATGCATTTGGTTGGCCACTGTGAGAACAGGATGTTGGACTACATGGGCCATTGGCTTGATGCAGCAGGGTCTTCTTATACTTACTATGTTCCTAAAGGACATTCTCAGTCCAGATAGGAGGATGACATGGGGAAGAGAGCAGACTGCCTGATCTCCCTGTGATGGTGACTATGTTTCTGGACTTGGTTTCAGACTCCTTAAAAGGGACACTACAGAGGGCTTTTTTTGGTAGCAACTCTTAAGGGCAGCATTTTCATAGAGCTAGAGTGTTGAGAAAGGCTCAGGCTTGGGTATTCACAGAAGTGTGGACTCATATGCATAACATTTTAACTTCTATTGTATTTTTTCACTGAGTTTGCATGTAGTTGTGTTAGTGGATCTGTGATTAGCGTCTTTCCAGTCATGGTGATTAAAGGGAATAAAATCATTTGAGGTGCATTGCCTCGATATGAATTTAATTTAATTAAAGAAAAAAATAACCTAATCATAAAGGTCATGTGTCACAATATTGGATCAGTCAGAGACCAGCATTTGGAAGGTGCAGACAACAATTTGTATAATCATTCAGCTACGTGGTTACACAGCAGTTAAGTGAAACTGTCAGATATATTTTGCAGTTGTGTGGTCTAGTTGCATTCACAAGCAGGCTTTCTTAGAAAAGCAGAGCAGAGTTTTATGTAGTTGTTCTTTTCAAATTCTGATTATTATTTTTTAAAGACAAGAGTCTGTTATTTGTATAAACACATAGTGTATTCTAAAGGAAAACGCAGGAAAAATATTTTGCCTCATGTGGTTTTTTTTTAATATCATCATTAATGCAAGTTGTGTGCATACTTAAATATGTTCTTTACTCTTTAGGCAGGAATTTTCAGCATGAATGCCTGTGAAGAAGGCTTTGCTACTGGTGGCAGGGATGGCTGTGTTCGCCTTTGGGATTTAAATTTTAAACCAATTACTGTGATTGATCTCAGGGAAACAGACCAGGGATATAAAGGTAAAACAAAACAAAACAGTATTTTAATTACATTATCAAAGGAATACCTTTTTCATTGACCATTGTCCTTCATAGCCCTACTCATAATTGAGGAGTCATAGCCCTACTCCAGAACAGCAATGCTGGTGTGGATTTTCTGAGTTGTATGTCACGTAAGCAGAGGTCTATATTAATGGATGTCTGTGTATGGAGTGCAATGTTAAAACTTCTCTTTGCACAGTAGTGGCACTGTGTGGTGAGAAGACCCATGCATTTAGTGGCCTTGCAGGGTAGGTTTTGCTCAATGTGTTCCCATAGGAATGCTTGCCTAACAAATTATTTCCAGGGAACTCATTGTGTTCAGTAAGCAGGACCTGCATGTACTGATTTTTTGGCTGCTATAAATAGCACATGTCAGAAAGAGGAAGAGACAGCAAGAAACAGGCAAAGAAAGAGAGAGATTCTTAATCACTGTGCATGTTTACTTGAAATAAGTTCTACTGAATTCAGGTGAGCTTACTCCCATATAACTGTCCATAGGATCATGAGCTTCTCCCAGCTCATACATGATCTCCATAAAAGAAAAAGAAGCAGAAGCTTCCACAGCACACTCCCATCAGTCAATGTGGTCCTAAATGGTTGTGGTAGAATCGTAAAGAAACTTGCATACTCCAGCATGAACAACCTTGAAGCTTCTTCTGAAATAAACAACAAATGGTTTATTTGTAAGGATTGTGACAACAGCTGAGGACAGGATAGACTGATGAAGGAGGGTTGATGCAGCTATAGTTTCTCCTCCATTCCCTTTTAACAAAGTGCAAGGCGCAGATACAGTTAAATTCAGTTGGACTTAACTTATGAGCAAAGTAGTGCTAGCCAAAACATTACTGCAGGCCTCTAATTTTTATTTATTGTAATGTAAAAATAAAATTTGTCATTTGGGGTAAAAGGGGGGCTTACCTCAATGTGTACTATGTGATTTAATTAACTTTCTTCCATTTTTTCAGGAACAATATTCAGGAATATTTTATGATTTCACAGGAATTTTTTCTTTGCTAAACATATGTATAATAAAATCTGCATATTTACTTTCCACAGGTCTGTCTGTGAGAAGTGTTTGTTGGCGAGGAGATCATATACTAGTTGGAACACAAGACAGTGAAATCTTTGAGATTGTGGTGCATGAACGCAATAAGCCTTTTCTTATTATGCAAGGGCACTGTGAAGGGGAGCTTTGGGCCCTAGCAGTTCATCCTACAAAACCTTTGGCTATGACGGGAAGTGATGATCGATCAGTCAGGTTAGTTCCCATGGATTCTCAAAAGACACATGAGCATCTACAGTGAAACATACTTTGAATTTTAAAATACAAAACCATTTTTTTTGCATTTGTGGTAAGTTATAATCTGTTGCTTTGGTATAAAATATGCACCTTAAGTTTTAGATGTCACATTTAAGTAAATGATTATTACATGTATTTTATTCATCAAAGTATTTATATATCATCCTCACAAAACATCAGGACTGTGTGCAGAAAGATAAAAAGCTTTTAAAATCATTACAGAAAAATAAGTAAAATGACTGGCCACTTAAGAAAATTTTAGACAACTGCATAGCCCTGTCATCAAATTATGGAAACAATTGTGCTAAAGCCCCAGGGGTGCCCGTGTGACTGTATTTTAAATCTTAAAATAGCAGTGAGACTGACCTTGGCAATATAATAAAACAGTTGACTGTGTGCTAGATGAAAATGGTTCTGCAGCCTGATAAAATAGTTAGATGGCACCTTGCCATACAGCCAACCAAATTAGGTTCTGAATTCTCTGTGACACTCAGAAATGTTTTGGGCATGTGTGAATTGGATCTGGGCCTCAATCCAGTCTTGGAGTACAGGGTGCTAATGAATATAAGTCATATGCTTTTTTGGGGGGGGGGTATTTTTTAAAAAGATGAGACAACCCACTACATTTTTCTCTGCATGTATGATAATTGTATTTTGTTTACCCCGAATACTTTCTTGCAGAATATGGAGCCTTATAGATCATGCATTGATTGCACGGTGCAATATGGAAGAGCCAATTCGTTGTGCAGCTGTTAGCACTGATGGAATTCATCTTGCACTTGGAATGAAAGACGGTTCCTTCACAGTACTTCGAGTTAGGTAGGTTATGCATTGGAGACATTTAAACAAAGATAAACTTTGCCATTAAGTTGCTTTTACAATGAATTGTAAAATTCTGCCACCTGCTAGCATGGCATCAGTGCCAGATAATTTTTTCCATTTGGACTTATTTGTAATGCATTTGTTTGTGAATACACGTGTGCCCCTGTGTCCACATAAGGCTGGCACTTTTGAAGATATATGATTTTTGTGGTGTTGTTCAATAATTTGAAGAAATGTGTGCAAACTATATTTTAATGCAAGCCCATAGGCCTTCTGCTGTAATCTGAGTCCTCAGATGGGCAAATGTGTATCCACATGCAAATAGAGGCTTCCTTATTAATGTGTAGATGCCTCAGCTGTATATTATATATTGCACTGCTAAGTAGATATTCCATTTGCAAGGCTTTTCTTCACTTGATGGGAGTAAAAATGGATTTCTTTGTACACAGACAATGACTAAACTATATATTTTTCTTTTTCTGTGTTACAGAGATATGACAGAGGTTGTTCATATTAAAGATAGGAAAGAAGCTATTCATGAATTAAAATACTCACCAGATGGAAATTTCCTTGCAGTTGGCTCTAATGACAGTTCTGTTGATATTTATGGTGTTGTTCAGCGGTACAAAAAGGTTGGAGAGTGTATTGGATCAACAAGTTTCATCACTCATATGGATTGGTCATTGGACAGCAAACACTTGCAGACCAATGATGGCAGTGGAAAAAGGCTTTTTTACAGGATGCCTGGTGAGATAATCTTCTACTATTACAATTATTCAAGAAAATAGGTAGTGAGTTCTGTGCTTAGGTTGCCTAATGCTATTATAACATAGCACATTCCTGGTAAAGTAGTTGTAGTGACTGCAGCTAGTCATTTCCCTCCAGACAATTTTAATCAGTGGGCAGAGGAATCTTAGACTGCTTGCAGAAGATAACTGATTTTGACCAGTTCCTTCCTCCTACTGCACTTCCATAAGACATATCCCTCTAGAGAGGCTTTTATGGGGGCAGGGGTATGATGGGCTGCAGGGAAGGGAGGGAGAAGAATTGGTTGCACAAGCAGCCTTCTCCTTGTGCAATATTGAATACAATCCAGTTAATATGTTAATTGCCCGTATAAATCGAGTGAATGATTAAACAAGTATCTTTCTATATCTAGGTGGAAAAGAAGTGATGAATAAGGATGAGTTAAAAGGTGTCCAGTGGGCTTCATGGACTTCAGTTGCAGGCCTTGAAGTTAATGGAATATGGCCTAAATATTCAGAGATCAATGATATCAATTCTGTAGATGCAAATTTTATGGGCCAAGTTCTAGTTACAGCTGATGACTATGGAATAGTAAAATTGTTTCGGTATCCTTGTTTAAGAAAAGGTAATTATTTAGTGTGTGCTTGGAATGTAAATAACAGAATACCCAGGATGGAAAGTTCTCGTAAGTTAGAATCTGGCCTTTTAAATGGAGAAAAAAAACACTTTTAAAATAATAGTGGAATTTTTTTCTTATCCAAATGACTGTTAGCATTTGCGACCCTTGTTTATGTTTCAGATAAGAGATTTTGGGGTCAGATTTTGGGGTCAATGAGATGCTGCACTCAGATAAGCCCCCAAAGTCCAGATGTCACATTCTGTTTTCCACATAGTAAAAGGATATGGTGGAAGTGAGGGGGGGGGGGGGATGTTACAGTCAAATATCCTTGACTGGCTGAAAAGGGTTTCATATACAAAACAGCAATGATTGATAAAGGTAGTTTGTTGCTCTCGTTTAACAAAGTAGCACAGTTGTAACTGACTGGGCTGGCATGTCAGATATTCTGCAATATACTCAGTGGGATACTACAAACCTTGAGCAGACTTTTACTTGTGCAATGAGGTTTTCCTACCTCCTCCACCCCAGTGCATTTGCCTGGAAAACCTGAAAATTAAGGTGCCCCTCAGGGACAATATTGATGGAATGAAACTGCAGAGGAACCATTAGCAGAAATTGGGACTCACCTCTTGCATAACCAAAAGCATATATCTCCTTGGGCAAGGCACAACTGGTTATAAGCCATGGTGTAAAACAACTCTTTAAATTGATACATAATTTGACACATGATAAAACTGATTTTTTCTTAATAGGGGCAAAATTTAAGAAATACCTTGGTCATTCAGCACACGTGACAAATGTCAGATGGTCACATGATTATCAGTGGGTTATTTCTATTGGTGGAGCAGACCATTCTGTTTTCCAGTGGAAATTTGTTCCTGAAAGGAAGCTGAAGGATGCTCTTCACATAGCACCACAAGGTTAGTGATGCATCATTTGATACGAGTTGGAAAATAATTTAAAACATTGTTAGTGATATGTGTTTTACAGTGATGGTTGGGACTTCTGCTTCTTGATCTGGATGACTGTAAATACTCCAATGTTTTCTCAGTTTTGGTTTGACTTTCTGTTTTCTGTTGTTTTGGTCCTGGACCATTGAGTACAAGTGGTGGGAAATTACTATTTTTTTATTTAGGCATATATATCACAGTTGTTTTCAGTAACCATGCTTAGGACTGTGCAGTTAACTGAGTAATTTTATTACTTTTACATTGTATCTGCTGTTTTCAATACCTACTCATTTATTTATTTATTTATTTCTCTATCTATCAAAGAAAGCCTCGTTGACTCTAATAGTGAAGAATCTGATTCTGATCAATCAGATGTTCCAGAGCTGGACTCTGAAATTGAACAAGAGACACAAATCACATACCGTCGACAGGTATTGTCTTACATTATAAACATAAATATGCTAATGCACCCTGCTGCAACAAACCCTGTGTATACCTGGATTATAGAATGTTGACACCACAAAACTCACAGACTGTATTAGAACTGATCAGAACAGTTATCGTAGCTGATGGCCTGGAACCATAAGCTCCCAAAAGCAGATGAGGGCTGAGGGCCGAATGCTGAAATAAACCAGATCCGGCCCAGGAGCCAAAAATGTCCCCTACCCCTGATGTACAGGGAGGAGAGCTCTGGCAAGGGTACAGTGAGAAGGGTTGGCAAGGATTTAGAAGGGGCCTGGTGGGTTGGTAAGTTAAGCAAGCAGAGGAGCCAGCTTCTGGTATGTTAAAAATTTGTACTTCATCTTATAATTTCAGCTTTGTAAGGTGTTTTACAGAGTTTAATATGAAAACAGCAATAAACAAATAATGATATTAGAAAACAACAGCGGCACCCTATGGCTTCCTGTTTCACCAGGTGTTATTATAATTGCTCTAATCAGTTGCAACCAGCATTGGCAGTTGTTGCTCCGCTCATATTTCATGCAGTATACTGGTTCCCTGTTACGTTTAGGTTTGCTGAGACATGGCTGTATGTCCAGTTGCTGCAGCGGAATTGCTTCAGCAGAGCTGTGGGTCATCTTAATGCTGTCCAATATTACCAATGGGTTTTATGAACTCTCTCATTTAAACTTCTGGAGCTAGTAGAAAGATTGTCCAAATACTCTGATTATATTATGTCCAAATACTCTGATACTATTATAGTAACAGAAAAAGCAAAGTTTCAGTTCTAATATTGCAACCATGTGGCATATGCAGTTCATGTAGGAAGCTAAGAAAATTATCTATCAACCGCTATTCCTCAGAGAGATTTGCTTTTCAAATATGCACAATTACAGAGAACTTTATATTCTCTGCTAAGGTTTACAAAGAAGATCTACCTCAGCTTAAAGAGCAATGCAAAGAAAAACGAAAAACTGCAGCTTCAAAAAGAAGAGAACGGGCTCCAATCAATAGTATAAGATTACACTTTGTTCATGGGTTTGTAAATTTATCTTTTTGCCTAAAAGCAAGCAAATCAGATTATTTTGTTTTACATGGATTTAGACATTTAAGGGCCAAACTAGATGTGATCTGTGATTGGATATGCCACTTTTTATTTTTAGAAAAACATTCATGGGGCCATTTGGATTGGGACCACAGTGCTGAGGGGAAAGTATGTCTCCTTCCCTCAAACTCCATTTTTTTCTGATTTAAATCCCCCCCTTCCCCCAAAAAGTCCTATTTGCTTGCAGGTGAAAACATAGAAAGACCATACTGGGAAAATGTATTATACCTGATTTGCCCTGAGGATAAATAGCAGTTTTTTGGGGAGGGGATATAACTAGGGGAAATGATGCAGGGTAGAACACTTTAAACCTTTCTCTTCCAGCACCACGAGGTCATTTCAAACCCTCCCCATACGCAGTAATATTTATCCTTAAAAAAAACAACAACCTATGCACAAGACAGAGAAATTCAGTTGCAGCTTTCTGAATATCATAACTAAAGAATTTGCTAGATTTGTGAAAGTTTTGTTTGTCTAATGCTTGGATTCAATGAATCACTAGGACAAATTAAGGATTCTTCTAGTAAATGGTTAATTTCTGTGGGTTAAGGAAGGGTTAACTGGACATTCTTCTAGTAAATGGTTAATTTGGAGTAACTAGGTCAATGAGAAATGGGAGAAAGAAGCAGAACACACCCTTGAAGTTCAATTGGCCTTCATTAGGCACGGAGCCTTTAGTGGCAGCCTGGCCCTGTGGTACCCCTTACCAGTATAGGTTTGGCAGGAACTGCCCCTGCTTCCTTTCAGATATCTTATGAAAACCGTATTGCTCATAGAGGCCTTCACAACATCAATTTCTTTTTACAACCAACCTGTATCTACTGGTGTTTTTTAAAAATTATGTTTTATTGATATTTATGAACTGCTTTTATTACATTTTGTATGTTTTAAGCTTTTTTACTATAATTTATGAAAGTGCAGATTATAACTATTAAATATTTAATTAAATAAATAAACATTTTAAAGGACCAGCTACATAATATTCTTAGTTTATCCTCCAGAAACAGAGAAAAACATTGAAATATATTTTTAACCATACAAGTTATTTTCAAATTTCTTTATGCCTCCTACAATCATCACTTGAAGGGGGAAATTGTTGATGTAACCTTGCCTAATTTACTGTTCTCCCATACTAGAGATATTTTTATTCTTTTGGAGTACTTTTGATGGAACTATCAAAATCATTTTGCAGTATGTAACTATAAAAACTAAAATATTTAGTTGATTGTACTGTGTCATGATGCCTAAATGTCTAACTGTTTTATTAGTTACAGAGGCTATGACTGTCGCAGTAATTTATTTTACACTCAGACTGGAGAAATTGTGTACCATGTTGCAGCAGTGGGTGTAGTATACAATCGGCAGCAGAACACACAACGTTTTTATTTGGGTCATGATGATGATATTCTGTGTCTTGCTATTCATCCCTTAAAGGACTATGTGGCAACAGGCCAGGTAGGATTCATGTTTAGGAGAACTAGAAATCCTGTGTTGTTTTAGTGAGCTTATAAATTTATATTTCATAAATCTGTGGAATATGCCTCTGTGAAAAGCATGTGAAAGCAGTACAGTTGTAGAAGACAGGTTTCAGCTTGGTTACTTGAGTAAAAACAAGTAGGCATAGATTTATTCAACTATGAAAGAGCTTATGCTGGAAGTGTGAAACAAAGTCTTGTGGCACTTTAAAGACTAACAAAGATATCTTTTGTTTTTGCTGCAAGAGACTAACATGGCTACTATCCCTCTGCAAAATCTTTATACCTGCATCATGCACTACTGCATACTTCTCCCTGCAAGAGTTTTCCTGCTTTTTTCTAAGGAATGCTGTATTCCTCTTTTGGGAGATTCCTCATTACATGGCTAACATCAAAGTATGCTAAAGCGGCTGCGTGTACATTAGTGCCCTCGTGTGGACACTGTAACTACTGAAGTATAGAATGGCTAGTGTTTATAGAATATCTGAAATAGGAGCATTCATATTTGTAGCTATAGTATAGAATGTGCTTGATGAAGATACTGATAAAATGTGACATTTTGCAAAAGATTGAATTCAGTTGAATTAACCCCAATTTGATTAAACAAAGGTGAAAAGGGTGCTCTTTTAATAGCCCTGCATATTTCTGCTTCTTTATACACATAGCTAACATTCAGAATAAGAACATAGTCTGAGACCTGTGAACCATAATTTTATTTCTTGTATCCAAATTAGTGTTATAACCATGTGAAAGAAACATGAAATGGATGTTATGGACAAATAAGCATTATACCTCTTGGAGTTTTTTCAGTTGGTTAGTTTTCTTTCTGCATAATGTGTTCAATCTCTTTTGTTTAAGGTTGGTCGTGATTGCTCAATCCATATTTGGGATACAGAGACAATCAAACCACTGTCTGTGTTAAAGGGCTATCATCAATATGGTGTTTGTGCTGTTGACTTTTCAGGTATTTATGACTGATCATCTTTTGACTTGGAAACTATAGTTGTTGGAAATGTGACACAGCTTTTTAGGTCCTAAGAATAGATCACTATTACATTGCTATAAGAACAACTGCAATATTTTGCTCTTTGCTTTGAGGAGATTAGCCTCATTTTCAGGCTTTCCTCTCATTATGCTGTAGAAATTCTGATGTAGGCTTGAAGAAAAATGATTGTGGTAAAAGTCACTAGTAAAGGTGCCCTGTGTCCTTTGAGGTCGGGGTGGGGGTCATATTACATAAATTTGTGGCCAGCACTGGAATGTCCCTGTCTTTGGTACTCATTTGCCTAACTCTAGGAGAGTACAGTCCATTCAGAACCAGTTGACTCCATACAGATCAAAGGCCTATATATATATGTTTTGATATATATTTTAATAGTGTCCAGTAACTGCTAGTCAGTATGTAGAAAGCCTAGAAAGGAGGGAATGGAAAATCAAACGTCCAATTTTGGAGGGACTCTGGGAAAGTGGTAATGAGTGATATTCCTAATGAACATGAAAAAGACATGAAAAGAATAAATATGGGTATACAGAGTATACCCTTATCAACATAGCTCCTGCTTAGATACAAAAATGAGTGAGAATGAGGATTTGAACATGAAGGAGATTTCCATAGACATTAACACATCCTGCTGATTACAGAATTATGATTATGCCCATCATTCTTATAATTTTCTTTTATAGCGGATGGCAAACGGTTAGCTTCCGTTGGAATAGATGACAATCACACTATTGTTCTTTGGGACTGGAGAAAAGGAGAGAAGCTTTCATCAGTCAGGTAAGAGTTTAGCTTAATTATGGAAACAAATCAAGGCATAAGTGGCCAGGATGAAAAGTACAAGTACTCTTGAGGAGGTTTGAATGACCTTCACCTATACACAGTGCGAAAGTGAGTTTGTGTCTTCTTGAGCCGCTGGACAGCAAAGTGCGGATATAGCACATGGGTAGGCAAACTAAGGCCTGGGGCCGGATCTGGCCCAATCGCCTTCTAAATCCGGCCCGTGGACAGTCCAGGAATCAGTGTGTTTTTACATGAGTAGAATGTGTCCTTTTATTTAAAATGCATCTCTGGGTTATTTGTGGGGCATAGGAATTCGTTCATATATTTTTTTCAAAGTATTGCCCAGCCCCCCACAAGGTCTGAGGAACAGTGGACCGGCCCCCTGCTTAAAAAGTTTGCTGACCCCTGTACAGCATGCCTAGGGCATAGGTGTGAATTGCATGAATGATACCCTACATTTAATCCAGGAATTGAAAGCGCATTTTGACTTTATATGCACATTATACAGTTAAACCTCGATTCCCGAACCTCTCCGTTATTGTACGTTTCATCTCCCAAATGCTGAAAACCCGAAAGTAACTGCTCTGGTTTTCAAATGATTTTTGGAAGCAAAACAGCTTCCAGGGAGTTTTTTTTTTCTTTTTTTCTCCATTGATTTTGCCAACTGCCCTTTGATCTTCGATTGTCGAACATTTTGGAAGTCGAATGGTCTTCTGGAACGGATTACGTTCAACAATGGAGGTTTGACTGTATGTTCATTGGACCCACTCACAAAAGTCCTGCATTCCCAGATGTAGGATAAGAGTACCCAGTGGGAAGCCATACTTTTGCGCCCCCACTCCAATAAGTGCAAGAAGATAACCATATCTGCACTCTGATACATGGTGTTTCATTTAATAGCCATCTTGTGGATCTGGGCCCTGTCCAAAAGGGGGAGTCCACAAAGTGAGTAAATAATATGAATAAAAGGGCTGATACTAGAAGCCACCATAACTCATCACCACTGTGATGGTCAGAAGTCTTACAGCCTTTATTATTAACAAAGGAAGGTGTTATATGCATCATTTAATGCAGACATAGATAACCGTTTCTTAGCAGGCTGAGAACTGCTTCATATTGCTATTTCTCAACACAATTGTGTATTCTGATTCATGAGTTTGTGAGCTAGGCTTTTTAAAGTAAAAATATAGTGTTAATAGAGCAGAGGCATTCTTAATATTGAATATAGGCTAGTGAAAGTAGTGTTTCAGAGTCTACCATACCAGAGTATACCATAACTGTAGGTAACCATGATCCAAACCTCTTGAAAAAGTTATTGAAATATAACTGAACATAATCGTTGTGAACCATTTAATTCATATGCATACATAAAATACAAAAATAAAACACTGCATTGTGTTGGAACAATCTTCATGTTTTTAAAAGTAAAAAATAGACGGTTCTTCCATTTTCCCCAACACATTGATTTACTACTGAGTGTGAACAATTCATAGAATAGTAGAGTTGGAAGGGACCTCAAAGCTCCTTTGGTCCAACCCAAGACTTTTGTTTTCCTTAACTTTATTGCCACGGAGAAAGCTTTCCCCACAAATCAAAAGTCAAAATACTTTGTATATTGTTCTAGGGGGAGCAAAGATAAGATATTTGTCGTCAAGATTAACCCCTACATGCCTGATAAACTTCTTACAGCTGGAATGAAACACATAAAATTCTGGCGAAGAGCAGGTAAGACAAGTCAAATTAATTATTTGAATCTCTCTTGTAGTAGTGGCCACCAACTTGGATGACTTTAAAAGAGGATTAGGCAAACTCATGGTGGAGAAGACTATCAGTATGCCTCAATATCAGTTGCTGGGAACACAAGTGGAGAGAGTGCTCCTGTGCTCCTGTCCTGCTTTCAGGCTTTCCATGGGCATCTGTTTGGCCATTGCGAAAACAAGTTGCTTTGGTCTGACCCAGCAGAGCTCTTATGTTCTTATCTTATCCTTAAGTGTGCATAAGACTACAGTCATAGAATCATAGAGTTGGAAGAGACCATGAGAGTCATCTAGTCCAACTCTCTGCAATGAAAGAATCTTTTTGCACAACATTGGGCTTGAACCCACAACCCTGAGGCTGGATCCAAACATATCAAAGAAGTGTTTCAGTTAAACACCTTGTAAATTTAAACAGGGAAGTCAGGTAGAGAAAAACGGGACTGCACAGTGACATCTGGTGGCACAATGTTATATCGCTTTTTCTTTACTAATCTAGCTGAGTCCTAAGAGTCTCGTGCTTTGCCAACTGAGCTATCGTGCTGTCAAAGTCCATTTGCTGATGTATGCATTTTCTCTCAATTTTGGAACAAAAGAAATTGCATGTTTAATAAATTAAAGTGACAAAAAGGAAATTAAACTTCATTAAAAATGTTCCTGTATCGTCTTTTAGAAAATTACATTCGTACAGATACATAGTTATGTTCATAGAGATACTGAATAATTATTTTTATTGTTATTATTTCATTTTAATTTTAATTTAAGGTGGTGGACTGATTGGGAAAAAGGGCTATGTAGGTCCAATGGGGAAGATTGATACAATGATGTGTGCAGTTTATGGCTGGACAGAAGAGATGTCATTTTCTGGAACTTCAACGGGGGATGTATGCATATGGAGAGATCTCTTCCTCATAAAAACTGTGAAAGCACACGATGGCCCTGTGTTCAGTATGCATGCACTGGAAAAAGTGAGTGGCTTATATTGAAAATGGATCAATAATAATTTATTGTATTTTAAAAAATGTATAGCCAATATCTAAAGAGCTACTATAGGCACGCCTTGGTGTTTTGTCAGGCCCAATAAGATTTCTTTTTTTTTTTTAACAAGAGAACCACCTGCCATATAATGAAGTGCTTTTGAAAGCTTTCTAGTGCCCCCTAATGCTGCACAGTCTAATATGGATGATGTTTTTTACAATGAAGAAATTAACTAGCTTGTTTTAAAGTAATACTTGTGCAAATAAATTGAAAGCACACAGGTAGTCCCACTGTTCTCAGAACAATTAAGGTTAAATCTCTTTTTTTGGTGATTTGAATAGAATTTTTAACACATTTTAGAATGAAGCTGGAATCATCACTGAAATATCACCCCTGCTAATCTGAGTTAAATAACATACATCTTGGCCATATTCATATTTATTTACTGTTCTATATGACTTCAGAAGTATGGATAATGAGAATTGCTATAGATATGCGGTCCAAGATTGCAGTATTGGGATGATTGATGAGCAGGATTCATATTTAAATAACATACTAAAGTTTACTGTACCACAGAACTTTTCTGCTGTTCACTTTCTAATATTTCTAATGTTTTCAGGGATTTGTAACTGGAGGCAAGGATGGAGTTGTGGCTCTTTGGGATGACACCTTTGAACGGTGTCTCAAAACATATGCCATCAAAAGGGCTGCCTTGGCCCCTGGCTCCAAAGGTAAGATTTATTTATTTAGTTCATTCATCATGTCTCTGAACTTTTGTTAAAGCTTAGATTGCTGTTCTATATATTGATTTCTGTATCATGTGGGTCAAGGCAAAATTGGAAACAGGATTCAGCTAAGACACCGTTTATTTGTTTTTTGTTGTTGTTGTATTCTACATCATGCTAAAGAGATGGTTCTATCAATCCAAGCATTTCTGCTTGACTGACAAAACAATCTTCCCTTTCCTTCCCCCATGTGCTGTTCTGGGGGCTCTCCTGGACCTCCAGAGCAGATCGAGGGGGGGGCTTGGGGGGAGGAGAATATCACCCTTTGTAACTGTCAGAAGGAAGATGTTTAAAAGTGGATTGAAAAGAGAAAACCCATACATGTCCACTCCCAAATAAGTTCTACTGAATTCCACTGGACTTATTTCCAGGTAAGTGTGCACTGGATTGCATAACAGAAGCCAAAGATAAGAGAGAGAGAGTGGGAGGTCTGAACTTTCTGTTCAAGCCAGGATTATGTCAGAAATTAAACAAGCAAATAATAAGCTTTCCAATTAAAATAGTGATTTCATCCAAAATTGAGCTCTTATATATATACATATTTTCATTTAGGTCTCCTTTTAGAAGATAACCCTTCTATACGTGCCATATCATTAGGACATGGTCATATTTTAGTGGGCACAAAGAATGGTGAAATACTGGAAGTTGATAAAAGTGGGCCAATAACATTGCTTGTTCAGGTATAGTAAATAATAACCATATATTTCTCTTTTTTAAAAAACATTTTTAGTTTTGAAATGTTAAAGTACAGCTGCTATAATAATGTTTCATAATTGGTGGTGTGAAATGCCAATTTAGGATCAGTGTGGTAAGGCTGTGGCTGTGTACAAACAAACATTTCCAGCTTTCTCCTGCCTTCAGCATTTGACAAACTTACTGATTGGCAACTTGGATACTGGTCCAGTCATCTCTCTTGTTTCCCCCCATGTTCATCACCTTCAGAAGAAGAAAATCCATTTTAAAAGACTGGGAAAACTGTGCAGGGGATGGGGATGAGGTGGGTTTGTTTGATTGTCTATTGGGGGCATTTATACCCTGCCGTTTAGCCTAAAAGGCTCTCAGAGCAGCTTACAAAAATCACTAGTAAGACGGTCTCTTCCCTCAAACTCAAAGTTGAAAAAGACATGATGTATGAGGAAAAAGGAATGGGAGGGAGGAGGGAAAAGCAAGCTCAAGTACAAGTTCTTAATATATAGAACAGTTACATAGTAATGCCTGTGCCAGGAGTGGAGAACCTTTAGGTCTCCCAAGCTAGTGCTGTATCTATGGGGTGGGGGGTAGCCAGGTTTTTTGCCCCAGGTGAAGCCTCCAGAGGGGTGCCATTGAGGCTCCCAGCCTGTGTGTGTACGCAAATGTGTGGGGGGTGTGTGTGTGTGCCAAACTGGGTCTTTGACCTGGGTGAACTAAAGCCTAGTTTTGTCCATGCACCAAGCCCATGAGGCTGTTTTAGTCTAGCCATGCCTAGGTGTGGAGCAGGTAAAGCTGGAACTTGCAGAAAGGGGCTTTGCAGGCTACTGGTATTGGTAGTGCCTTCAAAGCACCTTGAGCAGCACTTCCCATGGGCCACCAATTGGCTCGGGAAGCACTGTGAAAAAAAGTTCAGATTTTTTATTTACAATCAATAAAATATAGTAATTTACAGTCCTCAAACTCATAATAATTTCTAGTGTGGTTTAATAAGTTGGCTGCATCCTCTGTTGTTTTTAAATCAATTCTTAATTCTTGTTTGTAATAGAGCAAATTAAACTGAATTGTTTTTGTTTGTTATAGGGTCACATGGAAGGAGAAGTTTGGGGTTTAGCTACCCATCCTCATTTACCTATTTGTGCCACTGTAAGTGATGATAAAACCTTACGAATATGGGATCTGTCCCCCAGCCATTGCATGCTTGCTGTTAGAAAACTGAAGAAGGGTAAGATGATGGTGCTTTTCATCAAAATTTGCAAACGTTTTGCTGTTCACTCATATTAGAATCTAAGTGAAGTTGCGTTAAATAATATTAGTATTAGAACAATAAAATGTAAAAAAAGATTTAAACTTTTGAAAATGTAATATGGAAATAGGTTACCCAAATTTAGATGCAAGTTGTGTGAGGGGTTTGCAATTATTATTATTAATAATAAAAATAAAAATAAAAATAATAATGGACGCGGGTGGCGCTGTGGGTAAAACCTCAGTGCCTAGGACTTGCTGATCGTAAGGTCGGCGGTTCGAATCCCCGCGGCGGGGTGAGCTCCCGTCATTCGGTCCCAGCTCCTGCCCACCTAGCAGTTCGAAAGCACCCCTAAGTGCAAGTAGATAAATAGGTACCGCTTTATAGCGGGAAGGTAAACGGCGTTTCCGTGTGCAGCACTGGTGCTGGCTCGCCAGCTGCAGCTTCGTCACGCTGGCCATGTGACCCGGAAGTGTCTTCGGACGGGCAGGGGTACCTTTACCTTTAATAATAATAATACCCCTCGTACTGACTTACCTTATAGAGATATAAGGATCAATGAAAGTATATGTAACAGTTTGAACACTTGAAAGTGCAACATAAAAATACATCACATTTTCCAGCAAAATAATGCCTGCAGGCCTCCAGTTAGAACTAAAATATGTCTCTTTGCATTTGGCAGGGGGAAGATCTTGCTGTTTTTCTCCTGACGGGAAGGCATTAGCAGTAGGTCTCAATGATGGAAGTTTCTTAATAGTAAATTCAGACACCCTGGAGGATCTTGTTTCTTTTCATCATAGGAAGGACGTTATTTCAGATATACGATTTTCTCCTGGTAAGTACAGGCAACCCCCCCCCCTTTTACATAGGGGTTACATTCTGAGTCATCATGCGCATCAGCAGAGCATGTGTAAACCCACCCTGCCCTTTTCCAGTGTCAAACACAGCGGTTGTAATCATACATGCATCAAACACACACAAATTGAGAATTGCCTGTAATCAGCTTCAGATAAGTCACTCAGAATTGTAGAATGCCATTATGACAAGATTTTTCCCACTCAATTTTTGTCAATTTAAGGCCCTTTCAGAATTATGATTACTATGCTGTAAGGGTTCTGACTGGGAAAGTGTTGCAGACTTAACACACGTGCACTTATTTGAATGCTCATGTAGCTGTATGCTTGGAGGATTTTGAGGACACAATTGGAAATCTTGAATCACACCACTTTGGAGAGAAATTGTCTTGGTTGAGTCCTCCAGTGCTGGGTTCACATATCAAAAAGAAGCTCTATTATACTGAGTCAGACTATCTAGCTCAGTATAGTTTATATAACTGACAGTGGCTGCCCAAGGTTGCAGACAGGGGCATTCCCCAGCCCTAAGTGAAGATGCCAGGAATTGAGCCTCAGACTTCTTGCATGCAAAATATGCATTCCGCCACTGACCTGTATCCTTTCCCCAACAAATGCACAGTTAAAGACATTTTTTAAAAAAACCATTGTTAATAAAATGAACCTAAGAAAAGAATACAAAGTTCTGCGGGATGCGAGGGAGAGAAGGTACTAAGGTCGCTTAAAATTTGAGGAAATAAACATTGGACAATTTGAAAGCTCCTTACATTTACATTGTAATGCTGAGGGAGAGAAGAGATCTTTCAGAAAGTGGATGTTGGAAAATGTTGGCTCTTTTGGAAAGAGCTCTTGGAATATATTGGAATTAAAGGAAGCCCACATTTTACATGCATTAGATTTTAACCCTTGCTGGATCCCGGATCCCGGTAATTACAAGGGCATCATGAAGGCACCATGAAGGCTGAACACCCGCCCAAAACCCCCCGCATAACATTATATTCATTAAACACTTTTCAAAGTGTATGAATTTGCCTTCTAAGATCGGCAATAGAATGCTTTTGGCCCCATGAACCCTATTTTCTCTAAGTCTGTACCCATCATAAATTACTTCTAGGTTGGGTAGTAACTAAAGATTAATTAAGGTTGTATCTGCATCTGCAGTCCATGTCACATTTTGTTCTTCATAATATTCTTCCAGATGGATGTTTATTGTGGGATGGGCGCTCCTCTTGCATGCAATAACATTGCTGATATCAAAATGCCAGCCTGTATTCCCTCTTCCCTATTAATCAAGATCTGCTCTTCCTGGGGAAAATAAAATACATTAAACAAAGTAAAATATTTCCCAATGACATATTTACAATATCTGAACAACCCATTTACAATAATAAGGCTTATCTAGAGATACCTATTGCCTCAATATTTATTCTCACATGTTTTCCATATATAATTGCTTTTTTTTACTTACAGGCTGCTCCCCCCTCCCTTTGGCATAGGTTTGCAATAATTTGCAATCAAATGCTAACAAGATAGCCTGGAACATAAACCATACCTCAAAACTACAAATAAGACATTTCCAAAGATTATGTGATTCACATTTATTTTTGTAGAAAATCAGGTTACTTGGGTACTTTTCATCTCCTTATGATTGCATTTTAGGCGCTGGAAAATACTTATCTGTAGCATCGTATGATACGTTTGTAGATATCTACAATGTAATGAGCAGTAAGCGGGTTGGAATCTGCAAGGGCTCTTCCAGTTATGTGACACACATTGATTGGGATGTAAGAGGTAAGAAATACAATTGCTGCAAAATGACTATATTTCTGTAGCTTGGAAAGTGTAAACTGTGCATGAATTTTGTGCAGCATTTCCAAATGGTAGTGATGAATTTCTCACAATTTTTCATAAGAAGTGAATTAATAAATATTGTGTAAACAAACTACAAACAAAAAGTCTTCAATAAAATTTTGTATTTGGTGAACATTTTTTAGGAAAGCTTTTACAAGTCAACACTGGTGCTAAGGAACAGTTGTTTTTTGAAGCTCCTCGGGGGAAAAAACAGATAATTCCCAGTACAGAGGTAAGAAGATTTACCATTCAATTCAAATACAATTTTGTAAATAATATCTATATTTTCTTTTTGTCATTTACATAATTTTGAAGGCACTACAAGCAGCCCCACATTTACATAGGGTTACATTCCGAGGCACCACACGCATTGGTGAAATCGTGTATAATTGAAACCTATTGAAAAAGCCTTCAGACAACCCATTCCGTCACCACCCTGCCCCCACCTTTTAGTAACGTTTCAGTGATGTATTTATGACGTTTCTGGGTCACTTCTAGGTTCGGTATGATGCGCATATACTGTACAGTACATGGTTGCACACATACTGAATGTGCGTAAAGGGGGTGGTGGTCTCTGCCTGTATGTTATTTGCTTGTGCATGTAAGATGACATCAGGTGGGACTTGAGGTCCACCTAGTGGTAGAATGCAAAAGTTGCTGTTCTAAAACTCCAAAGCTTCTGGAATTCTAATCCCTTCAGTGAGCGACATCTAAATTCTGCCTTACCAATTGTGATAGTGTTTTGAGACCTTGGCAGACTATACGGTTCAGGCTTGTTGTTTTGGTCCTTGTCAATATGTAAAAGAAATTGTGGAATTTCCTCCTTATATATATTTCTTTACTGAAGGACAAAGACTTAGCCACGAAAGTAAACACTGCAGTTTCTCCTTTCAAGATATCCAAAATTTAAATTGAAAATTAAATACCAGTAAATTTTTACTAGATACCAATACCCTGCTAGGCAGACCTATTTTACAAATGTCCTATCAGATGCCATTAAGGATAGAGTCTTCATTTGCAATACCAGCTTCCCCCCCTACAAAATCTGAAAATGCTTTTTATCACCAAATAATTTTATTGCCTTGCTTAATGAAATTGTTGTCAATATCCCCACCACCACCACCAAAAAAGCTAGTATCTCTGCTTAATGCTGTGGTTTGTTGCATTGTTGTGGCAAACTGATCTGTATTCCTCAAATGAAATGTTTTCTTAGTGGTACAGCAAGTCTTGGAATCAGACTATTAGACACTAAGAACAAGCAATGAAATAGATTTACAAGACCAGAATAGATTAGATTAGAATAGAATAGAATAGAATAGAATAGTGAGTATTACTGTGTTGCACTTTCAGGGAAATTAAGAAACTCACCTATATGAATTAAATTCAAATGCTACAAGTATGGTTTATACTAATCACCAGCAAGACACAGGAAGTCAAGGTACGTCAGGGAATCTTTAAGATTTCCTTATATAAAGAAAACCTTCCCAAATTAAGTCCTACAAATAGAAGTAAAGAACACAAACACATTAAGGTGTCAGTCCTTTGCACACTTACCTGAGACAAAGAAAAACCTGATTTCAGATGTATAACTATGGATAAGTATCCTTTCTCAAACAGGCTATCTTTATAGGCAGAAAAGATTTCCTGGACATCCTGGACAAGTGTTCTAGGCTCCTGCTGTGAAGGAATTTGGCCAATAATTGGAGAAGTTACAGATGTAACTGCTTCGTGCCTCACCAGTGATAGTACAGTTTTGGCAACAGGAGATGATTTTGGATTTGTAAAGCTTTTCCGATACCCTGCCAAAGTAAGTAAATATGCAGTGTTTGCATAATGAGTCTTAAACGAAGTCCTACTGTTTTCATACCTACAGTCATTGAAAATACACTTGTATTCTTATCTCTCATTGGTATATGTGAATCAGCTTTAACACAGATCAAAACTACAGATCAAGCATTCATATTGTACCACATTTTCTCAGACACAATGCATTTCAATGGAGACAATTCACATGCTCATCTGTAAGTCAACCTAGAGTATATTTTCTGTTAAATATTTTTTTATTGTTTTTCACAATTTAATTCCACATTAACATCAATAAAAAAGAACATTTTTACCCCCCAATCCCCATGTATAGCAATATCTTTTCAAAACCTTTTCTTCGAGATTCCAGGAATCTCCAGACTTCCCTCTATCCCCTCTCCTGGTTCTTTATATAAACAACATTCTCTTAGATTTCCATGTCAATTTACCCAATTTTCTAATAATTACACATAGTTAATCAAAACTTACTAACACTTCAAATCATTTACCATTATTTAACACAGTCATTTAAGTGTCTAGAATATCATTTAAAAGAACTTTCTGCATTCCAAATCTGTGCTTACCTATTATTATTTTCTTCTTCTAATTTTATCCCCATCTCTACTAATTGCAAGCGTTTAATCAAAGACTGCTAATGTACCAATATCTACAATATTTTGCACATAAACAATACCCATTTCCAAGATTATTTCCCAAAGTTTTCCTAACTTTGGCGTACTTAAATTTCATCAGAAGACATCTGTCAGTTGAGGCAAGTTCCAAATCCAGCTCGCCTTTCCTCCAAACTTCTCTCAGTCTCAGAGGTTGTACTTTCTGCCTCGTTTTCTCCACCACAACCTCCTCAAGTGTTTTCTGCCTAAACCACAAAACTTCCAAATCTACCCTGTTCTTTTGGACTTTCTTCATATCAGTCATCTTTTCCCAGTTTTCAGGCTTCCGCTCCAACTTTTGCCTAAGAACATCCCCTTCCTCAGTTCTCCCTGCCCAAGACTCTATTATTTCAATCGGTTCTCTCACCCTTTTAATGCTTTGATCCATTTGGGTTGTAAACTCATTTGTTATTTTAGCCATAATTTCCATCATCTCTTTCATAAATTCTTTTTTCAATTCAGAAAAAAGATTCACCAATTCAAATTGAGATTTATCTCCTGGGTCCTGTACTTGGGCCTTCTGTCCAGACTCAACTCTGACTGTTTAATCATTATCATATTTTCGTCTTTCCGTTGTTCTCAAAACAGCCAGTTTTCACCACCACCTTATCAGTTTCAAGGCCGTTCCATGTAAGTTCCCAGTAAACAGTAACAGTTTCTGTGCTTTCACACTATCCCTATTCTTTCGACCCGTTTACTTTTTACACATATGCAATTTAACATAAAAACCAAATTTTAAGTTGATATTCATATATAACAAATCTCTACCTTAAAAAAGATACCGAAACAATATATCCATAAGAATTACCACTTAATTGTCCAGGAGAGAGAGTACTAAATTCAGTATCCAATTTTCTGAAATGTCTCAAGGTGAACTGAAGAGTTGCAGCACTTGAAGATCCTTATAAATAGGTATGTCAACCTCTCTTGACAGTTTTTTCCCCTCCTTAAAATTCTGATTTATATACAGGAAACTGAGTTCAGTGCTCTGTAGATCCCTCCAGCTGAGATAAGTCTTTCTTATATTCCCCCAACAGAGTACTTTAATTATCTTAATCCAAATCTCCTCTGCTGAGTTCAGTTTTAATGATGGCTGCAGTTCAAAATCCATTTTCCACTTTTATACTCTAGTATCAGTAACAAGCCAAGAAGAGTAGATTTCAATTGCCTTAACCTTTCCTCTCCGCAACCGGGGAAAAGCTTTGGAAGGGCAGCGTAAGGGCTTTCAGATGTTGTCAGAGTCCTGGCACCACGTTCCCTTTTCCATACACAAATACCAAGTCATGGCCAGCTTTAAAATCCTGTAGCAATGTCAAGCAATAAAGAATGGGTTTCAATTACTTTCAATTCTCCCATCAGCAGGCCCACACTGTAAATATCAAATAAGATAATAGTTTTCCACCTGCACTTTTTTAATTACCCAGAAGACGAAGAATAGACTTCCTTTTTAATCCTTTGTCTGGCGCCGAATTAAGCTTAATTAATTTCAGTAGTTAATCTTTTTACGTTCCCGTCGGCTTGAATGTTGGTTACGGAAAATCTCTGCTGGTGGCTGGAGCGTGCTGCCAAGACTGCACTCAAATCTGCTTCTTTCCCCCACTCTCCTGAGCCTTTTGGAGCAGGGGTCTGGGAATTGCGGGAGAGCTCTTTGCAGTCTGCTGGACCCCTCGACATCTTGAGAACCTTGGGGGGTATGGTATGCCTTGGCGTTTCCCCCTGACTCTCTGCAGGGCTCAGATCTGTTGGAGCAATCAGATCTGTGCTCCGTTCACCATCTTGCAGAGATCGGAAGTCCAACATAGGATATATTTTCAAGTGATGTGTATGCATATGTGTAGCAGGCCTTAGTTGTCACCATTTTGATTTTGTTTAATCCTTGGGTAGGGAACTTCTGGCCCACAGCCTAACTAGGTCTAACAGATCTTTCCATTTGGTCTGCCAGGCTGTTACAGTCAAGTTGTGCCATTCCCACCTGTCCTACAGCTGTGTCATATATGATGACAGGGCTTGAATGAAAAGGGCTTTGCAGGCACTGCCAGTCAGCAAATGGTACTTGGAAAGTACTATGCACAGTTTTTTTTGCCCAGTTGGTTTGATTTCAAACTGCATGGGCAAAAATGGTTTACTTGACATCATTGTGACTCTAGCTGATAGATAGATACACCTGTCAAACTTGGTCCATGGGGGTTTATAGAGCTAAGGTTCCAGCCCACTGGTTGATTCTAGTACCCCCACTCCTAGTGGCTATTTCAGGTTGAAGAGATTCATTTTAGAACATGTGTGTATATGTGTGTACTGGACTTGGACTAGAGACACCTGGGTTTAAATCCCTGCTCTGCTGGTACTCAAAGGACTCTTTTTTGAGTCTTACATATCTCACAGAGTTGTTGTGAAAATAAAATGAAAGATCTCTCATGTAAGAACTCCTTAGCTCCTGGGCAAAGACACAAATGTAAAAAGAATATGATTGACATCCCTTCATACTACACAATCCCTCATTCACATACCAACGACTCAAATAACACATCTAACACCACATTTCCGCTGCACAGCTTTTCCCACCAATAATGCTCCAGGATTTTTGTTCTAACAGTTTTTTAAAAAAAAAATTGGGGGAGAATGAAAGTATGAGGTGTTCCAGTAAAATCTTTAGTCATCTTCCTCAGACCATGCAAGCTCATAACCCAAGTAATGATATTCCTCTGGCATCACATCTCAGCTGGCATTGCAACACATAGTTGTGGAGGCAAGGCTACAGAAAAAAAAGTGGATGACTATTTCTTCCCTTGGGTTCACCTCCAGCATTCTTAAGGAGTCAGGGCTAGACAAAGGGGAGCAGTGTCAGACTGTGCCTTCAAATGTTTTCTAAATGTGAAATTATTTATCTCCCTGACATCTGATGGGAGGGCGTTCTACAGGGAGGGCGCTGCTGCTGAGAAGGCCCTCTGCCTGGTTAATTTGTGCAGCAAACGTCCATGTACGGTATATGTTGGAATGTTCATAAACATTCCATAACACCTCTGCAGCTGAGACAGTGGTTAAGGGTCGTTCATTGGAGTTCAGAGTAACTATGGTACTGAAAAAAGGGTATTAATGTTTCAAATACTGCAGCCTGTAACTACCCCGTGGTTGTTTCCTTTTGTTGAGTTTATCTGATTTGGAGATAATTTGGCAAACCATTCTGTTTCTGAGAAATTGTGTGTTCTATACTTTAATTAAACACTCCCTTTGTCTTTGTATGGCCATAACTGAAATACTTTATTGTCTCTTGTACAACTTGTATATAGTGAGATTACACGAGTACCCCCCACTCAGCTCTCTTAGTCTTAATTCCCCTTGTTTACTGACGCATACCCACCAAACCCAAAAGTCAGTTAACCTGTTGTTATCTTTTCATTCAGCAGCCTAACAGCCCATGGATAGAAGCTGTTCTTTACCTTGTTGGTGCAACTAATCATGCTTCTATATCTTCTGCCTAAGGGCAGGAGATCAATAAAGTGCTGGTCAGGGTGTGAATCATCCCTGAGAATTTTCTTCACTCTCCTGAGGCAACGTTCTTCCGCTGTTTCATCCAGCAGATTCACGGGACAGCCCATAATATCTTGTGCTGTATTCACCACCCTCTGTAGGCACTTCCTACCAGATGATGTCAAACCAGCATATCACACCGTGATGCAGTATGAAAGGACACTTTCTACTGTTGACCGGTAGAAGGAGATCATCAAATGTTGATTGAAATAATAGTAGCTATGTAGATATGTAGGATAGCAGTAGTGGATAGTGAGGAAGGGCTGTGCTCTCAGCTGACCTCCCTTCAGCTGCACTGCTGTTGCATACCAGGATTGTTTTGCAACAGTGCCAACAGGAATACTGGACTGTCTTTTTCCCATTCTGATATGCAGCAGCATTGCAGCCAAAGGGAGGTCAAGTAAATGACACAGATGCACCAAGCCCTCCACTACTGCCCAGCATATTGTTCAGTGTTACATTGACTCATATATAGATGTTTTGTAGCCTTGCCTAAAAATGCAAATGAATGAAATGTTCTACATTCTTTGTATATTTCATATTCAGGGAAAATATGGGAAGTTTAAGAGATATGTGGCGCATAGCACACATGTAACAAATGTTCGTTGGACTCATGATGACAGTTTATTAGTCAGTGTTGGAGGTGGAGACACCTCTTTAATGCTGTGGACCCATGAGATGGAGGGCCATCGAGAAACCAGGCAGTGTGACAGTGAAGAATCTGATCTAGATTCTGAGGAAGATGGGGGTAAGTAACCGTTTTAAGATAACTTCAATCTTATACAGTGGTGCCTCGCAAGACGAAAAGAATCCGTTCCGCGAGTCTCTTCGTCTTGTGGGTTTTTTCGTCTTGCGAAGCAAGCCCTTTAGCGGATTAGCGCTACAGTATTAGCGGCTTAGCGGGCTTAGCAGAACAGCTGATAAGCGGCTTAGCGATCAGCTGTTAAGCGGCTTAACGATAAGCTGATAAGCGGCTTAACGATCAGCTGTTAAGCGGCTTAGCCGATCAGCTGATAAGCGGTTTAGCGGCTTGGGGAAAAGGGGGGGGGAGGAAAAAAACCCCGCAGCAACTCGCAAGACATTTTCGTCTTGCGAAGCAAGCACATAGGAAATTCGTTTTGCGAAGCACCTCCAAAACGGAAAACCCTTTCGTCTAGCGGGTTTTCCGTCTTGCGAGGCATTCGTCTTGCGGGGCACCACTGTAAAGCAGTTTTAATTCTTCCCATTATAAATGCAACTTCCGTAATCTGAATGTCAGTTTGAAAGGTCCAGGGTTTTTTTTGGTGTTTGTATGTGTGCAAATTAAATATTTAGCAAAACCAGTTTACTGTTTGAAATGCCTTTTAAAATCCTAAGTAAATTATATTTGTTGTAATTTTATGTTATGTTGGCTGGGATCCAAAGCTCCATTAACAGAGCTGTGCGCATGGAAGTGGGGGAGGCGATTTTCTGATTTCTTGTGCCCACTAGAAATCTACACTCCTACACCCCAGTAGTGTAGGAGATTGTGTAGGTGCTGCATGCAGTGAAGGAACTGGCAAGAATTAACACTTTTTACCAGAAGGAACTTTCACAGTATTGCAGCTACTTCTGCAAACACTCAGTGCCAGGTGCCATCCCGTTTTGCCACCTGAGGCGAAATGGGAATGTACCATTCCTTGACCTCTCGCCATGCCCCCCCTCCACTGTTGCCAGGTATTTCTGCTTGTCTTCTGTACCCTGGGTGGGTGGAGGAGATGATGGGGGACATTCTGCTGGAAGAGGAAGCAGTGGGGCAGGTGGGTGCTTCAGTGGGCAGGCTCTGCAAAGTGCTTTCCCATGAACTGAAGGACACCTTCAACTTACTGAAGGGCTGGTCTTGATCCCATCTACTGTTGTTTGTTGTCTCTGGTGCACTTATATACAAATAGAATAAATTAATAAATAATTCACCTGCTTCTTAGTTCCAATAGTTCTTGTGGTTATAAATATTTTACTAGGATATGACAGTGATGTCACAAGAGAAAATGAAATTAATTACACCATCAAAGCCTTATCAACCAACATCAGACCTATGTTTGGAATCAAGCCTCATCTGCAGCTAAAAGAGCCTTCAGTTGATGAAAGGTAACTTGGGGAGGAAATGTGTAATTTTATGGCATACTGTAATAGATAGATTTTTAAGGGGCATGTGTGCGTAGAAGGGGCTGAGATTTTTTTTCTATTTGGTTTTGAACCATTGTGCTTGAATATTAGATAACATTTCCATTTAACTTTTCATGGACTAAGAATGTTGGCCAAGAGTAAAAGATTTTCACATGTAGTAGTGAATAGCACACATACACTGCTGCTGAACACCAGTAGTAGCAAACAAATAGTCAGTGATAGCTTTGATCCTCTGATGTTGGGACAAGGGTGCATGGAATAATACTTCCTCACTGCCACCACCATCAGCTGTACTGTGATCTTGTGCATATGCAGGCAACTTACAACTTCTGCACATTTAACATGTGCAATTTCAATGTTCATTGTTTAAATAATGCAAATTAAAAGCACGGAAGGAGGATAACTTAAAAACTCTTTTGTGCAGGGTTTTCCCTATGAGGGAAGAGCTTTTAAGCTCTCAAACTTGCTTACTGAGCTCTAGGAGGCTCTTGCGAAATCTTGGACAACTCTACAAATATTGCAAGAGCCTCCCCAAGCCTGGGTGCACTGGCTCTGGGAGGTAATATTGCTCATGCAGGGGCAGTTCAAAGAAGCTGGTTCAAATATATCCAGTTTTGTGTATATGTGCCATCGCCGGAATGTAATCCTTGATACGAGTTACCTGTATAACAGAACTGCAGGCAGGCAGCCAGGCACTGAGACATTTGAAGATTTGAAAGGATGGAATTTTTGAGAAGTAGGTAGGGTTAAACAATAATTTAAATAATTGTCAAATAATTTTAGAAGTGTACGCAAGAGGCACCTTCAGTCCTTGCATCTAAGTGGGCATGTTTAATTCTGCAACTTTAAATATCTGTGGGCAAATTTTCACTTTACATTTTGAACTGTGGTTGACCTGAAGCAAACATGCATGCCAGATCCATCTTTTGGAAAACAGTCAGAAGTGACATCCAGGAAAAGAATACTTCTCTGCTTACAAATATTTTACAGAGACACGCACTGAATTTTACATACAAATGCCCTTTAGACTTGATGCATTTACTGTATTTCGTTCTTGAGTATTAATGCCTATGTACGAAATGTGAGTTTAGAATCGGCTAACAAATATTTGGTCCGTTAAATTAATTTCAGTTTTCTTTATCCTAGATTTCTGATATATATTGTTCATGTTTTAATATTCCTGCTTAATTTTTATGCTTCCTGTGAAGGCAAGGGGTTGTAAGGTAAGAACTTACTTACATATATAAAACATTCACTATAAAGTATATTTTATCTGATTTGGAAAATTATAACCTACAGAAGCGTCAAGTAATACATATACAGACAAAATCCTAGGGAATACAATGATGCAATGAATATACCATATTCTTCCGCCTATAAGACTCTTCCATGTATAAGACACCCCCTATTTTGGGGGACTCAGATTTAAGAAAATGTATCTGTGAAGAAGACGCCCCCTAATTTTTGACATTATTTTTAAGGGGGGAAACCTAGTCTTATACATGGAAAAATACAGTACTTCCTCTTTGCTATTGGAAAGTTTCTAGTGCAATCAAATGAGGCTGATAAAAAACAGAAAAGATGCATTCCTCTGATGGCAGTTTTTGTGTCCATGAATATACATACCTTATACATCTTCTGTGTGCCATATAGGTTATAGCTTCTAGCTCAGCACCAGACAGGAAACTTGTCATAAGCAGTGTCTATAAGCAATGTCTATTAGTTTCAGCGTTCTGGAGTTGACTCTTCTTTCCTTCATTCTTTTTTAATCACTAGCTTCAGTGTCTAAGGAGCTGGTTCTAGAGCCAAACTAGATGTTAAATGTATGATATATCTTTAACCGTTTTTTAAAAAAAGTAAGTGTGCATGTTAGGATATTGGCACAGAAGGAAGGTGGTTAATTACTCCCCCCTGCCTGTTTCTGGAAAATCACATCACTCTCTCCAACTGATCCTGACTTTAATCAAGAATCTGCCGTAGGTACCTATTGCAGTTTCTGTGTAGAGCAAATAGAAATTTGTAGAGTATTGTGATTTTCATCACAAAAGCAGCGAAGGAACAATGACAATTTATTGATAAAATCTGGTATCTTCAAAAAAACAAAACCTTGAGGAATTACATGTTCAGATTTCACCGATAGCTTATATGAGTTTGCACTTCTTTGATTTTTTTTCAATCTCCAAATACAGTGTTGTGATTTATACCTAAGCATAAACAACAAAGCAGAACAGCTCTTTCCAAGTCATATATCTGTTCTGTGTATTTTGGAATTTGTATGAGTTGTTTGAAAAGGATTTATAAAATAGTAATATAATACAGAGGGGGAAATAGACTCAGAACCGGGTCATCAAAATTACTCATACAAGAGTTACATTATTATGAGTTGTATTCAAAGTTGTATTCAAAGGAAGCCGTTCCATCAGTGCAAGCATTTCTGCTTGCCTGATGGGACTATGTCTCTTCTCCTCCCCGTATGTGCTGTTCTGCTGATCCTCCAGAATTGGTTCTGAGGAAGTGGGGGGGGTGGAGAAGAGGGGGAGGAAGCCTCATTGCACTAGTGAGCATCATTGCAGTGTTTTCCACTACTGCTGTGATTTATTTGAATATGGCCCAATGTGTACAAGCCGTTCCTGCTAATGGTTGTGATAAAAATGGCAACAGTACGCTAAGGCTGCTGTCTTTGTTGTAAAACTTTGATTTATTTCCCTGTCATGTCTTGGTAAATAAATACTTATTTAGAGGATTATCACACACCTCCTGGCCCACTCACTTTCATGGCCACTACTTCTTCAGTTCCCCATTGCCAGTGTCATTCTGAATGCAATTCTGCTTTTCCCAGTTTCAACCTAAGAGCCTTGAACCCGGCATGTGGCTCTGTACTGCCCTTTGTTGGATAGTGCTGAGTCTGGTACAAGTGCAGCTCTGATTTCCCTTCTTCTAGCCTCCAAAACCTAGGGGAAGGAGTGATTGTATCCTGTGAGTCTTGGGTACAGTTTTCTGCTTGGGTTTTCGCCTGGGGTACTTGCAATTAGCTATATATGAGTGAAAAAATTACAAAGCTGCCTCATTATTAACAGGTGAAGACTTATGAAAAAGTAATGAGAATTTGATATGAGAATTAGTGACTAGTGTAATGATTAGAGGAGCACCCCAGGCATACCCACAATAATTTGATCCAGAAACTTGGTAAGCAAGGAGAAGCATGAAAAATGGAGTTTTCCAAACCATCCTTTTCTGTACTAAAAAGCTATATGAGCAAATATTTTCTGTCTTATTTGCAATTATATTGCCTTTGTTTAATGAAACCTGTGGAATATCAAGTTAGACATCATTTTCCTGAAAGCTTGTAAAAGTTCTTCTCCTGCATCACTGTTCTATTGTGCGGTGTTGGAGCATGCTTGATGAGCCTTCTTTGCCAAATAGAGGAACTTGAGTAAATAGTTAGCAAACTTACTCTTTTGTGCCCCAAAAGAGGTAATATATTCCTTCTCATTTTCCTTACACTATGGACTCTTCCTCTCCCAACACTCCTTCACTTTCCTATTCCTTTTCCCTATGCCGCCAAACTACTCCTCTCTTGCAAATCATGTCTCAACTTTTTTAAAAATCCCTCTCCATCTTATACCTGTAAATATTACCTTTGTAAACAAAAAAACACAACCACAAAATAAAATCTCTTACACTTGGATATTGCCAGAGGATCCGTTCAACACAATTCTACATAATATCTTTTCTGCTATAAAATAATTTTAGTGTTTGATTTTCTTATCTTAAAACACACTTTTCACCAATTCATCATTAAACCAAACTGGAATAAGTAATCATTCTCTCTTCCTTCTGCTGCTGAAAAGAGGTTCCAGGTAATGCTTTTACTTTGCTAATGTCTTTTTCATATTTCAGCACCATCTTCCATTTCCACGCAAAGCTGTCTTGTCATTTTGGTGTCCCTAATACACATATACATGTTCCTACCAGCCTTCAACATCTTGCTGTCATGCTACTTTCTGTACATATATAGAACTCTGCAAATGTAAACACTTCTATTCACCCTGAGGCTCATTAAATTTGCTAAATTTAACAATATTTTTAAAAGTACTGTACATAAACAAAACAAAGTAGAATTACAAGTTCAAGAAAATCTTAAGGACCTTTTCATATAGTATGCTTCCATAGAAATTTCCCCTATGAATCTAGTTATTATTTTGTTTATTGGCACATTCATATCCCAGCTCAAGATGGAGTGCATGGTTATTCCCACCTATTTTACTTTCACAGCATAACATATTTAGAGAGAAGCCTTATTTAGTAGCTGGCTAAGCAAAAAGCTGCAGGAAGTTCTCTTTGCCTATAGGTTTGTTACCTATTTAGCACTACGCTCTTCAAAGAGATATTAGTACTATTTCCTTCATGTACGGAGGTATCTGTTAGGACCTGTTTACTCCATCATCTGCTGCTTTTCAGAATCTCACTCACTGCTTTGGTGAATCTTCTGCTTTTCTGTTCTTTCTCTTACATTGTCTTTCTGTGTCCACCTCACTGACATGGGTGCTTATTTCTGTCCCAAAGCTGTTATTTCTCCTGTCACAGAGCACAGTTTTCGGAAGCAGTTTTGACTTCTTCATTTAAACCATGTGCAGCTGCTACCTTAAAATGACATCAGAATGATAGATGTCACTATTATTTTCAGTTTCAGTGGCAAATCTTGAGTCTGCTGTAAGGAATAATTGGTAACTTGTTTCAGTGTCATCTATGCTTCCTAAACGAATAGAGTATGTTTAAAGGTGTAGGATGAGGACTGTACTACCTCAATATGGAAGTGGGAGGATTGCATGCTTGGAATTATACCACATGCCCTCACCAACGCTTGAATCAGCTCTTAGCAAATGAAGTGTACCTGTATGCATAAATCCAATATATTAAGTGGAAGTGGAACCACCTTAAAAACCTTGGGAAAGTAAATAATGGTAAGTTTGGGACCCCTTTCCCTCCCTTAGTATGAGGCTGCATCATTTACTTGGCTGAAACTTAGGACTCAGCTACACGGGTCAATTATAACGTTATATGTGCATTATAAAAATGTGGCGCCAGATGGTGCTGTAGAGCTGAAATCCAAAGTGAATGGTAAATTGCATTGGGAGCTTTTATAGCAGTCTTTTTTCATAGTTCTTTAAAATATCTGTGTAGATCCATCCTTATATCTATCCACGTGGGTTATTGTTGGCATAGGGGTGTCATGTTTGTGTCATTGCCCAAACAAAGATTTGGGCCTAATACAACGCTATGCCAGAATGACAGTTGCTGTTAACTACAGTTGCCATACATCCAGATTTCTCCAGAGATGCCCAAGATTCCAAAGGTGATTTTTTTTTAATTTTGAAAAATGTCCGGTTTTGGGGTAGGGGCGCACTGAGGGAGCAGGCAAGCAGTCTGTCTATCAGTCTGATGGGCATCTGGCTGGCTGAGCAGACCCCGCTTCTCCTCCTTGCAAAGTTAAGAGCCGTGTTGGGCATCCCTTCTTCTTCTCCTCCCCTCAGTGGCCTCTGGGCCCAGGCCTGGCTGGAGGTCCCACCACTGCAGAGCCACTCACCGGAGGAGGAAGCTGTGGGATGAGGAGCCTCCCACACAGGCCTCCCTCCTCCTCCTCCTCCTCTTCCTCCTGCTTTTCCGGGAGCGCAATGTAGAAGCAGCCCCTTTTCTTGCTCCCCTTCCCCACAGTGACTACAGCTGTTCCTCTCCCCCCTCCAAAGTAGATAAGCAGTCCCAGCAGATGGCCCATCAACCCGAGGCAAGTCCAATGCACCCCTGCCACACAACCTTCTTTCTGAGAAAACATAGTCTAATAAAGCCCTCTCAAAGCAAGAGCTATGAATCTTGAGTCTAAAAAGTATACTCTATTCAGATGATAACTTATTTAAGATTGCATAGTTACTGGAAGTGTGCCTCACTGAACACAGTAGGTTCCATAAACATTCACTTTTTATAGTTTGTGAGGGGTTACTGATTTTCTTGTTCAATAAGGTTTCCTTGATATCAGTTCTGCAATATCCAAATAAAACATGTGTTTGTACCTGCAGCCTCATTTGTGTAACTTTAGATTTAGTATCATTTTAGAAATGTTTTAAGTATGTGAATTGGTTCATCTAGTTTCTTAGAATTCTAGTACACTTTAGAGAACAAATCTACATGCAGTTTTGGAGGCTTAACTCTTATTTACTTCCACTACCATTCCTAAGTATTGAAGGAAGAAGGGGGGTGGGAATCAATTTAAGTATAGGAATTACTAACTTGTACTTTATACCAACCCTGAGCACAGGAAAGGTACTTATTTTGGAAACTGATTTCATTTCACAAACATAGCTGACATTCCTTATTCTGCTGTGGCTTCCACAACATTGTGCTTTTTAGCCCTCTGTTATATACAGTATGTTCACTGCCTGTGCCATGTCATCATATCATATATGTTTAGCAGGGATCAGAGTGGTCTCCAGGATCTCTGCTCCATTATCAGGAGCCTAGTAATAGCATACAAAACCCCATCCTTTCACTCAAAGCCCATGCCTTGTCCTCTGAGTCCAGCCCCCTCCATATTGCTCTACCCCATATACTGCCATCAGTCTCAGAAGTAGTACAGTAAGACTGGAGATCTTTATCAGTGGTCTGTGTTACATCACCAACCTGAGCTTGTCAAATTGTCTTCATTCTTTGCTTTTGTCATTAAAGTAATAGAAAGTGCATGTCATGCAATGTTTTAAAATTTGATGGTACTGAACATTAAAGTGTGTATTATAAAATTGTGTATTATAAAGTGTGTATTATAAAATACAATCATGATTTTCTGGTTAGGCCCTTGATGTCTTTGGGTGGCTGGGGCACAAATATTATTTATTTATTTATTTCATGTTGCATATGCACATTTAAAACAAAGAATATTGGGAACTAGTTTTTTTTATTTTTATAGGAAATTATACCTCTGTGATGGATAAATTACAGTTCATAGGATTCTTTGCGGTTTGCCAAGTGCTTTAAATGTATTATGAATGTATGGTGTGCATGCATACAATAAAAACTGTACTGACCAGATAGTAGAACAACAATGAGGAGATTAGGAACAGAGGAACTATGAATGCTATAAAGCAACAGAAAGCTAATAACTGCTAATAATGATGATGATGATGATGATAATTTATACCCCACCCATCTAGCTGGACTTCCCCAGTCACTCTGGGCGGCTTCCAACAAATTATTAAAATACAGTAATGCATCAAACATAAAATACAGTAATGAATCAAACAATAAAAGCTTCCCTAAACAGGGCTGCCTTCAGAAAAGATAGCTTTGCTGTGAACAAGTGTAGGAAACAAACCAGTGTTGGCTTAGCATTTCATGTGAATCTCATGGTTTGTGTTCTTGCACAATACAAGGAGATGGATGGGTGTGTTCATTAAGAGCCATGACTTGTAAGATCATGTATTCCATCATGTGTGCACTGCACCATTGGATTATTACTTTCCACATGGTGGAAATATACAACATTGAGCAAAAGAAATAATAAAATATACATAATAAAACAACTGTTTATAAAATGGTCCCTATGGTACAAGCACAGCCTTGTTTTTAAGCACGTGTCTGTCTGGTGGCCATTGGTGACTAGGAATTGCACACACAAGAGTGAATGGAATCCCATGCAGGTGAGTAACTGAGCTGGTCAAAGAGGGATGAAGCACTCTGTTGACTTCACTGTACCCAACATAGTAACGAAGGCACTGCTAGAGGAGGGTAGCCTCTTCCTCCTCAATCAGTATAGAAATGAACCTCTCTGCCCCTTCTTTGCCAGCCCCCAGCAGACTGGTATCATTTCTTTGTAGGGTAATAACTTTCAGGGTTTGTTTATAAGGCTGTCCTAGCAAGGTATCTTACAGCTTTCTCTACCCAGGCGACAGTTCAGAAGATGCTGTTTTAGTACTGAATGGGTGACAGACAACCTTTTCTTATTCACAGTTCTTTGTTTCAGACCACCAGTTAGTAGGGCATTGCCTCAGCCTGAAAAACTTCAGACAAATAACGTTGGCAAAAAAAAGAGACCTATAGAGGTAAGAAAACATGCTATTCTTATTAACATTCTCATTTAAACTTCATTATAACCAACTATATGGGGTGTAATAGAAATTTAATTAAACAGCTTCTGTAAACAAATGCCTTGTGGACAAACAGGCAGAATAAGTGATAATTTATTCTGCATCTATGTAAAGGGATCTTTCAATAGCCCAGACAGACTGGCAGAATAAAAGGGGAATTTGGGGGCAAACTTGTGGGCTGGTCAATACTGCAAGCAGAATATTCCCTGTTTACCCCCAATATATTTGTGGTGAAGTGAGTTACAGGATTTTTCTTGATGCTTTGCAACACTATTAAAATAAAAAAAAATTAAATTCATTAAACAGTTTGTACAGTGCTGTTCAAAGATGAAATCATGAAATAGCTTTTATTCACAAGGAAGCTTGTGGTGATCATAAATCTGTTTTCTTAGGATCTAGTGCTGGAGCTGGTGTTTGGCTATCGTGGTAGAGATGGCAGGAACAATGTGCACTATTTGAATGATGGTGCTGATATAATTTATCACACTGCATCTGTTGGAATTCTGTACAATGTGGCAACAGGTAGGAAACATATACAGTAGATTCCATCTGGCGTTGATACAGTGTCTTTATTTTCTCTCTCTTTTTCTTTTCCCCTCATAGATGTGATATTTGTACTTTAAATAATATACCGTATTTGTCTCTGTAGGCTCTCAGTCTTTTTACCAGGAACATAATGATGATATTTTGTGCCTCACTATAAATCAGCACCCCAAGTTTATCAACCTTGTGGCAACTGGCCAAGTAGGTATGTTTGTATTTTTTAAAAAAGAAATTAATATATATGCATGAACAGTTAGTCATGTGAATTCATAGATAGAAGAAAGCATTTGCTTATGCTGCTTCTGTTTGTATGAATGTTACTCAGTTACCTGTGCCAATTATATTTTTTCTTGTAACACTGAAAATTATTTTAAAAACACATTGATGCTTAAGGATACTAATGCTATATTTTATTGCAGATTTATCAAAATGATTTTTTAAAGCTATTGAGCCCCATTTAATCGCAAAACATTTTCTTTTTTGATTCCACATCTGCCACAATGTACACTATCATGTCCAGCATACACAACACAGAGCAAAATGCCCATTGCTGTGAGATGGACGAAGGAATGCAGGGACCCCCTAGGGGTGCAAAGCAGGTCTGTGTGCTTTGCAGATAGATGCATTGTGTACAAACTCCACAATATCTTCTGTGAAGACTGAGAAGCTATAGCAGTGTAGGTTGTACCTTCACATCAATACTGAGCCCATGTAGACTAGTAAACAATCCCGCAAACTCTGCCACCCTAGGATACCTTGGTCCTCTATAACATCCTGCCAAGTGCTAAGGGCTGGATTTTTTTCTTTTTCCTACCATGCACCCAGTGCAGCTATGTGATAAAGTATTACCTGTTACAGCATTATACTGTTTTCAATAGACATTGATGATCATTCACTTATTTAGGAGAAACGAAGAGGAAAATATACAGTACACTTTTGAAGCAGAGATAATATAAAAAGATTGAGCTTTCAAAATATGTAACAAAATCAAAATCAAAAGTGCACTAATTGAAAAGCAGTGATCATAAACAATCCAGCGCACAGTAATCAGAACAAATTGTCAAATGGGTTGATTAAAGTTTTGCAGGGATGAAAGTGGTCCCTTTTGTACAAAAACCATTGCCAAAAGCTAATCATATAATTTGGGGTAGGAAAGTATTTCTGCAATTTGATTTAAAATGATGCTAAATATGTACCAGAACACAAGGTATTTAGCCAGAACAGATGGAATTTTGAACTGCAGTCTGGAAGATTCTCAAATCCAAACATGATATGGTTTAAATGACATGTTTAAGGTAGATGTCATGATCCAGCAATTGATTCTGAGAGTAGGTGCACCAGTGTATGCACAGAATTCCCTATACTTCTCATTTGAGAGAGGGAGGCTTCTTTAAAAGAATGTACAAGTAGATCTGCTCGTTTCATTTAAATGAGTGTTGAACCTGCATCCTTGAGATCTCTTTCTGCCTTCAAGAACACATATAGAATCTGGATCTGAACTATGAACTTAATATCACAGAAAATATGTTAAGAGTGGCAATTATGACAGTGGTCATTGCTGGATCTATTACGTTTTTGGATGTTGATACTTTTTACAAACACATTGAGTTGGTTAAGATCTAACAAAACATGGATTGGAGGATCAGGAATGTGCTGTGGACTTGTATTCTTCCTCCCCATGTCTCCGCAGGCTCAGGTTTGATTACTTACGTCCTGTTTAGCACAAAGAATTTGCCATCATGTCTGAACGAAAAACTGTGCTTACCAATTCTGGATTAGAGGGCAAATGTAAACCACCATTCAGCAAACTATGACCTATTTTAAATAAGAAATTACTAACTGAATCTTAATGCAGAAGGGGAAAGAGGGATAAGGAAAAGAAAGTAGATGAGTCCAAGGCTCACTCGTGTAATGTGAAACCATGGCATTACACATAGTCCTCTGCTATTTTTTCCCAACTGTTGAAAGAAAGATTATTTTAAACCATCTCTAACCAAACAGTTTTGCTCTCCATGCAACTGAGAATTCAACATCACTCAAGTTTGTTTAATTTCTAACTAAACATTGTTCAAGGAAAGGCATCTCCATGCCACTCTGTATATTCTGTTAGTGGAAGCAATAACAACTAACTATATATGGATAGTAAGTTCCCGTTTAATATACCTGCCACAGGGTTCATATTGTTAGACAACAATTCTGAAACCAAAGCTTGTACTTTATACCACATATATTTTAGTTATCATTTTCATTCTGGTTGTAATTATTTTTCTGCTGCTTTTCCATTACAGGAGACACAGCAGATATGTCAGGTAAGGGAAACTAAATTTTAACACCTTCAGGTATAACTAGGTTTTTTGACATTACGCACAGTACTGTAGGTAGGTTAACTGAATATATTTCCATGATATCAAATGCTACAACATTAGCACCAAACACAAAATTCAACAAGATATAAATATGCAAGATTTCCTTTAGATGAAGTCAAAGAATAATTTTAACACATTCTAAAGTTTATTGTATTATACCCACCACAACCACCCCAGTGTTTTGATAAGTGATAAAACATTTTATAACCTATTTTCTTATTTATATAACTTTTAATTAATTCAGTTTCTGGAAAATCATTGGGGCTGACAACAAATGTTTCTGTTATAAATATTATTTTGTTTAGCTATTCACTCAAGAGGCCTTGGTGACTGAGTTAATAAAGAAATCATCTTTCTCATTTACTGTATTGTCATGCAGTTTTTACCAGCCATCCAGAATGCTTATGAGTGCTATCAAATCCATTTTGTGAAATATCATTATGTTCCTTTGAAAGTCATAGTCTCAGCTGTGATCTTGTATAGTTGTTTTCATCTTGCATGAATAGGTAGTCATATTACATAGATGTGTATCAAACAGCTGACAGAAAAGGATAATGCACATGCTTGCCTATGTAGAGCAGTTGTTGTTGTTTCTGAACTCTTATCTATGTGATTCCCTTGATTATAATGTCTTGTGCCACTTGTGTAGCCTATAGTGCACAATCAGATATTATGTCTCAGCATAGTATGTTCCTCCTAGGACACATGATGAGGATAGAAGCCTAGCCTTTTAGATTTCCACTGTGGTCCCTGTTGACCATTGTCACATTCCAAAACAGCATCGAGCACATTTCAGAACTGGCAGAGTGTGGCCTGGGATTGTGTAGTGCTGAAAAATGCACTGGAAAACATATTTCCCTCATATATTTCAGTCTTCTATAGACTCTTACCACCCATGAATGCCCCTGTACCATATATAGATATCTTTACTTTATTGCACAGATGACTTGTTGGGTTCCGACCTGGCATTCATACAATGCATTACAAGCAATGTATTACAATGTATTACAAATTAGATTAACAGTACAGGCCTCACTCTGTCTTCTTGGAAGTAAGTCCTATTGAATTCTGTGGGGCTTACTCTCTAGTAAGTGCACTTAGGATTGCAGTCTAAATTGTAAACTTGTGAACTGCAGTCTGTATTCATGCTTTGTTCCCTTGTCATTAAACAAATGTAAGGGTGTGTATAATTTTATATAGATAATTTAAAATTCAGTTTTTTGTTCTTGTGTTAAGGGGGAACTGAATGAGACTTAAGAAGAAGAAGGTTCTGCTGTTAGATGTATCTTTTCTAGATTTGGGTAATACTTTCCCAAATGAGCACTTTTTGCAGTGTTGGCTTCAGAAAGCAAGATTATAATTTCAGGTTTTGTTCTTTTAATTAAAGTTAGTTGAATTATTTAAATGTTACAAATCCTACAAGCTTTAACCAACAAAATAATTTACTGATCTTCTTATATTTGTACAGCTACAGCACCTTGTATTCACGTATGGGATGCAATGAATAAGCAGACATTGTCTGTATTGCGATGCTACCATTCAAAAGGCGTTTGTTCAGTCAGTTTTAGTGCCACTGGCAAGCTTCTTCTGTCTGTAGGGCTGGATCCTGAACATACCATTACCATTTGGAAATGGCAGGAAGGTAGGAAGGTATTTTGTTTGTCTAAAACACATTTATCTTGTTCATTAACCACTACTTATTGATACAATACAATTGTCTATATGTGACTTTGAATTACAATTCATTCTTCCTATTAGGTGCCAAAATCGCTAGTAGAGCTGGTCATAATCAGCGTATTTTTGTAGCAGAATTCAGGCCTGACTCCGACACACAATTTGTTTCAGTAGGAGTAAAACATGTGAGGTTCTGGACACTTGCTGGAAGAGCACTTCTAAGTAAAAAAGGACAAACAAGTTCAATAGAAGATGCACGAATGCAGACTATGCTGTCTGTAGCATTTGGAGCTGTAAGTAAATAAACATACTCTTTACTACAGTTACTCTTTTTACTGTTGATGTTTCCATGTTTTCATTAAACTATGACTGCCTTTACTACTTTAAAGACTAAGCAGCTCAAACATAAGTTGCATTATAGATTTTGGAAGCCATTGAATAGTATTTAAACACTTTGCCTTCCAATGCAGATATTTTGTATATTTAGAAAAACTGATTTATTTAGAAAAATATTTTTAAAAACATTTGAGGGTATTGAGGAAAGTTCTAGTAGTGATTCAGACTTCTCTGATAAAAACTAGTTCTGGAGCGAATGTTTTATGAGCAGTTACCAATATTGTGCTGCATCCATAATTCGCTAGAATCTGATTGAAACCTCGGTTGAGTACCAGATCTGAACATTTTCCCCTCTATATTATAAACTCAGAACATTATTTATTTATTTGTTTGTTTGTTTATTTATTAAATGATGTTTGAATCTTGCCAGAATGGTCAAATGCAGTTTTAAATACAGATACAAGAAAATCTAATCAGAACCAGCAGAAAACTCACATAAAAAACAGAATAAACGGTAATTGCGTATTAAGATCCCCAGGAGCTTCCCAAAAAATAAAGACACAATTGACACGGATTTTAGTTTTTAGGTTATTGGCATAATTTTGGCCACAACTTTATTGATTACAGATAGTGAGGGGTTTGTTTAGGCATTGGTTCCCGACTAGCTGCACCTGACCGCAGCAGGGCAGCACTGACGACTGGGCCCCACCAGGTCATCAGTACAGGTAAACATCGTGGGGGAGCATTGGTCCAGGATCAGACCCAAGCTCACCCCAAATGCTCCCTGGGACTCTTGTGTGGCCCTACCCCCCCAAAAGGGGTCAACAAAAACATGGCGAGTCTCTGGATTCCTTTAATGGAATACCTTTGTGCATTGGAGGGGACAGGTGCTCCAATCCCCCCTCCAGATCACCTCAAACCGATGCCTAACCACCAAACCTTACAAAATTGTGACAATTTGCTATGCGGCAGGCGAAACCCAAGTGGCACCAGCCAATCAACCAAATGGGAAAATTCCTACCAGGCCCCTGTCCCAAAACAGACGACCCACGACGGCATAGCAAGGTCATAGCAAGACCCTAAATATAGGGGGGGTGGGCGGGTGATCCGGTGCAGGAGGCGAAAAGAGGAAGCTCTATGCAATGTGCAGTGGTATATAAAGGTCCCTCAGTTAATACACAAAATTCCCCATTGGCCAGATTTGCCCAGCAACCGAGGGACCACCAATCAGGGTTGTTGTGGCTATCCAATCGCTCCCACCCACACAAACAGTGAGGTCAGTCCTGATGATCTCACTGCAACACGTGCCCTCTGAGGAGCACTCAATTTACAAGAAAATCTCCAATACCATTAGAAAGCCACTGAAGTGCAACAGAACAGGACAGACTTCTCCTGACACATAAAAAAATGTTAAGAAGGTGCAAGGCAAACCTTTCTGGGGAGGGAGTTCCATATTGATACTACCAGAGAAAATGACATTTTAACTGGCTTTGAGAACAGGAAAACCTGGACAAGGGCCAATCTTAATTAGCAGGCAAGTTTCTATGGGAGAAGGTAGTGCTTTGTTTCCAGGCCATTAAAGTATTGAAACCGTAAAACCAATATTTTTAACTGATAACATAAATCATTTTGCTGAAGATCGTTTGAACTGGTATAAAATGCTTGTAGCAGTTAACCACAGTTAGTATTCTGTCCACTGTGCTCTGCACCATCTGTAGTTTCATTATAAATATATGCATTTCCCCCCTTTTGAAATCATGTGATGAACACATTCCCTCCCTCCTTTTCAGAATAATTTGACATTTACAGGTACAATCAGTGGAGATGTGTGTGTTTGGAAAGAACATATACTGAATCGAATTGTAGGCAAAGCTCACAATGGGCCCATATTTGCAATGTACACAACACTACGAGATGGCTTAATTGTAACAGGAGGCAAGGAGAGGCCGTGAGTCTCGTTTTCTTACAGATACATTTTACAAATATATTAATGAATGCATAAATGTGTTGAAGTAAATTACACTGTGGTAGTTCTACTTTTAAGTATATACAATTCATTATTTGTACATAAGTAAATTGACAGCCTAAACCTATTTATCTCTATTTGCTGTAGCAGAGCAAGTAGCGACTTTTACTGACACAGCAACCATGGCAACTCTTGTTAAATGTTAGAAAAATTCCCTACCTAATTATTTACAATGAGTAAAACAGGAAACTGATTTGAATGATTTCACCTGTTTCCCACTAGTATTGCATGGTTTGCTGCTAGACTCAATCTTCTTTAGCATAATACTAATAAGCCTTTCAGCAAAGTAATCATTTCAAAGTGAGTGACTGACTTTAAGAAATAATCTTGTATTTTTTATGTTTTCCTATATTCTTACTGCAACAAAATGTATTATAAAGTAAGGAGTACCCTCAGTCATTTTCTCTCACATAGGAAAGAGTTAAGCATGTACTAGATTATGTTTAAGATTAGGGGAATGAATACCGGTACCCAAGTCAAGGGAGTGAAAAGTTGAGCAGTCACGCTCTCACTGGCTAGCATATTAGCCTTAACTACAATGTGACATGAAATAGTTAAAATAACAGAAGCGTCTACAAAATAGTAAACATGTGCTTAACAACTATGACAAATGTGGAAATCTAAAAATTACATACTCTTAAGTGAGCTAAAACCATTGCAAAATAGTTTGTGGATAGCAAAACTGACATAATATTTTATATTTTAAAATAGCGGTTTTAATTATTCATTTGTAAATCTCAACTGTGATATCCATTGAATGAATGGAATATGGGATTTGAATACATGCATTTTACATTGAGCGATTTTATCTATTCTTTCTATAATGTTTCTTTATTTTCACTAGATCAAAAGAAGGTGGAGCAGTTAAACTATGGGATCAGGAGCTAAGGCGGTGTCGTGCCTTCAGATTAGAGACAGGACAGATAATTGACTGTGTTCGCTCTGTGTGCAGAGGCAAAGTAAGTGCTGGTCTCCTTAAAGAGATGACAACATCTATCATGTTGATTCATATTGGTTTTATATCATCTTTGCTTATTTGTCAGCAACCTATTTTTTCTGTTTGTTTCTAAGCATCATAGCATGGCCACTCTCAATTTTAGCTGTTAAAATTCTATTCAAATATTAGACAAGAAGAGCCTGTTAGACAAAAGGCTTATGTAGTCCAGTGCTCTGACTGTGGAGGTAGCATATAGCCATCACTATTAGTAGCTACCCCATGTAACTACTCCATGAATTTTGTCTAATCCCCATTTAAAGCCATTCAGATTGGTGACCTTCACAACATGTTGAGGAAGCATATACGCATGTTGGCATTTTTGGTATTTAGTTTCTTTGTTGTACCTTTCACTGCTGTTTCTTGACTTGGGCAATACTCTAGCAATATTGAGATCCTCTCTGGTGCATGAAAATATTGAGGAAGGGAGAGAAAGAAAGGAGGAACACTGATAGGAGAAAAGTGGCAGTTTTCACAACAGGAGAGGTTTGAGCAAAGAGGGGATGGAGGAACACACAGAGAGAAAGGGAGGAACAATGAGGGCTATCTTTTTGTTCTTTAAGTTTTAACAAGCAGAAAGAACGAATATGTCTACAACACAGAAGCACAAGCTAGCACCAAAAAGCTAACATGGATACAGCACAGTCTTTCCCAATTTCCTTCTTGCTCTACTCAAATCTTTCCCAGTGTTTAAAATGAGAATGTGTGTGCAAAGGGAGGCGGGCTGCAAAATAGAAGAGAGGAGGAGGTGGCGTGGAAATGGGGATGGTCTGTGTGCAAGGGACACTTGAAAAGAGGTGGGAGAAGGCGGGTGGGGAAGGAGGTGGAGGTGAAAACCAGGCAGTGCAAAGGGGTGTGAAAAACAAGGAGGGAGGAAGAGGTATGGAAATGAGTATGAAGGTGAAAAAAGGAGTACAAGAGGCTTCAGAAATAGGGCCTGGAAAGGTGAAAAGGGAGCTTAGTAGTTGCAAGGGAAGCTCAGGGGTTAACATGGGGGAAATAGTAGGAGGTTAGCAATCAGAGTGAGCAAGGATCCTGCCCCCCTAGTATTTAATATTTTCATGATTTCAACAATTCCTTTAGTGGAAATATGTTCATGATTTCTAAGTTACTATGCATAGATTCATGTTACCCCTCATCAACAGATGCTATTTTTAAAAATAGTTTTCATTAACTGAACATTGTTCCAGGGGAAAATTCTTGTTGGGACAAAGAATGCTGAAATAATAGAAGTTGGAGAAAAAAATGCAGCATGTAACATTCTAATTAATGGTCACATGGATGGGCCTATCTGGGGACTAGCAACACACCCTTCTCGTGATGTTTTCCTTTCTGCTGCAGAAGATGGGACAGTCAGACTCTGGGATATTGCTGATAAAGTAGGTATAAAAATTACAGTAAGACTATATAATTGTTTAGAAAAATTATACATTAAAAATAAATCCACTGAGAAAACTTGCACATATTTTCTTTTAAATGTATTTCCAGGAATTAAGTAAACGTAAGAGCTAAAAATAAATCGTGACATAATCTTGCTATGCTATATTCATTGTACATAAATGGAAACATTTAATTGTGCTTCCTTTTAAAAACCAATTCTCACAGAAGATGGTGAACAAAGTAAATTTGGGCCACGCAGCACGCACTGTGTCTTATAGTCCAGAGGGCGACATGGTGGCTATTGGCATGAAAAATGGAGAATTTATTATCTTGTTAGTGAACTCTTTGAAAATATGGGGAAAGAAAAGGGACAGAAGATCAGCCATTCAGGACATCAGGTGAGATATCATGTTCCCTTACCTGCTGTGGTTCTGGATTCTCTAAAAATTATATCCGCATCTTGTTGGATATGGTAGATGTGCATGCATGAGGATGCAGCGTTAAGAACATAAGAGTATCCCTGCTAGATCAGACCAAAGTCCCATTTATGCCAGCAATCACTCCCCACAGTGGCCAACCAGGTGCCTATGGGAAGTCCACAAGGACATGAATGCGACAGCAAGGAGACATGAATGTGACAGCACTCTGTCCAGTCATGTCCCCAGCAAATAACTATTAATCTCAGAGTCATGGGTCATCCTGTATTGCAGGGGGTTGGACTAGATGACTTTTATGGTCACTTCCAATTCTATGATTCTGGAAGTTCACAGCCATCATGATCTAGGTATTGATAGCCTTATCCTCCATGAATTTGTCTAAACTCCTTTTTAAGGCCATCCAAACTGGTGGCAATCACAAGATCTTGTGGTAGTGAATGTACTGTGTGCACACTACTGCCTGTCACCATTTTTTGAAGGGAACAGAGTGATTTAGGCCCCTTTAAGACACACAACCAGTAGCAGCCAGTGGGGTGGGTCTGCGTTGCTGACCTGGGTTCCCGAAGCTGCACATCTCTGCCAGTCAATCTGAGGGGGAGGGGAAAGGCGACAGGGAACTTGGCACAGTGTAAGTGGCAGGAGCATTGGATTGGCTCTGCCGCTTCATGCCCACTGCACTGAGCTCCCCACTGCTTTGCCACTCCCCCTCATGGTAATCGGCAGCGACGGGTGCGAAGCCAGCTCAGCAATGCTGTGCTATGCTGATAATCACTACTGCACACAGCTGACATAAACAGACACCTGTTTGGTGGGTGCATGTGCAAGCCAGAAAGAATTTTTTTAAAAAAAATACGCAGATTTTACAAAGCCCTAGTGAAACCCCAAGGTTTTCAAGAACATAAATTACTGACAGTTTCAGTGGTGGTATTTGTGGAGTCTATACTTGAGGTGCTGTTTAACTAAGGTTTATTCAGAGTAGACCCACTGAAATTATTGAACAGGACTAAATGAGTAAAAATGTAGTTGAATACCATGCTATGTACAGATGAACAGAGAACAAAACAGGAATAGCATAACAAGTAGAGTAAAGGATGCTATTTGATGTGGAAAAAATGTTTGAAATGGAATAAAACCATTTTGTGGCAGAGAAAATTGTTAAGAAATGACCAAGTTTGATTTGGAGAGGTTCAGTTAGTGATTAAAGGGGGGGGGGGGAAATACTCCACTTGATATTTACTATGAGAAAGGCATGATTTGATGACATTGTTACTTAGAAGTAAATCTGTGTTCAGTGAGGCTTACTCCAAGATAAATGTATGTAGAACTGCAGCATTGAACTGTCTTTTATTTCATATTTATATAGCATATGCTTTAAATCTTTGCTCCATTTTATACCACAATCATTTTACAAAATATCTGGCATAAAAAGTAAATGAAAAAAATAATATTTTGAGATTTGTTTAATACAATGTCACCAGCAAGAACTCATTTAACCTGTTTATCTACATAGGTTCAGTCCTGATTCTCATTATTTAGCAGTGGGTTCCAGTGAAAATGCAGTGGATTTTTATGACCTGACATTGGGGCCTACTCTTAACCGAGCTAGCTACTGCAAAGACATTCCTAGTTTTGTAATTCAAATGGATTTTTCAGCAGATAGCTGTTATCTTCAGGTAAATATAACTGGGAGCTTTTATTTTTTTATTAACTTATTAATTTGTTTGTTACTAAGGTATGTATTTTTGTTTTTATATTGTAAACTTCCCTGTGATCTTTGGATGAAGGGCAGTATAAATATTTAATTAATAATAACTATTTCCAATATCTTACTCTGTTTATCGTCTCTCACATGTAAGTAGAAATACATCTTGGAACTGATGGTTAGTTTATGTCCAGGAATTAAAAACTCCTATTTGTTTCATGTGTTACACAGGCTCAGACATAACAAAGAGCACATTGGGAAGGCGCAGTGTTGCAAATAGGCTTGCAAAATAGAAGCACAGTTAAGCAAAGCTTCTGTTTGTGAGCACCAGTGCCTCTATGTGTCTACCAGGCCACCAGGATCTGTATAATTAGTGAACCCTTTTTCAAGCCATTGTTATCATGCCAATAGCCAGCACCCACATTTGCAACCTCCATGCAAAGGTGCTGGTTCTCATGAATGGTGCCACTGTAAGCTTGAGAGTGGCTCCAAGTTATTCACTTAGAAGCTGTCATTATGTCTGAACCAGTTTAAAGACAATTCAGCTTTTGTGTTGTGTTGTAGAAATGCACTACTTTTTATATTCCTAGAATATTCTGTTAAGTATTGTTACCATGACAAGGCTCAAGCGAAAACCAAAGCCGAATAAGAATAGGATGGTTGACAGGATAGCATAGGATCAGGTACATACACCAACAGTTTTACTGTTGATTTTGAAAATTATATTGATTAGTATCTCTTGATATGTTGACCTATTTGTTCCTTAGCAGAAACGTATTTCAAGACAAAAATATCATCAGAATATCTGCAATTGTATCACTCTATACTAATTCTTATAGGTCTCTACTGGGTCTTACAAAAGGCAAGTTTATGAAGTGCCTTCAGGAAAACAGCTCCTGGATCAAACTGTGATTGATAGAATAACATGGGCCAGTTGGACCAGGTAAATCCAGACATACTGAAGCTTTCTTAAAATATGCCACATCATTTCCTGCCCAAATTTATGCAATTCCTGTTTTATGGATGTATAAGTAGTTTTTCTGACACTATTTGTGCTGTGACATAATTGCTGTGCACCATCCTGTACTCTTAATAGAATAAATGATCTAGGTAAACACTTTAAATAAGTAAATAAATTTACATCAGTCCTCTAGATCAAAATATGTTTCTTTAAATGGCTCAATTTTCTACCTTTTGCTTCAGCATTTTAGGAGATGAAGTTGTTGGAATCTGGTCCAGGCATGCTGAGAAAGCCGATGTAAATTGTGCCTGTGTTTCTCACTCGGGAATCAGCCTTGTAACAGGCGATGACTTTGGCATGGTCAAGCTGTTCGACTTCCCTTGTCCAGAAAAATTTGTAAGAACCTTTTGATTGAAGATTATGAGAGCTCCTTTACTAAGGTGAACCACTGTAAAATTGGAGAAGGAAAATTGCAGGATATTTTTCTTTACTACCTAGTTTTCTTCAAAAGGACCTCTGGAGTCCTTTGAAGATTGAAAATGAAAGATACAAGTATCATTGCTTGCTTGGTGGTTTGAGTCAATGGGACAGTCCTGACTCCATTCATACAACTTGCCACTAATCTGTTGCAAGTAGCTGTTGCGTGCCCAGGTGCTGCAACCCTGCCAAGCTGACCCAGTAAAGAAACCAGTCAAGACTCAAGGCCACAACTCTATTGATTCCAGATGTAAGAGGTCTGACATGGCCATTGGCTAATTTGGCAGGTAGTCTTCCTGGCCGTCAGAGAGCCATTTTGGTTCCCAGCTATCTGATATTCCCCCAGCAGAAGCAGCCCCTCATCGGGAAACATTGGGCAAGGCAGCGCCGGCCTGCAGTGCTGTCCCACCTTCTAAGATGCAAGCGGATTTGCATGCCCAGGTGCTGCCTGCAACAAGTAGCAGTTGCAGCCCTTTGTGGACAGTTGAGTAGCAGACTGGACTCAACCTAGCCCCAGAGTGCTGTTCCCCAGTGGAAGAGCACAACACTGAGAGAACAAATGAAAGAATGCATGTGCAACTGCAGTATCACTGTTCTGCAGTTCTCTACATAGAAACAGAAGTGTGGTTCAGCAGCTGGATCAGTGCAAACTTTAAATCGATCCAGCCGCTGAACCACACTTCTGTTTCTAAAGGGTCAGGAGAGATTGGGATAGTGTGGCAGTAATGTAGATGGTAGCAGCAGGTTGTGGGCGAGATAGATTAAAAATAATTCTACATATGCATACTGTGGGATTAGGGGCTCGTTTTAAAAATAATGAAAATGACATGTAGATTTTGTTTTATTTCAAAGGCAAAACATAAACGATTTTTAGGTCACTCAGCCCATGTGACTAATATTCGTTTTACAAGTGGGGACAGATATGTTGTTAGTGCTGGCGGAGATGACAGCAGGTATGTAAATCTTTATCTAAATGCTAGAAAAATACAGATTAAAGAAAATTATTTTCTGCTTTTTCTGAAAATTGGCTCAGTGTTTGTATTCCACTCCCTCGCTGTGCAGACGTGTGGGAATGTTTTAATCACATGTCTGTGTTTTACATTCCAGCACTGATTGTTGGAGTCTTGTGAACGGAAGTTCCGTTCTGTATTGCTTTTGTGTTCTCTCTTCTCTCTGAGACCAAGAAGGAGAGGAGCCATGTTTTCCTTTGTCCTGATTTTGTATATAAATAAAGTAGCTTAGTACTCACACCCCAGAGCCTAGGTTCTGCTGATGTTGTTTCTCTGCTAATGTGTGCTCAGTGTCTCTGGACATGAGTCACAGAATCTCATTGGGGAGGAAGATTGAGGAGCGGCACACAGATGAGAGGAACAGGCTGGCACATATAATGTCGCTGCCTGGTTGCGCACCCTGCCTGCCAGCAATTACCCCGACACTCAGATGCTTGAAAGACAAGCAGTCATGTTGAACTAGCAAAAAACCAAGCATAACAACTTTAAATATACATTAAAATTACTTTTAAAATCTATCAGCTTATTGTAACTTTTATTTCTTCTCTTACTTTCTGTTTGAAAATACAGCATATTTGTCTGGAAATGTGTACATATGCCACATTGAGAGACATGGAGACCTTCCAAAGAGGACACTACTGAAGAGGCGTTAGTGCCCCACAATTGCAAAGAGACATTCTCCAGTGTCCAGCATGCTTCGAGAAATGGTGCTGATAAAAACAGACAACAGTCCACCTGACTGACTAAAGTCTATCAGAAGGATGGAGCACTGCAAATGTATTGAGTCTAGTCACATTACTGCAGTATCAGATATCCTACATCTGTTTCCCACTCACTGCCAGATGCTGAAACACATGGAAAGGAAGAAGTGAGTTTTGACTCAGTGTACAGTTTCCCAATAAGATCCTGAATTTGTAATCAAGAGATGTTATTTCTGACCTAGTGCTGTACATTGCTGTGTTTACTTTCAGCATGAATGTTTAAGTACTGGGGATTGACTCTCACTCAAATAGAAGACTCCTTATTTTATTACTGAAATGGAAGCCACCTTGCAGCTCTTAAACGATAATATTTTTTTAAATGGGTGAAAATAAAATAGAAAATAAAAGAGATAAACCAGCAAAAGGTTTATCTAGTTCACAAAAAAGTCCCAAGAATTAAGTTTGTTCCTAGGACCTGCAGAATTCTATTGGTTTTAAGGCTTGGGTTGTAATCATGTCTGGTGAATGCTAGTAGACATGCGTGAACCCATTCTTCAAGGCTAATTTAGTGTTTTTGTATCACAAGCATTAAATTAGTTCTGTGAGCAGAATAACATTTGCTCACATTGTGAGTGCCTTGCCCACAACCTAAAAGTCTAACTCTGGTTTTTGCCTTGTGAATAAAAGTGTTCTCAATGAAAGATAAATCGCTGTGTTTGCTTGCAGAGCTGTGCTGGAAATGAGGACCAGGCTGCTCATGTTAATGTTTATACATTTATGAAGCTGTGGGGTGCCATTAGATGCAATAGGATTTATTAATTGCATTTTCACAGCATTGCTTAGAGAATTCAAAGTGAATAGATAATTCAGATATATTTTACCAATTATTATTATTTTGCACAGAGTAAGACTCATTGAATCTCTTGCTCTCCAGCTAATAATCTTACAGCTAGTCCATTCATTCATGCATACAGGCACCCACAGATTCCACCTCAGAAGGCACATGAGGGATCATTTTTTCTCAAAGCAACCCCGTGTCAAAATCGTATCTACACAGGGGAAAAATTACACGCAGGTTGGCGAGTTAGATTTTTGAAATGCAAGTGCCTGTATGTTTGAAATGGTTCTAACAACCAAATGTAAGCATCAAAATAAGCATACATTCTGAATACACTGGTTTGTGCTTCATACATGAGAATTGCAGGTGACAAATGAATCACTTCTGTGACATTTGTGTTCCTGGCACATTCCACTGCATGCACAGTCTTGGCACCCCTCTTTTACTTCCCTCACTGATTAGTACTGAGAAGCATCCTGACTCCTGTGTGAAACATTTTAGATCTAATTTGAGGCCAGGCACGCCCATTCCCTGTTTCTCTGAACAATGAGAATTCAGCATCCCAGCAATCATGCAGCCTTCTGCTGGGTTCAGGTTATCTAAATCAGGGCAATGTGCATTGTGGGACATCAATATAATGAGATGCGAAAATAGAATTAACTCTGCCCAATGCAACATTCATAAAATTATGTTCTAGTTTTCCACAAACCCTAATGTGAACATCAGATTTACCCCAAAGCATGCTTGAAAGCATGCTTCAAAGTGGATGGGGAGGGGGAAATCCATCTTTTGACATAACTATGCTGATTTACCATTCAGCAGAGTGTTTAACTTATTTGGGGGTAACTAAACAACATAAAATTGTCTTGAGTATTGTCTAGAATTACTTTTCCATGTACAGTAATTATACACGGCAATCCAGGAAATGTAACATCTTTTTTTAAAGCCAGTTTGATTACATATCATGTCAGAACTCTCTTCTCATAATCAAATACATGATAACATCCATAACCCATGTTTTGAAGTTGGCTTATTTGAACCATGTTTTGCGGGGTTTGGACAAAATGATGAGCTGCAGTTAATTAAAAAAACAACGAGAAGTGAAAGCTTTCAAATTCCACCTCCCAGCTGTGCAGGAAGAGGAAGAAGGAGGGGGAAGTGTGCAAGCCAGAGGCTCACTGCAGCATTGTGAAAAACCTTTGGCTTTTTGCCTCCCAGCATCCACATTCATACAATGCAGATAAACATGTGAGCATGCTAAACCTACTATGCACTCACCAATCACTGTGATACAAGCAAACCAAATTCTTCTCCTGCTTATGTTACTTTAGACCTTATAGAACAAGCATTTTACAGTGCACTATCAGCAGTATGCTGATGACACATACCTGCAGGTGTGGCAGTGGATGTACTGGACCATTGTTTTGCCTTGGTAATGGACTGGATGAGAACCAATAAACTGAAGCTCAATCCAGCTAAGACTGAAACACTTTTAGTGGGCTGTTTGCTAAACCAGATGGCTGTGAGGTTGCTTGCTTTTCATGGGGTTAGATGCCCTCTGAAGGAGCGGGTACGTAGCTTGGGGATACTTCTGGATCCTTTGCTGTCACTTGAGGCTAAGGTTGCTTCATTGGCACAGAATGCCTTTGGCTGGTGGCCTAGCTGCACTCCTGGACAGGGATGGATGGCCTAACCTATGTCATCTATGCTGTGGTAACCTCTAGGTTAGATTACTGCAATGTGTTATGTGTGGGGCTGCCTCTGAAGGCAGTTCAGAAACTTCAGCTGGTACAGAATTCAAGGCCAGGTCTGGTCAGCGAAAGGCGGTTAGAGCTTAGTACACTGTTCCTGGACCAACTGCACTAGCTGCCAATTAGCTTCTGGGCCCAATTCAAAGTGCTGGCTTTGACCTACGTATAAAGCCTTAAACAGCTCAGGACGGCTGTAGCTCAAGGACCACCTCTCTCCATATGAACCTACTGAGATCCTCATCTGAGACTCTTTATCGTGTGCCTCCTTCTCGAGAGCTCCAGAGGATGGCAACACGAGAACAGGCCTTTTCTGCAGTGGCTCCCCATTTGTGGAATGCTCTCCCCAGGAAGGCTCACCCGACACCTGCATTACATTATCTTTAGGCGCCAAGTGAAAATGTTTCTCTATAACCAGGCCTTGGGCTGATTAACATTCTATGGACTTTTAAAGGTCTTTGTGGGAGGGGGGGTTATTGGTTTGTTTTTATTATGCATTTTGTGTTCTCATTTTGTATTTTTATGTTGTGAGCCATCCTGTGATTGTCGGGAAAAGGGTGGTATGCAAATTTAATAAATAAATAACAATGAAAAATACTGAGTTTAACTAATTTTGAATACCACCCAAATGCTTTTTACAGCATGATAACCTTTGCACATAGTGAAATCTCTGGGCCTCTGGGAAGGAAGGCCCTAATGCCAAATGCAGTTCACAGACAACACACTTAAAAAGCTCCAAAAATCCAGCCTGTGGAGTGTAGGGGGAGCTTCAAAGTCTGTAACTGGCTGCTACTCCGTTATACAAAATAGGCAGCTGTCCCTGGACTGATATCCCCCCTACCCACAAGCAATTTCTATCTATTACGGTTGCAAAATGAGAGACAAATTCTAGCATAGTACCAAACCCAGAAGTCCATACAGACTTGTTCTTGCGTAGGTATGCAACTCATAACAAAATGGCGCAGAAAAACCACATAGGAATGGGAATGAGTAGGGAGCTGCCGCACAACTTAAGGGGCTCCAGGAGTGAAACAAAAACTTATGAGAAAGACATAGCCAGCCAAAGGTGGACTTTGGTAATATTTTGTAATATGGCAAGGCCTGTGCGGGGCCAAAATTTAGTGCCTCCAAGTGGATCTTCTCGATTGTGGATCTTCTTAAGATTTGTGCCCTCTTGGCTTGGTGCTCTGTGCCATTTGCACCGCCTTAAAGCTGGCGCAGCTCCAGCCCTGCAAAGTCTACAGGCTGTGACACACAACAGCTTTCTGTATTGCAGATTGCTAGCCTGTTCCTTCTCAGGTTCCTCCTATCCAGCACTTGGAAACTCTCTGGCAAATGTTTGTGCCCCCTAGAGGCACAAGCCTCACACTTCCAAGAACCATGAGATTTGGATAACCATTTAGTCTGAGAGGACACTGATTTCATTCATTTGCAAGATATGGGCCCCTAACTAATTCTGTATTTTGCTTTGCATCTAGTGAAAAGTAGCCATTTTAGGAATTCAATTTTCATGGATTCTCCTAAATAGGAATTACCACAGACCATCCTTTAATAACTCCCTGCCCCTGAATAAAATATTATTTAGAATAAAAAACACAATTCCATAATTAAGATTTCTCAAGAGTCTGATGTAGAACACTATTTTTTTTAAGCAAAATGTGTTGAGTGTAGAATTCATATTTCAGGTGCATGAATGTTAGTTTCTAAACTCCAGACTGTATCCTGCTATGGCCATGAAGGCTGGTGAATATTTTGAGAATTCTGTAAATTATTATTTTAACCCCAAACCCAAATGCATGAAATCTTGCACAAACTACATGACTTTGTGGTTCACTTCTTTTGAAAAATCTTGGTGCTTTCAATGCTTTTCCATAATGATAACACCTGTTTTTTTGTGTGTGTTTTTTTTCATTTTATTGCAAATATTTCATTATGATTGTGCTTTGGAGCCTTGGGGCATCTAAAGTAATTTAAAAGAACAATTGTGCGGCTAAATGTAAAGCTTCACCTTGCTGCTGAGTTCTTGAATACAGAACCTTGGCTTAGAAAACATTATTTGCAAACAATATAACATTTTAGTTGCTTTTTCTTATAAGTGTGACTCAAGATAATAAGGGCAAAACTATAGACTAGATGATGCTTACTGAAAATTTATAATTGTAGGACTGAACAGACATCCTTTTGAACTCATCCAGTGTCTGTCTGTCTCTCTCTCCCCCTCTGTGTGTGTGTGTGTTTGAAATTAATAGGGAATACAGTTTTAACAGCTGTCACCTGGTAAAGTGACCTGTGATCCTAAACCACTTGATAACATTCAATAAATTGGTCCAAAATCTTAAGATGTACAAAGGAAGGCAAATTATGTATTTAAATGAACCTATACGGTACTTTGTATTTAGAGAACAGCTCTGTGCCACAACAAATCCAGTCCAACAGCTATGTTTGGCGACCCACAACAGATTTGATATACCCAGTTTTCTGCTTGCACAGGAAGGCAAAGAACCACGCAAAGCAGGGGAAAGTTGTCAAGCACCTAGCACGTGGGTGCTGCGCTGGATTTGACCATCTGTACAGGACTGATACAAAACATGCAAAGTTTGGAAAACTTTGGCATTACAACAAACAAAACATCTGCAGGGTGCATTGCAAGTGGTAACAGAGAACGCATTATCCGACCCACTATGCTGGTGAAACCTAAACTTACCCAAAGTGTGCCCACTTACTTGACGTCCCTTGTACTACTTATTTTGAATCAAGTTGCCCTGAAATCAACAGGACTTGCTTCCAAATAAATGTTTTGGATCTCAGGCTGAGAGGCACCAGAAAGTGTGTTTAGAGGGATTTATTGATGCCTGGTTTGTCTGAAGCCAGATTGGAGAAGATGTGGGTGGGAACTGGGTCAACAGAACCTTGTTTTCAATTTTGCCAGTGAGCGCTGCAGGTTAAGCCGCACAGTATTAAAGGTCAGCTTCTGCCACAAAGGGCTTAAGATCGCCAGGCTGCTTCCAGCCGTTTTAGGCCACAGCTAAACAGAGCCAGCCCAAGACGTTTTGGCACCTGAGGCGGACCACAAAATGGCACCTCCTTCCCTATCAAGGAAGAAGGGGTGAGAGAAGATCTCTATCAGAAACAAGGGGGAAATAAACATATACAATGGGATGTGCTGCCTCTGTGTTTCTGCTGCTTGAAAAGGTCGCCTCTCCTTTTCTCATGTGAGGGCAGCTCCTGGCTAGTTTTGTCCTCAGTGAAACAGGAATAGCTTCCTGCAAATTGAAAGTATTTCCATAAACAAGGTTACAAATAAGTATCTGAATATGCGATTTCCAAAAGCCCTGAAGTATTCAATTCATCATTTAACTAGAAATGCCATGCTGTCACGGTTCCTATTTTTTTTAACACAACACACTTTTTATGCCCTTCACTGTCTGTTTTACCACATTTCACTGAAATTCCTGGAACAATTTATTTTCTAGGTCCCCAATATCTCACTCTAACGTGTTTGTCAGATGATCCATTTTGCTTTAACAGCAGCAACAAAATGTTACGTCCAACTATAACCCAAAGGTGTATGTTAACTGTGACCTTTATTACAGTAGCAAATTGTGTTCTCTTTTGGGTTTTCATCATAAAGAGCTAACCCCTGTGATCAAATAATCTTAGAATTTGTCATTTAAAAAGTGTATCAGTTAAGCCTTTTTTGCATAAATCAAGTTTTTTATTTAAAAAAATCTGAAAACAAAGATTTTGAAATAATTTCCTCGATTGTTAAATTTCAGAATTCAAGAATATATTGGTCAAACTTGAGCTTAAAATGTGGAGTTAACTTTTGTTTTCCGATATCCAATGTAAATATTTGTACAGAATATTATCTTTTGTATATTTTTGTGAAAATGTAGTTCCCCAAAAGATACAAAAGATTTAATAAAAAATACATTTATGTTACTGCTTAATCTTTTATATTATACCCTAAGGAGCCCAGAAGAACACCCATTTCTGCCATTTGGATTCCAGGATATACCTATGTAGAATTATAGCAGAGTACTGTTTCAAGGAAAATCAGTACTTCAATACACAGACTTATTAGCAGGCCTGTCCATACTCCTTCACTCCTGAGACTAGACATCTAGACTAACTGCAATGAAGGCAACAGATACAATTTAGGCCTTTCCCTAGACACAAGTTAGAAGACGGAATGCTCTTTCCCTCATTACAAACCTTCCAGGAGTGAATTCTAAAGCAAAGCTGAAGGATACGTCAATAACGTAACAGCTAGCCAGACTGTACCTTAACCAGGTTTACAGTCAAACTTTAAAATCTGGTTTCAAATGCTAGTTGTAGCAATCTTTGTCACCAGTACTAATTGCTTGACCCCTTCACATATCCAATTTGAATAAACTGGGAGAGGGAAATTCAGTCTGCTGGGATGGGGTGCTGACAGCTGACCTGCAGTTATATCTCTCCACCAGCCTGATTTCCATTCAAAATAGTTCTATTAAATTTATTCCATTTATATCTTGCCTTTCTTCCTAGCTGGTCTCTCATTCAGGCATTGACCAGACCCAGACCTATCATAATCCACATACTTTAGCTGTCATTAAATTGGTAACATTTCCCTACTTTTAAGAGCTTGCTTACTATTTTCTAGAAAAGAAATTTAAAGGCAAAAAGGTGAGGTAATCTATACTGAAGATGATGGTTTCTTTAAAGCACATATGAGTTATATTACTTTAACAACAATTTCCCAAAACAAACAGTTTCTTTGTAATGCAGTAATTTTTTTCCAGTCTTGGAATGGATGGTCCAAAGGAGATTTGTAAAATTGTGAGCAAAAGGAGAAACTTACTGGCCCAACGTAAGTAGGACAATAACCGCGCCTTGACATTTTTATTAGTGTTAAAGCAAAATCCTCTTCCCTACTGACATTTTTACAGTAAAAATATGTAAAACCAGTTATTAAATATACAAGTTTTGAAAATTTCACATTTCAAGTAGGCAATCGACTTCATTTTATGAAACAATATAGATTCAAGGCCTGGCATATACAATAGCTTTTACAGCATCTTGTTCCATCAGTGAGTATCCGCCCATCATTGTACAATGGTGAATTATGGGTTGTGCAAATTATTCACTGAAAAAAATAAATACAGTAAATTAGAAAATGTGTCATGATAATTATCGTTCTGCCCTAAAAATCACCAATCCCCATATATTTCAAAATTAGGGAGAGCTAAACTCTGAAAAATGAGTTTTCAACATATGATGAAGAACTGCTCTTACTCCAGTTTCTTGCAGTTTTTGCCTAATAGCTTGTTAAGCAAAATGATTGTGCATTTTCATGTTTGATTAGCATGTGCAATTTAACAGAGTAAGAGAAATACATTACCTAGTTTGGGTTCGGGTCCATTTTAAGGCATGACGTGGTGGTACAGAAACAGAAGGATGGTAAAACGTACAGTCGACTCTGGTACACTGAGTGTTAAACCTGCAATGCTAAGAAAATAACGGGACTGAGAAAAGGCAATGGCAAGGGAGTTCAGTTTTGCCTGTTTAGTCAAATCCATAGAGTGTACACTACTTGCACATTTCTATTTACAGCATATCTTTAATACAACCTTTCAAATATATGACTTGGGTTATCTTAACATAGGGTGGAAGATTTCTGCGGTCGATTGACTACTACAAATCCTAGGACCAGTTCAATAAAATTCACTTGATGAATAGCACAATGTAAAAACATTGTATTTATAAGGTGATATGAAATTCCCATCTGGATTGTTATCGACAGTTCATTCACAGATGCATATCACCATGTGATGCCGCATACATCAAGGAATGAATATGCATACGGCAACCAAATCCTACAATGGAAGGGGAAGTCCATTTTCACTTATTTCCCCCTTTCCTCTGGTGTCCCTTACTGCTGTCCCTCAGACCTGCTCCAGAGGGTTGGGGGATCCTTTGGAACAGCAAGGGACAAAGGGTGGAACAGGAAAAGGGGGACACAATTGGATTTGACAATAGTTAAAATCTAAAATAAGGTGCATATAAATTGCAAACTAGGACTACTTCTTGAGTATAACAAGATCTGTGCCTAGCCCTCCTTCCAGGTTAATATATACAATGCATGTGTGTGTGCATGCATGCACACAGATGTTGTCAAGCACAGAATACGGTACTCTTGAAGGCTGGAAATATTAATAGTGATTATTTAACGGGGCTGGGCTAATACTTCATATTCCCTGGGCGCAGAATGAGTTCCACTTAAAGCTTCAGCCCAACTTTTTGAAACTCCCCTGCAGAGGAAATGAAAATATGGTACTTACTTTGGGATGGTAGAAAGGGCATTCCATTTTCTTACAAGCAGGGAAAAATCGACAGAGTTGGCTGCTAGAAGATGTTGGCGGTGCTGGAGGTGGAGCTGCAAAACCCATTAATGGAGGAGGGAAGTGACCGATACCAGACACAACAGCGAATGGTTTCACATGTATTGACAACATTCAAAAAAACTGCAATTTCAATTCCTAATGTTCAACTGCAGGAAATTGTTTCTGGAGGCAAGTGAGACAACCACCTTGCTGCACTAAGATGGTCTGGATCTGGCCAGTGTCTGGATAGGAGACTGTAGGATCCATTTGCTGCAAATCCCATAAGATTATGACAGACCAGATATAAATATAATGCATAAATAAGCAGTTCAAAACCAAAATTCAGGTTGCTTCAGAAAGACGCAACATTGACGAAAACACATAACCATTTTTCCATCTGTGTTCAAAACACAGCTTTCTGCAAAATTTCATGGCCTGTGAAAGGGGAAAACACAGCTCAAATCATGTTGCACCACAAAGTTGTTTCCAAGTTGAAATGCAGGGGGAGGGGGGAGGAGAAACAGAGAGACTGGGAGTCTTGGGTCCTCCAAGGAGGACAAGGAAGTGGCTAGCCATAACATTTGCTGGAAGCGGCAGCAATGAGCGAGGCAAAGAAGGGGAGCACCTTCCCATCACCCCACAAGCTGCTGTCAGTCCTTGTGGGACAGGGCTGAGTTCAGAGACCTAGACCTGCCTCCTCTTACGTTAAAAAGACAACTTCGTGATGTCTTTTAAATTATCATTCAGCAGCCTGCGCTGCTGCAACCAAATATTATGAAACACGCAGACTGCAATGGTCACAACTACCAATGGTTGAAACATGATTCTATCTTATACATTTGCCAATGTTTGCAACGCACTGGTTGGCGGAGTTGTTGGCCTGGCATATTTTGTTTTATGCTTTTTTTGGCGGTGGTGGTGGTAGGGGGAAGGCAGAGCTGTCGAAGAGCACTGCAAACTTTTTACGTTATGGTTTGGCACAGCGGATTTGCTGCTGGACTTTTCTTTTGTCGTTAGCAAATGGCAAGTTTGGTGTGCTGCTGTGCTGCATTTTCAACAATTGTTTCAGCCATGCGGGTGTGTGTGTGTGTGTGTGTGTGTGTAGGTCAGAATCAACAACTGACCCAATTGATAGCAGAGGCAGGAGGAACCTAAGAAGAGCCCTGCTCCACCAATCAAAGGTCCATCTAGTTCAGTATCTTGTTTCCCAACTTGGCCAATTGGATGCCTCTGGGAAACCCACAAGCAACCTGCCTTTGGTTTCGCTAGATCAGATTCTGCTGTCACCAGCACATTCTTCCCAGCAAGCCCACATCAAAACCTGGAATAGCAATAAATCTTTACCTGGTTTAGGAGGTGGCAGTGGGGTCCGACGACTGGCATGAGTGTAGGGGCAATCTGGCTTGGTGCACTTGGCATCGTATTTACAGTTTGGATGGATGAACAAGCATTTGTCCGCAAATTTGCAGTTGGGAAAGACTCTGGAATGTGAAAGGGAAAGCTGCTGGGTAAACTTGTTAGAATGTACTCACTTTTTCAAAATAACATCTATGTTTACACCTCAGTCCTCATCCCTGGCATCAAATACAGTTTTACTTAAATCAAGACATTGGTGCTCTTGGGCTAGAATTCTAAAGGAAAACCTCAATTCCGTCTTTTCAAAAAACCCTCTGGCTTCAAGTGCTTTCCATGCTCAAATAATAAACGGGCAGAAATCTGCAAGCCAATTCTAGAGAGTTCAAAGCAACCAAAAAAGTTACATGTGTGCCAAAATCAAGGTCTGCCAAGTTGGTAAGGTCTGGGTTTTTCCAATGAAATCCCCAAACTCTAAAATGGGCATAAAAAGAGCCAAAATGGATCCCAATGATGTCAATGGACATACTCAATACTGAACTGAAGGGGGGGGGAAGGTTAGTTGTCAGACCTCTAGAGAACTGATCTGATGTTTGTGGATTAAGAACTGGACTGGTGGGGAAAGGGGAATCTCGTCACTGCCACATCATCCTGAGCACTCAGCCCTCTGCAGTGACCCCGTTTCATTCTATGTTTTGTGGATTTTTTAGATCACAGATGAATTAAATGCTCTGAGAAAGGGCTAAAGAGCTGAATAGTGCTGACATAAATCTGCTCGAGGGAGCTGCAGAATAGATGAAGTAGCAATGCATTCTGAAACACTAAAAACAGCTTTTCAGCTCTTCCCCCAAACCTCGCTGTACTATATATACCTCACAATATTAATTGTATTCCCTCTTTTCATAAGGATTTGCCTCTATCACAATTAAATATATACTTCTATAGTGTATATTTCTCACAGCTATTTTCTGGATGTTGTTAGCCTGCATCTCCCATCACCCCTGGCCATGCTGCTTTGAGCTGTAGGGTCCTTCAACTTTAGCCTCGGTTGGGTACACGAAACCCTGACTACGCTCCCCGTTTGGCTACACCTGTTCTACTGTGGTGATGCAAGAAGCCAACCAAATCCACAGCTGTCAGGAAGCAGAGCTGGAGACCCAAGAGCAGACCCACCTCCCTTCTCTCCCAGAAGCTTTTGTGCAGTGGCCTGCTCAATCAGACCCCGTCTAGCCTAGCATCCTGTTTACTGCTGTAGTCAGCCAATGGCTTTTGCGAAGCACACAAGCCTGGCAGAAAGGCAATTGCCCTTTCAATATAATCCCTCTACCTGGTCTTCAGAAATGAACCGACCTGACCCTGGAACTTTGATTAGGCGTTATGACAAATAACCAATGGCAGACCTCTCCTCCTCTTTGCCTCTGTCCAATCCCCTTTTGCCCTTTAAGCTAGTGGCCATTGCCATAACCCGTGGCACGGAAATTTCATTCCAGTGCAGTGGAGGCTTTTGCTCAGGACTAATACAGAGGAGAAGACGGGGAGAAGCTAATTTTTGTGAACGCTGTGCCTGAAGACCAGGAGGGCCAACTGCATCAAGAAGCATTTGTACCACTAACTTGCACGGCAATGTGGGGTGATGGAAGGCACATTCGTCTCCATTTTTGCAGGCGGGCCAATACTTGCAGCGCTCGGGTACTTTTTCCGCTTTGTGCAGGGCACCAACATCCTCCATCTCCACTGCAGAGAGAAAGCAAAGAGGCTCCAGTTGATCTCAAGTGGTTTGGCTGTTCAAATTTAAGACCATTTCCATCACAGGGATTATTTACCCACATCAAAACCATGCAAATTTGAGACTCTAAAGTGTCAAAATGTGATGGGGTGTGCTATTTATTTAAAATATTCCTGCCCCACCTAGGCCTCCAAGTCAAGAGAAGAAAAATAAACAGAATATTTGTTTAAAATAAAAAACAATAATTATAAGGCACCAGCGATTGAAAAATACAATACACACCAGCTGCTGTTACACATGTGACATGGGGAAATCGCTCCTGGCTCATGATTTCATCTCTGGGACAGAAGCATTTCTGTCCTAGGCAACTGTATAGCCTGAGGCTCCTGGCCCAAACAGTAGAGATGATCATAACTGGCTACCCCCCAGGATTTAGGAGTCTACTGTTTGCTGCTTCAATCCCAGATGAGCTTTCATTAAGTCAGGAACGCAGGGTTGGCAAAAGTGGTGATCCCTTCAGATGTTGTTGTGCTCCAACTGTCCTAAGCCTCATCAGGTGCATGGCCAATGGCCAGGGATGATGGGAGTTGTAATCTGGCAATATCTGCAGGACCGCAACTCCCCAACCACTGCCTTAAATGTGGTGCATCCAACCAGGGCCTGTGCTGTTTGCTAATTATGCTTAGACAACGTTGAGGGTGGGGATCAGAGCTGTGTTCTTCCCATTGTGAGAGGTCTATTAGAAAAGAACCTGCCATGGGAACTTAGCCTGCAGTTCAGTCACTGCATTCCTTCCCGCCTTGTGCTCAGCTCGAGTTGCCCAAAGAAAGCAATGCAAATAAAGAAGCTTTGCAACGAAGCTAACAAAAGATGCTTATCCACTGGGGATGGACTGTTACCATCGGTGCTCTCCAGCTGTCTGGATATAATGTGCATCTGTTGCGCACGAAGGCTTCTTAATCCCTTGTTGGCTGTTGCTTTGGGGGCAACTGGCCTTACTCCTTCCATGAGACTCATTTCCTCCTCCTCTTGATCAGACAAGTATCCTGGCGGGCTGGGGACTCCGTCCAAGGTGACTATGAACTTGGGACTAGCAGGCTTCTCTGGCTGCACAAGCTGCTCCCTGAGATGAGAGAGGGAAACCCAGAAGGAACGTCAAAGCTACTGAAACAGAGAGCAGACTAAATGTGCGACAACACATTCACACCCAATTCATGACAATCTGTGAAAGTTTCCTGTTGACAAAAGACTGAATTTGTTTTTTTTAAAGATACATTCTTATCTCTAAACCACTTTCCTTAAACTTCTGATAACTGAGATATGCATTTTTTCTAAGCTAAAATAGAAAAGATGCTCCTTTCTCAGTTTGTGTAAGAAGAGAACGTAAGATTCCTGATGGATCAGACTAGAGGCCTCTCTAGCTGAGCATCGTCTTTCTCAGTGGCCATCCAGATGCCTTTGGGAGGTCTCCAAGCAGGATACGAGACCCGAAGGATTTCCTGTCCCCAGAGGCAACTGATTGGCTGAGTCTGTATGAGTCATTGCTCTTCCAATCAGAAGGCCCATTCAGAACTGTGACTCAGGCAGGGGCACAGTAAGTAGGCTTCTTGCTACCACAAGGCAGGGTGATGGTCACCCGTTTAAGATGGTTTTAAGAAGGAATTAGACATGTTCGTGAAAAATTAAGATTGTCAGTGGCTACTGGTCACAATAGCTGTATTTATGATCGGAGGCAGCATGCCTCTGGACACCAGTTTCCGAGGAACAACAAGCAAGAAAGGGCTATTTTCCTACCATCTGATTGCACCCAATAAGGACATGGCCTTCCCTCAGCTGCTTTTGTAGGTGGGTCCTTTGGGCTCATTCAATCAACTGATTTATTGCAATGTGCTAGCAGTTTGTGAATTATTGGACTAAAGCAGCCCCGTCATTTAATGAGCCATTTGAAGGCAGGTAAAAAAAAGCTAGGGAGAGGAACTAGAGCAATTCACCATGGCTATCTTTTTTAGAAAAGGAGTAAACACATCTTCAAAGCTAAGAGACCTAATTCACACAACCCCTTTGACATTTCCCTATGTATGATGCAACTGAGCACCAAAACACACCACTCAGGTATGCCAGTTGCTGCAACTAGGTAAGTAAGCTTGAGACTCAGGTATGCCAGTTGCTGCAACTAGGTAAGTAAGCTTGAGTTTCTTAAGCCTTTTACTGAATTTTTAAGAAACAACTTTTTACCTTGTCTGTATGAGCCGTCCTGAGAGTGCCTGTAAGGCCTCCGAGGCCCTCTTACCCACTTCCAGATTCTGGGACACCATTATCTCCTCAGATAGCTTGGGCTTCTTCAAGATAAACGATCTGGTGTCTGTGTGGACCATCGATTCCAAGTCATAGTAATCTAAGCCAGAGAAAATGGCAGAAGTGTTCGAATCAGGCTGTCGTAACCCAAGCATGGGGACAAGTGTGAAGCTCTTTAATGAGGATAAGCAAAGTCACGCAGCCTGCCCAGCTGAGCATTAAACTAGCATATTTTCCACTGCAGCAGGAACAGAACTGGACAGGCATCCCCTCACTTGTGTGCGACCACATATACACACGGCACCAGGAAATCAATCAATCAATCAATCAATCAATCAATTCTAACCTGAAATGGTGGGAGAGCTGGAAAGTCCTTGTGGCTGGTAAGGAGACCCTCCAAGAGCCCAAATAGGATGCTAGTGAGCCAAAAGTCTAGAAGAAAAGACTCCAAGGGCCCCAAATGGCACACAGGAGCTCTCACTGCTGCCACACTACCCTGCTCAACAGCTGTTATATGGGAAGCTGCACTTACTGCAGTGGGCTCCCCACTAACGCACATTTCACTTATGTGTGCGAGAGCTTAGAATGTAACCTCAGAGTAAGTGGGGAGTTGCCTGTACAAGCAGCCACTGAAGTCAAGATGGCACTGCACTAGATAGGCTGCTAATTCAGTTCATATGCTCTCGTCACTCCTGGCCCAGCGGTCCTTTAATGGATACAAGAGTGGCCACAAGAAACCATGCTTGCAACCGCTGCAGCACACAGTGTTAAACGTGGCACAGAGCTATGCACATGTATAGTCCTATCCCTGCTGCTAGCTCTGCGCCAGGAGAAGCAACTAGTATTGGATGTTAATTGAGCAAGAGTGGCATTGGTGGGGAAAGAGAGAGCAAGCAAAATAGGGGGCACAGGGGGGATGGCCAACCCGTGCAGGCCATTGCATGACTGCATTAAAAGCATCTCTTAAGTACATGGGATGTTGTGTGGAAAGCTATCCAAGATTCATTGCTTGAACAAAGGTGGCTATTACAGTGCAGTCAGAATGAATGCCTTTGACGTGACCCATCAGGAATTTCCCCCTGTGCAAGTCTCCCTGAAATAAATGGTGCCAGCCCAATAATCCATCTGTTTGATTTCATCTATTTAAATGGGACTTTCCTCAGAGAAGCTCCCAAGAGGGCTTTCAAGGCAAACAGAATGAACAGATCTGTGCTTCAGACCACTCAGTCAAATGAAGGCCTTCAAAAGAACTCCACAGTTTGCTACAATCTGAAATAAAAGTAATTTAAGCTTCTTTCTTCAACACAAAATTAATGCATCAACGTCGGACATAGTAACACAAAGTCCACTTGGGATTGGCTTTGACAGCAGGTGACAAAATAAGTACCTTCCCATTAGCAAAACACTGAAGGGACTTTTTTTTCCAAATACGATTTGGACTTTAACCTAATAAAAGTTAAATGGCACTGTTTTAAACCTAAAATATACAGAGTTTTGGCTGTAAGGAGGCTTTGGGAAGCCTGATTTCTTTTTCTTTTTTATTAAACAACCACAGCTAACCTTGTGCCTTTTGTAATGCTTCTCCAATGGCCGGTTCTATCTGGAGACGGGAAAAGAGCTGCCTTTGCTGGGTTCCTAAAATAAACGTGGAATGAAAAAGTATTTTACTGCCTGTGCAACGCAAATTAAGGGACAGCTGTGCAGTCACTTCCTGCAACTCTATTCTTAACAAGTGCTCTCCCACCCTCCACAAGGCACGGGATTCTCTTACAATCAGCTTCCACTTATTCTACTCATCTGCACAATGCTAGGAGATTTCTGCCTCTTCCTCTATGGACCTATTTGAGCAATACTTTACTCTTGGATTCTTCCTAGAGAGACTGGAAGTGGACTTTGGGCTTCTGCACTGCCTCCCTGCTCTGTAGCTGGTTTTATCTCATGAAATCAACATTACCTTGGATGCCTTTAAAAGGGGATTAAGGCAAATTTAAGATGGATAAATAGGTCCACCCTTGGCTAATTGGATGGCTACCCCACAATAGCTAGTTGGAACATCTCCATTTAGAGGCAATGAATGCCACTAAATTCCAGTTGCCGGATTTGTGGGAAAAGAGACTTTATGCCTTGCTGGTGGGCTTCACCACCAATAACAGAAAATGTGGGGGCCCCCTCCATTATAGTGAGGAAATGAAAGAGAAGCACACAAGAATCTGAGGCTTATTGGGTTGAGATTCCTATTCAACAGAATTACATGTGCCTGCAGCATAACACACGTTTTTGGGCTGGAGAACAGAATTAACCTCTCCTTGAGAACAGAGCACTTTATTCAGTATCACCTGGAAGTCTCCCTAATGCTTGTTCCTTTGGCTCTTCTTCCTGTATCTGGGAGTTCCCTCTGGACGGCCGGCTCTGGCCATGCATCACTTCCAGAAAGGTTTCCTCTTGAGATGTCCGGGTTCTGGGAGCCACAGGAACTGTCTGCTTTGCTGGCACTTTCCACAAATAAAAAAGAAACAAATCATCAAAGGCTGATATGCAAAGAGCAGATGATTCATTATCACAAAAGTTAATTGCATTCTCTAGAAATCTAGACAAATAGGCCAAAAGAAGCAGCAATTTCTAACCTCATAAAAGTGTGGCTTTCAGACGGATTTCTGGCACGAAATTAACTCAAGACTGTCAGCTTCGCCTTTGAGCCAGTGCCAACGACTGGGCTCAACCTCTTCAGCCCCGACTGGGCCAGGCGAGCTGGAAAAGCACTCCCAGAGACCTTCCACTGCAGGGAGGTGGTCTAAGTGCTGTGCACTTACAACTTAGAGCTGTGAGCACCAAAACTCAGTTCCAAAAGTCAGCGGAGCACAGCAGAGTATGAACCACACGAACGACAGCTCTGAAGTATAACTTCTTTTATTCTCTACAGCTACTGAGAAAACTAAAGACTAATCGGAGACGCTGGACTGCATGAGTGTTACAGCTGCTTGAGCAGTCACCTTATCTATATACAGATAACACTCAGACTCCCTTTGAAGTCAGGCTGGAGCGGAAGAAGCGATGAGCAAAATCCGCCCCCTCCTTTCTGAAACATTGTCAGCAGATTCTTGCAATGGGAGGGGTGAAATATCCTCAAAGACATTAATTAATAAGCTACCCCTTTATCGCTCCACGAACCTTCTGCTTTTGTCTTTTGTCTATACTTCTGCTTTCACTTGAATGTGTTGGTTTGGTGTGGGGAAGAATGAAGTTGTCATTTTGGGGAAGAATTGCTATGATAAAGATGAGTGTGTTACCGAAAATGTGGCAAAGAGTAATTTCAAAGTACATCTGGAAGGGCAAGAAGCCGAGAATAAAGTTTAAGTTATTGACAGATGCAAAGGATAGAGGAGGCTTCGTCCTGCCAGACTTGAAATTATATTATGAAGCATCGTGCCTCTGTTGGTTGAAAGAATGGATGAAATTAGAAAATACAGAAATGTTAGATTTGGAAGGTTTTGACAACAGATTTGGTTGGCGTGCATATTTGTGGTTGGATAAGAAGCGAGTACATAAGGGTTTTGAAAATCATATAATTCAAAGATCTCTCATTGAAGTTTGGGATAGATATAAAAATCTATTAGAGCCAAAAACCCCATATTGGTTATCTCCATTGGAGGTATTGAGTGTGAAGAAGATTAATATGAGGGGGAATTGGGTGACATACAAGAGTTTAATAAAGAAAGTGGGAAGTAAATGGAAATTGAAACCATATGAGGTGGTTAAAGAATATGTTAATGATTGGCTGCATTATTTTCAGATTAATGAAATGTTTAAAAATGATATAGTACAAAGAGGTTTTGCTGATAAGGAATCAAGGTTTCAACAGGAAATATTTAAAAAATGAAGTTAAAACTTTATCTAAAATGTATAAATTATTATTGGAATGGTATACAAAGGATGAAGAGGTGAAATCGGTTATGATAGATTGGACCAAAGATTTTGGATATAATATTCAACTGAATGATTGGATAAAATTGTGGAAGGAAGGAATGAAATTCACTGCGTGTACCACAATAAAAGAAAATGTGATGAAGATGATGTATAGATGGTATGTTACACCAGTGAAGTTAGCAAAGATGTATAAAGTAAGTAATAAATGTTGGAAATGTAAGGAAAAAGAAGGAACATTCTACCATATGTGGTGGGAATGTAAAAAAGTAAAAAGCTTTTGGGAGATGATATATAATGAGAAGCAGAGACATCACCTTGCCAACAAAGGTCCGTATAGTTAAAGCCATGGTTTTCCCAGTAGTGATGTATGGAAGTGAGAGCTGGACCATAAAGAAGGCTGATCGCCAAAGAATTGATGCTTTTGAATTATGGTGCTGGAGGAGACTCTTGAGAGTCCTATGGACTGCAAAAAGATCAAACGCATCCATTCTTAAGGAAATTAGCCCTGAGTGCTCACTTGAAGGACAGATCGTGAAGCTGAGGCTCCAATACTTTGGCCACCTCATGAGAAGAGAAGACTCCCTGGAAAAGATCCTGATGTTGGGAAAGATGGAGGGCACAAGGAGAAGGGGACGACAGAGGACGAGATGGCTGGACAGTGTTCTCGAAGCTACAAACATGAGTCTGACCAAACTGCGGGAGGCAATAGAAGACAGGAGTGCCTGGCGTGCTCTGGTCCATGGGGTTACGAAGAGTTGGACACGACTAAACGACTAAACAACAACAATATAATGAGATGAAAAAAATGTTGAAATATACATTTACTAAGAAACCAGAAGCATTTTTACTAGGAATAATAGGAAATGAAATTAATAAGAAAGAATGGAAGTTGTTTTTATATGCAGTAACAGCAGCAAGAATATTGTTGGCCCAAAAATGGAAACAAGAAGAATTGCCTACGATTGAAGAATGGAGAATGAAATTGACAGATTACGCGGAACTTGATAAATTAACAGGAAGGATCCGGAATCGACGTGACCAGAGATTCACTGAAGACTGGATTAAATTTACAGAGTATATGCAAACACTATGTGATGATCAAATAACGTTTGTAGGTTTTCAGGAAGTTCTGTGAAAATGTAAGGCAGAAATATTGTTTTTTAAAAAATAAGGGATAATTAAGATATTAAGGTAGTGCAATATTGAGAAATGTGGAAGAAGTAAATAGAACGGAGAATCATCAGAAAGGCTGGGGGGAGTAAAAAAAAAAAGAGGATGTTGGTGATAAATAAGATGTTTGTTTTGTATGTTTTTTATATTGGAAAATTAATAAAAATATTTTTTTTTTAAAAAAAAGAATGTGTTGGTTTGGGGAACATTTGTCTCAGTCAAATGTTAGCTGACACACTGGATAGACAGCCAGCAGAGAAATGATAAGCTATCCGGTTGCACTGATGTTTCCATCTGGCTGCTAATACAGTATCATCATCTAGGGGGCAAGAAGATTTGCCAGCACTTCTCACAGTCCTTTCTTACTTGAGGGGGAGCCACTGAAGGCCCTTCCTGCCAATGCCAGAAGATTACAGTGGGCTTTAGATTCTCAGCAAGGCTACAATGCTAGAACATTAATGTGTGGTTTCAATGCTCCATTTCATGGGTTGTTTTTACTATTGCAATGTAGTCCTTAAAGCTGTAAGCAATCTTGAAAACCTTCTGCTAGGAGAGGTGGAATGTAAATCCCATCAGAGAAATATAGAAATATTTCAGAGACTTAAAGACCGATCTGCACATCGAGCTTAAAGTAAGATTTATACCCACTTAACCATCATGGTTTCCCCCAAAGAATCCTTATAACTGTACTGAAAATTCTGTGTTGGGTACTTCTAGTTCCCTCACAGCACTACGGATCCCAGCTTTAGCCTGCAATCCGCACTTCCCTGGGAATAAGCTTCAATAAATGTGCAAATAGACATGTCTGGGATGAGGTTGTTAGTCCAGGGCATAGATAGGGCATAAGAGAGACTGTGGGAGCTTTTCCGTAACAAGTGGGGCTTCTGTTCACTTACAACACCATTTGGTGCCAGCTCTGCAGCAAACATCTCACTTGTGATCTTGCAATGAAAACTGATCTGTGGGGCTGGTGTTTTCAGTGTCAAACCAAAAACCATTTCCAGAGGGGCAGCCATGTTAAGTCCACCGCAGTTAAAACAACAAACAGTGGCACCTTAACATGGATGATGGCAGGATCTTTCAGGGACTAAAGTCCACCTCATCAGATGCTCGGTGTATTGCCTGATGTTAAAACTTAAACATATGCAAAATAAGCACGGTTAGCATTCACAACAGATCTTAAGTTCAATCCCTTGTGTCTCGCGCCACTGGAGAGTCACTGCCAATCAGGTTTGACAATACAATGGACCAATAGCCTGACACGGTAGAAGGGAGCTTCCTATGACCCTAACAGCAATAATCAAAGATAAAACAAACATGCTAACTTAGAACACCTGTAGTTGAAGTAAGATAGCAAACCATTATGACTCATGCCACAGGTGGTGGCAGTGATCTTTTGGATATGTTGCTGTTTAGGTTTATCTTCCTGTGCCTCGATTCATTCAGGCTTACTAAACTGGGCTTGGAGCTCACGTGTCCCTGTCAAACTACAGTCACTTACCTGCAGCATAATTTGTTGTCTTTGTAACAGATTCCTGGGCTTCAGAGATAGCTTTCAATATTAAATTCTTATTGGCCTGTTTGTTAGGCGGCAGCGAAGGCCTGGAGGCATTGAACAAAAAAAGATACAAGGAAATTAATTTGTCATTGTAGAACCATAGAAGAGTGAAGTATTGCTATGCTGTGTTTTCAAAGGCTTGCCTGAAATCTTCACGAGGTGCACAGACTAGAATTTTTGGAGTTATTTGATCATCAGCTGCCCTATTGCGTCTGCCACCTTCTGTGCTACTCTGTGAGCCACGCATCCTATTACTGAAATAGGACTGATTTCTCTTCTCCTGGCATTCCTCTCCACAGAGAGGGCACCCTTTAATATTCTGCAATCCCCTGCCATACATCCAGCGACTGCAGAAGTCACGCTTCTGCTGTGGCGGCAGCAGAGGCCAATATGGATGCGCTCCTGATCTTCTGTAGTCCTCTCTGACCCCATTCCCTTTTCTGCAAACATAATGAAATAACTGTTGGATCCAACTTTTGGATCCACAGCAAAATACATCTTGAGATCAGCACTGGCCTGCGAGGCACTGCTGGGAAAACACTGCGCGAAAGCTAAGGTGGAAGGGAAGTCCCACCCTGGTTGTTGGGACAACCAGCAACTGTGGGTTCACACGACGCTCACCGAGGCATCTCCTACCCATCAGTTTCTGGTTCAGTTGGCAATTCCTCTCTCCACTTGATCACCCTGCAGCAATGGCAACAGTTCCTACTAGCGTGCTGCTCCCAGGTTGCCAGGGCTTGCATTTGTTTTCTCCTCCGTAAGCAATCATTTACTGTAAAAGCCAGGCCTTAAATAATCAAGCAATACGATGGCAACAAAATTACTTCTAATGTATTTTCTTGGGCATATGGCATCATTTGATCTTGCAATGTGGCCAGACACCCAGAAACAGCTTAGGCACATCAGGAACTCAGGACAATCTATCTTGATGCTTACTTTCTTTGGCCTAATTCAAACCCCACAATTCTTAGGTACCTTCTCTCAGGTTTTGCAGGCACAGATACGCTGCTGGAGATGCCTCCCAGACGGAGTCCACAGTCTTCCTCTTCCTCCTCCTCCTCTCCATCGTTGCTGAACCGTTTCACTCGGACTACAGAGCTTACAACTGGGAGTTTTCTCTTCCTCAAGTTTTCTTCCTGCAAGAAATACGATAATTTATTTTATACGTTTTTGTTTGAGAAATTTGTAGCATCCCCTTTAAGGCAGGCATTTCCAGGACAACGTAACTATAATTGATTTTGCTTTGAAAAAGAAAAAGTGGCTGGTTTTCCCAATGTCCATGTCCAATGTGTTTTCCATGCCTGATGGTGAGTGAAGCCTGTTAACAGGCAAAAAACCCCCAAAAAACCACACCATGTAACTGAAGTAATCACAATTATACCTTTGCTTGCTCCTGACTCCCTCTGGGGTTTTGCTGTGTTGAATTTCCTAAACATCATGTACATTTGTTGGTGAATATATTAGAGAAAGGTATGGTTATGTGTGTGTATAAAACTTTAAACACACACACATGCAAATTGGGACAACTGGATGGATCAAAAGCATGTACTTAATCTTTGAAGAAACATGACGTTTTCTAAAGTGCAACATAATTAATAATAATAATAATAATAATTTAAAAAATGTACTGAACAAGCTGTTAAAATTCCAGAAACAGCACCCAGATTCACAGGTACTATGCCGTATTCAAGCCTTAGTTCCCTTCACCCCAAGAGTGATTCAGATGATCATATTTGCCCTGCTGTACCACTCAAAGCCAACATCTACCACAGCAAGTCCTCGCTTCTTTCTCATCCACCTGCCCCCTCCAATTTTGCTTCGGAAAGTTGTTTTGGAATCAGAGGTGGATGGTTCCCAGTGGATCAATTAGTCAAACTCCCCACACTATATTTAAAAGCAATGGCAGGTGTTCAATTGACTTTTTCTTGGGGAGCTGAGCTCATGTTGTTTTGTTTTGTTTCTCTTCCCGTTACCCCAACCTGTCCCATTTTCAGGATAACCTCAGGATCCCACCGCAATAAGAGGTTCTTAGCACAAAGGGGGGGGGTCAGGTTGGGTTTTCAACCTTTATTTATCACATTCACATCCTGCTTTCCCCTCAAGGAGCTCACAAGAGCAGGTGGGTGGTTTCTCCATTTTACCCTCACAACAGCTCTGTGAAGGAGGGAAAGCAGAGTGTCAATCACTATGGTTGCCCAATGAGCTTCGTGGAATTTCAATCTGAGTCCCCTTTGTTCAAATCCATGACACTTTCATCAGCAACTCACGAAAGGAAGAGCTGGAGGGAAAGAATGCATGCAGGATACAGCTTTAAAAGCAAAACACACAAGAACAAAAAAAGGCAATCACCTTCATCAAGGCAGCTTGCATTTTAAAAAGAATCCAAATTCTAAAATTATTCACCAAGAATTATGGATGCTAGGGCAAAATTTGTGCAGATTTATTGGCTGACTTACTGCAAAAATCAGAGGCAGCAAGGCGGGAGGAGGATAATACAGGGAGGAAGAGCGGTGAGAGACAGAATGAGTGTTTGTGATTAAGCATGAAGAGGAGCCTGGTCAAACACTAGGGGCTCATCCACACTAACCTTTTGCTCCACACTTCCTAGGCACAGATCCAATCTTTAAAGTGCTGTGTCCGAGCGTTTTTTTAATGTCCTGGCCCTTTTCAGTGAAAACCTGCTTTTTAATGCTGGATCAGATGAAACAGCAATTAGGGGCTTTCTGCAGATTGCTCTGGTTCAGGGGTAAATAGCTGGTTTGGGCAGGGAAAGTGCCAGGGCAAAAAAAGAAAAAAGGGACTTGGACACAGCACTTTCAAACACAAATGTGTACCTAGAAACACAGCACAAAAGGATGTCTGGATGAGCCCTAAGATGGAAAGCCAGAAACTCATGTACGATAAATAAATTATCACCTGCTAAATAACAAAATAACAAAAGTTAAATAACAAAATATTTGCTAAATAACAAAAGTTATTTGGCAAGTCCTTCTTGCATTCTCTCTCTCCCCACCCCCACAAATCAATATGTACATTCACAACCAGGGAAGTTAGAAATCTGCCTTCTAAAGAAAACAAATTTATATTTTTACTCCCAGCCACTTACTCATCTATACCTAAGAATGTAATGATTGATAGTATCCTGCCCCCTTTACACAATGGGTGAGTGCAGAAGACACTAACACACAGCAAAAAAGGACAGAAGAGCCACATCCACCATGGAGGAAAGGAACCAGTAGCTAATATCATGACAGCCCAAAATATGGTGAGATTAGCTAGATGTGACTGAGAAGATCAGGTCCAGAGCAAGATTATCAATTTTGTATGATCAACTGTTAAGAGTGGGGGATTTGTTGAGAAGGGCACCTACAACATGTGTGACTTATTTTAATACTTTGCAATAAGCTAGTGCTGGTCCCTCCAAAATAATCCACTGATGTGTTTGTTTTTAAAGTAACACACTACTCAAGTTATAAAGTGGATTGAAACTGTAACCTGAGGAATACTCAGAAGCCTCCCGCTTCCCACTAGTGGTTCTGCTTAGCGCCACCATTGTATGCACTGATATATGGAGTGACGTGTCGGGGTGTTTTAATGTCCCAAAGGCTTTACAAATTTTTGACAGAGGAGGAGACAATGGGAAAAGGAGAGGCAGACATGACAAGGGGCGGTATTTTATTATTTATTCATTTAAATATTTATATCCCGCCGTTCCATGCCTTTCAAAGATACAACACCAACACAATTTAAAATACAGTCTTAGAAACGACAACAACAACATCGATAAAACACACCAGCAGACATTATCTGAAGGCACTTGACTAAAAATGGTCAGCTGGTCTAAAACAGTTTGATGTGTGTGCTCATTAAGGGGGTTGTTCCAAAGTACTGGTGCCACTACACCAACTGCAGCTCTGTTGATGGGAGGACAGTGAAAGTGGCCTTAAAAACTGAGCCAAGATCTCCTGCAGGTTCAGAGAGGAGAAGATGAGGAGAAGGTACATTGGTTTGGTCCCATGCCAGTTTTGAAGGTCAAGGCCAGCGCCTGGAATTGAGCTTGAAAGCAAATTTGTAGCAATGAAGCTTGTACAAAACAGGCGTAAAATGGTAGACCCTACGGGCCCCAGCATTCTGAATCGCTTGACATTCCTGGCTTGCAGCTCCACATAAGGCACATTAGAGTAATCCAACCTGGAAATAACCATGCTAGATTTGATTTCTCCTGGAAAGAGCACAGCTGCCAAATCAGATGGAGTTGGTCAAAGGCAATCCAGGGCACTATTGTCACTTCCACATGCAAGAGCACAGACAGTTCTAGCAGCACACCCAAGCTGTGAACCTGCTGCTTCTGGGGAGGGTAACTCTATCCAAACAGGTTGAGCTCCTCGCCCAGGATCATCAGCACGACCTGTCCAAACCCTGAGGTCATCTACAGAGGCCCTTCTCAGTGTGCCCTCTCCATTGGAAGTGCCTCCATCTTGCAGGATGTACTATCTCTAAGGAAGCTTTCTTTGTCATCCTTTTGCTACTGGGCTAAGACTTTTTTTGTTCTCCCAGGCCTTTTTAAAGATCTCATTAGTTTAGTCCCTGTGCTACAGTTGATAGTGTTAACTGCAGTATTTGCTCACTGTTTTCAGCTCATGTGGTCTGTATTTTCTTTTATTGGGTTGGCCTTTCTGTATTTCTGTTGGCCTTTCTGTATTTCTGTTTCTTGCCGGGTTAGTTTTTAGTTAGTTTAGGTTAGTTTTTTTAAGAGTCACTGAATTATTATTTTTTACTGAATCATTCTTATGTTTTTAACTGACTGTATACAATGCCTAGAGAACTTGTTTTATGAAGGGGGTCTAACAAATATGATTAACAATGAATACATATAGGCATACATACATATGTCTGTCTTGTCTGGAGTTTCAGTTTGTTCACCCTCATCGACTTCCAGACTTCCAGACACAGAGTATGTATACAAAAATTCTTTCTCCTTTGGGGCTATTGGCTACGACAACTTAAGTCAGCGGACCACATTGCTGTCTAGGTTATCTTCCAGTGGCCCCATGCCAGAAGTGGGTAAGGCCAGAGGAAAAAGCTGACAAAAAGCAAAAAATGAATCTATTACCTTTGTACAGTAGGCTAGTTTCTTCATGCAGCCCTCTCTATCCAAGCAAGCACCCACTGCAGGAGGGTGCATAGAAGGGTTGATGAAGCATTTGACCTCAGAAGGGGGTGTGGCCTGGGGAGGATCTCAGGGCTAGAGGCCTGGAGGGACCCAAATGGCCCCTGGGCCTGAGGTTCCCCACCCCTGATTTGAACCAGAGGCTTCTGACATGAGGATCCCAAACTGAAGCCAATTACTTAAAACAAACAATGATACTTATATGCCCTTCTAAAAGATCTGGGGTGGAGGAAGCAGCCGCCGAGTGCATAGAACAAGTGGTCACAAGGATACTGTCCCATTAGAGTATGGGGCAAATAGGTACTGAAAGCCACATATCCATTCATCCCATTTCCTTTCTTACAGTGTGCTTTGCTCTACAAAAGACCCGAGAGCTAATGCTGGGATTGACCACAGGCTGATTCAATGACAGACTCTAGAATATGCAGGGATCTGGAAACCAAGTCACACAACTTTAACAGGCAAGGTTCTAAGAACAGCAGCCTGATAAACAAGATAAGTTAGTTTTACCCTCAAGTTCAGCTTAGTTCGATTATTTTCAAACCTCATTCCAAGGAACTCTCATTTTTCCTAGCAAATGTTCAGGGTTGCTCAGTGACAAGGTCAGCAAAGGCAGTCAAGCTTCTCTGAATGACAGCTGATGCATCAAGAGTGCTGGGTGTGAACTCAGGTGCACTCTTAGCTCATACAGTGCTGCAGCCTGTGCCTATCTATTTATTACCCCTCTCTCTTTTCAAGGCACTTAGGTGCCATACAAGGTTCCTTCCACTTTATCTGCACAACAACCCTGTGAGGTAGGGTTAGGCTTAGCTATGGAGACTAGGCCATGCTCATGGAGGAGTGGGAATTTGAACCTAGGTCTTGGCGTTCTAATCACTATACTACACTGACTCTCTGGGTAAGTGAAGACCTTAGGCCATTGGTCTTCAACTGGAGGGTTGGGAATAACCATCAGGTTGAGACCCAAGGTGGGTATCAACAGCACCATACAAATATTGAGTAAAAACTAAGAAATGGGTCTGCAAATGCATTACATTGGGTTAAAGGCGAGTCCTGGGTCTGGAAACATTAAAGACTATTGCCCAGGAGCCTTCTCCAGAATATTCTACAACACAAAGGAGTTCCAGTCAGATACATCAGTGTGACAGGAGCTCCCCAAAGACAGGAAACTTGAAATCCTCTTATTTAGTATTAGCCAATGAACAAACCTAAGAAAAATGGACACATAACACTCATGCAGGGCCCATCTATGCCCAGGTGAGGGCTACAACTGCTACTCACCCTATTTAAGGCTAACACCATACACACACACACACACACACACACACACATTTTTCACCCCCTAGCCACTAAAGCAACTAGAATCTGGATGCCACAAGGTTTAGATGCCATGCGTGAGATATTTTTGACCACTCTTGCTATGTTTAGAACAGGGGACTCCAAGTGTCCATGGTGACCTCCGTTTGTTGAGTACATGTTAAATTACCAGCATAGCTTGGGCTTACATACTTACCTCACTGCTAATTTTATCAGCATTCCCTTTGGCAGTGGGCCTGTAACTCTCAGCCAAGCTGCCAAACACGTCTGGATCGCAGAGCTGGACAGCTTCCAGTGACCTGCCGCCCTGCATGTCAAGCTGCTTGCCAGTCTGTATGCTACTCTGTTGTGGCATTCTCTGAAAGTGCATGTTGCCTTCTGCACCTCGGCTTGCTGGTGGGCGGTAGATTTCAGCAGATGGGCGGGAGGAACCGTAAGTCACCGTCACGAGAGGCTTCTTCCGGGGCAGCCGATTCTCCTGCACAAAATTGAGGTCTTCATCAATGAGGTCATCCGGCTCAGGCTTAATGTCGATCACAGCTTCCAAGGGGGACAGCTCCCTGAGAGGTTTCACAGTTGACATCAGGAGAGATGGGGAGGTGTCTTGGCGAGGCTGCCTGCGTGAAAAGAGAAAATATTACCTCTACCTCATGTCAAGAAAATGCTTGCTTGAAGCCTCCAAATTGGGGAGGGAGCATAAGAACATGTTTGTCAAACTTTCACAGCTCTGTTCCAGGTAGTCCTCACCTATGAGGAGGCGTGAATTGCTATAAGGTGCTTCAGGGTCAAATTGAAAGAAAAATCTGTTTTTGCTTCTGCCGCTTTGGGGCAATTCTAACCCCACTGGAATGACTGAGAAGACCAGAAAAAACCCTATGTACATAGGCTACTAGAGGTCACAGTGACAGCACAAATTGTTGTTTTAAGTTGTGAAACCTACATGTTTAGTTTAGGACCTACTCAGTCCATTTCATGTCGGAAAATAACATATAGGGTGAAAAAACAGTTGTTGTTTTTCTATTTTCATATTAGACACTTCTTCTAACAACCCCACAAACTGTAGAGTACCATACAGGTTTATACACACCCCTTTCAAACTTGAATTGTTGAAACTCTTCCCCTCAGTTAGAAACTTTGCTATGATGAAGAAAAATTGTTTTCTTTTTAATTATTTTGCATAAAACTTTCTAATCTGACTTGTTCACCGAGACTGCAATTGCATCTGGAGATGGTTGCAAGCAACCAGCAACCTCACGCAAGCAGCTGGTCAGATCTAATGGCAACTCTTAAATCAAGGAACTTTAGCTGACCACTATTCCCTGCTCACAGTATCTCTTCCAATGATGTGGGGTGGGATTTTTTTTGCTTTCCAAAGTTAATTAATAACAATGAACTGATACCAATAAAGTCAGGCAAGCTTGGTAATTTCAAAGCTTTCAGCTCAGCTTACTAAATTCAAGTAAAATAAGCATGATGATTTAGATAATTCTCTAGACCAAATGAAAATTTCCCAATGCAAATTATCCTCATTTGAAATGTTCAGATTCAAATTTTCCCATTCAAAACAATTATTTCTGCCTGCCCCAAGAAAACCCACATCACATATTTATGCAGCTGCTTGTGTTGTTTCAGGTTGCCCTTGTGACTTCTGGGGCACAATGTCCCTAACCTCTTTCAAAAGAATCAAAAAGTCCTCCAGTTTGATGATCAGCTTCAACACCAAACTATCAATGTGAGAGGCAAGCACAACCCATGGAATGCATTTATGTAGGCTCCCACAAGGCTTTATTTCATACGAGAATGTTGTTGTTGCTATTTAAGGTGCATGCACAAACACACCACTCAATCATCAGTGTTTCTAAGCGGTGCAACAATTGTGCTGTTCAAAAGATAATGTCCAATAAGGCAGTATTACTGCTCTATAGTATTTATTTTAGCATTTCAAAATTGTAAATAGCAGTTGGGTGGCTTGGCAGAAAAGCAATACAGAAATGCAATGAACAAATGAGTGCATAACCACTATGTGTTACTGGTTTTTAAGACGTGAGAACCTTACCGGGAGGCAGCAATTTTCTGTTCCTGGGAGCTGGTTGAAACTCGAGAGTCACTCCTTTCTGGTCGAGAACTTGAGACTGTAAGGGGCTGTAGGACTTCCTCCCCACTTCTCTCCTCATTTCCACTTGAAATGCTTTTGACAGAAGGCAAACTGCTCTCAAAGATGTTCGATTCAGAAGATTTTAAGTTGGTAGGTTCTGCAGATACAGGTATTCCTTATCTTATTTCAAAGTTCAATGAAGTATTTACACACAACTGTAAAATATGTTTCGCTGCAGATTTCAACAGAAATGCACTTCCTTCAGTTCACATTGAGTAATACATGCTTTCAAAATAATATTTTCCCTGTTTGCATGAGAACGTTTCTTAAAATTCTAATTTCTGTACAGTCATAATAATTAAACTCTTACATAACAACACACAACAATAATTATTTTTAATGTCTAAAATGTAAATGAAAGCATACACACGTTATCCCTTCCTGAAGATGCTTAATTTCCAAACAATAAGCCAGGTTGTCTTTCCTTTACTTACCTGTAGTTACAGACCGAAGCTTATCTAGCACACCATGCAGCCTGAAAAATAAGAAAAATGTTTTAATGGCTAACATCTGCTTCAAATGCATTTTCTGAAGGGATATGTCACTTTGTTATGTTGACCAGTGTCATAAAATTTAGAATAAAGAGCAAATGACTTTCTTAATGCAAGTTATCAGCATGGAGGCAAGTGCAATGCAGTGTAGCACACAGGATTGGAATACAGTGGTACCTCAGTTAAGTACTTAATTCGTTCTGGAGGTCTGTTCTTAACCTGAAACTGTTCTTAACCTGAAGCACCACTTTAGCTAATGGGGCCTCCTGCTGCCACCGCGCCGCCGGAGCACCATTTCTGTTCTCATCCTGAAACAAAGTTCTTAACCTGAAGCACTATTTCTGGGTTAGCGAAGTCTGTAACCTGAAGCGTATGTAACCTGAAGTGTATGTAACCTGAGGTACCACTGTACTGGAAACCAACTTCAAGATCCTGCTCTGCCATCAAACTTTCTAGATCAGTGTTTCTTGAGCTTGGGTCTCCAGCTGTTGTTGGACTACAACTCCCATCAACCCTAGCTAGCAGGACCAGTGGTAAGGGATGATGGGAGTTGTAGTGTTATTGGGCAGATTTGTGGCAAGTAACTTTGTGTATATAAAAAAGGGCTTAGCTTAAAATATACAGTGTGAGTTGTTGGAAGCTGGCTGTTGCAACACTGTGGAGTTGTCCAAACACTTTGTAAAGATTACAGGTAAGTAGCCATGTTGGTCTGCCGTAGTTGAAACAAAACAAAATAAATAAAATAAAATAAAAAATTCCTACCAGTAGCACCTTAGAGACCAACTAAGTTAGTTATTGGTATGAGCTTTCGTGTGCATACCAATAACTAACTTAGTTGGTCTCTAAGGCGCTACTGGTAGGAATTTTTTAATTTTTTATGTTATTTTATTTATTTTGTTTTGTTTCGACTTTGTAAAGAGCTTGTCTGAGAGAAAGGCCACACTTCAGGACTCACAAAACTCTAAGCTGTTGCAGGACTCTGCAAACAGACTTAGAACTTTGTTCAGCAAGGAGTATGAATCAAATACCCTCTCTGGGCTGAGAGAGAGAAGACATATGTAACATCTGTAAATAGTGTGGGCGGGTGTTGATGTTGGCCTAGTAAAGACAACTCTGCTACATGGCTGTTTCCTGTGGTGAACTTAACTGCTTGACTGAGCTTCTGCATCACATATTCACAACCCCAGCAAAAGTAACATACCACCCAAAGTAATAAACAGGACCAATAAAAAGTTTTATTATTTTCTCTGACCCCCGTTTTTATCAATATCATCAGCTAAAGGCCTATCCACATAGTTGCCTCTTGTGCTTTGAATTCAGCATTTCAGTGCAAAATTGAAAGAATACCAAACAGCACATGTATCACACGTAACAACAGCAGATGCACTGACCCATTTCAAAGGAGGATCCAGGAAATGGGTGGGTGGGGAAACTCGGTAAACTGAGTTGTTCTCCCAGCAACATCAAGCTGGATGTTATACTTCATTTGACAACTAAGGTAAAAGCCAACCATAAAATGACTCAGTACATAGAACTAGGTCATGAGTTTTAAGATGCATCAGTTTTACCATTCAAATTCAGGAAAAGGAGATGGTCAAACCATAGTATTCTTCCTTCTGTGAAATGGAACCAGTTCTTATGCCACGACACATTTGCTCAGCACCTGAAAAATAAGCTGAACCCCCTAGTCCTGGCCATTTCCACGAGCTCATCTGCCTTGGGTGGCTTTATTTTGCAATGTTGCACAGGTGAAGGTTATTCATGTGCCCTGGCCTAAGCACTCATCTAGACGTGGAGGTTTCAGGATCAGACTACAAAAGAATTATAGTTCAAAGAATTAGAGGGATGAGAAACATACCATACAGTGAATCTCACAGTGTTGTTTCCTAGAAAGAGGGAAAGGTCCTCCGTCATCTGCTCCTGGCTCTTCTTGTTGGCCACCATGACCATGATATAATCAGGCAGCTCTTCATCTGATTTAAAGAAAGGGAAATATAACTGGATGTTAAATGTTTTAAGGGCAGCTGTAGAGTTTGACTATGAAACAGTCATAAAAAAGGGAGAGGGCAACTTTCAGATTATCCCAGGCATAGAACAAGAAAAGAAACAGAATTATTACAGGAAATGGCATGGGCCAGAGACAGTATGAAGCCATGTATTTTGGCCATTAGTTAGACTCCCAGGGGTACAGATTAAAGGTGCGCTATTAGAACATAGATGTTGCTGGTTGCAAACAGTAGCCCTGATAGCAAAAGGCCCTGCAGCACAATTCTATGCATGCTTTAGTTGGGATTAAGCAGCATTGAATTCTGTGGGACTTAATTCCAAGTGGAAGTGCATAGGAATACTTAATGTGAAATTCTGGGGTCTTCTTCCCTTCCCTCCTGGTCTTTCTTTTTCCCAATTTAACTTGTTTCGGAATACTGCCTATGTTTTATTGTGGGTTTTTCTTTACTAAGTTTGTGGTATGGAATTTCCTTTTTATTTACTTATTTCCTGATTTTATTTTCAATGCCCACCAGTAAGGGGAACCATATATGAAGAAAAATGTGGCACATCTGCTTTGGATATTTGCTCATTATTATTTCTATAGCACCTACAACCAGGCGCTTTACAATTAAAAACGAAACACACAAGAGTTACACAGAAATGCACACCAAGGTTATTAGGGTTGCATAAAAGCCTTTCCCCCTGTATCCTGATGGCTACAGTGTGAGACAGGTTAGGCCAGGGGTCAGCAAACTTTTTCAGCAGGGGGCCGGTCCACTGTCCCTCAGACCTTGGGGGGGGGGGCGGACTATTTTTTTTTGGGGGGGGGGACGAATTCCTATGCCTCACAAATAACCCAGAGATGCATTTTAAATAAAAGCACACATTCTGCTCATGTAAAAACACCAGGCAGGCCCCACAAATAACCCAAAGATGCATTTTAAATAAAAGGACACATTCTACTCATGTAAAAACATGCTGATTCCCAGACTGACTGTGGGTCAGATTTGGAAGGTGATTGGGTCGGATCCGGCCCCCAGGCCTTAGTTTGCCTACCCATGGGTTAGGCTGAGAGATGGTAGCAGGCCCATACCAAAGCTGACGAACCTGTGGCTTTCCAGATGCTGCTGAAGTACAACTCCCATAATCCCTTACTATAGGCAATGCTGGCTGGGGCAGATGGGAGTAGGATTTCATCTGGAAAGCCACGGGTTCCCCATCCTGGCTCAATGCCTTCACAACTGTGGAACAGACAGAAATTCAATAGGTGTTGTTTTCCTCAGCATGGAGATATAGTGATGGGAAATGTGGCACCTGCTTACATTATAAATCATTATGGGATACTTGGTAGTAATAACAAATGGTGAACAGTCTTTGTACATACATGTAAGAAAATAGCCCCAAACTAGATCTGCAATCCTATTCCCATTTACCTGGCAGGAAACCCCACTGAATACAATGGGACTTGCTTTTGAGTAAAAATGAATTGTTGTGCCCTATTTTTACAACTAAAGGCAGAAACTTACCCACATATGCTCCCAGCTCCTGTAGCTTTCCTTTTATAGCACTCTATATGAAGAACAGAAGAGCAGCCATTTAGGATTGCACAGTTTCAAACAAAAGGCATTCAGATGTTGCTCTAGAAGTCTCAAACTCAAAACCAAGGTTTAAATGAGTTTGTTCTTGAGGGACTGCCTGATGTAAATGGCAGCAAAACATTATTAATTTAGACAGTGCCATCAGCGGGCATAGTACCTTCCAGCAGACAGCGCCCTGTCCTGAGGATCTTATAATCTAAAATTCAACATCAAGAGGAAAATGGAGTTGAAAAAGAGTTGAAAAATGGAGACAGGTGTAAAAAGGAAAACAATATGCAGCTGTTACATGGGCTCAGATTGCATTTCAGTAGGTCAAGGGAGTGACAGACTCCAATATACTATTCCTTCCTGTGCTACAGGTGGGCTAAGGTAAACATATTGTTATCATATAAACACAAGCTACTAATAAAAGTTCATCATTATACAGAGGCTTTCCATACAAAATTATAAAAAAGGACTGTATTTAGCTATAGCTTTCATGGAGAGTTAAGGCTTTAAGACTGCAATCCTGCACACTCACATTTTACTTGCAAGCAACTTTTAAATGCAAAGATTCCTGCCCTCCTCGACAACTGGGCTCACGGCAAACATTTTGTAAAATAAAGGATGATTTGGAGATTCAGTGTGTTTGTTTTGTGAGTATCCTTACAGCTAGGTGGCATAGAGAAAGGAACGTTTGCTTTATACCTAGGTGGATAAAAATTACATATTGCTTCTAAAAATAAACATATTAATTATTATTGACTATAAAGTCATAGAGGAAATCTGAACAAAACATGTTAAAGCTTATACTTAATAACATCTTAAAACTGGTTTGCAACTAACTGTATTAAAGGTTGCTTTTCTATGCTAAAGGAAAAACCTTGCAGGGGAGGGGGGAAGTATATGACTTCTGAAGACAGGCATGACCCAAAGTTGTGTACTGTGCTTACTACTGAATCCAGGGTCTAACAAGGTCCCACATGTGCTATACTCTGGGAGACATCCTCCTCCATTTCACTAGGATTATCCATTGATCTATCCAACAACCTGATCTCTGCTGTGCTTTCTGTTCTCAAATCACAAATATTTGAAATTCTACTTATTAAACACATGGCATTTACTGCACTTCCATTCCATGAAGAAACACTATTTTGCCAAGTAACTATTGATCACTGATTGTAGAAGTTCTGAATATTTATTTATTTATTCTACCTTGAATTCTGTGGTGAAAGGCAGTATATATAGAAATCAGTATTTTGTCTGTAAACAGACATAATTCTGAAGTGCATGGGCTACATGTTCAAATATTTTAGATCATACTCCTAGGTTACATAAAGGCTCTTTGCATTTGAAAATCAGTATTGTTACAGCAATCAGTTAAGTGTGCATGACTGTTCAGGAAATAGAAGATGTCCAGCACCATTTGTTTATTTAAAAGATGTTTATCCCTTCTTCTAGGTATTTACCCTAAAAACATTGAGAAACTTTACTTAAATAAAATAAATTATTCATGGTGGCTCAGAATACATGATTTAAAAGCAATTCACCCATGCACAGCAAAATATTTTTACAAGGAAATCATACAAGCCCAACACACAAGCCCAAGCAAATCATTGAAAATTTACCAAATAATGACACATTCTGTTGGGATTTACACATATTCAAATCACTTTCCAGGCTAAGAAGTTTTAAAGAACTAGCTTTCTGTGAAATATTTATTCCTCTTAATATATTTGCAGATTTGGTACACTTCAGTTGAAGCAGTGCAGGTCTCCAAAATTTGTTCTGCAAACGGACACGAGGAATTCTGCATTATTGAACCACTTTATGTGGATTTCTGAGGTATTGTGCCATCTCTATTACTTTCTGCCTAATCAAACCATAAGGATGTTTGTTCTGTGCTACGGTTTCTATGGTGACTGAGCTACAAGTCCAGGTCCTGGGAGGATTGCCCTACCTTTAGGAATTGCGTAATGAATAAAATTACGCTGGGTGATTTTGGAAAATTCAGTTGTTTCTTCTCCTATCATGGCAGTGTTGTGATGGGAAACGCTGCATGAGACCCCAAAAGGCAACACTTTATTTTTGAGCGACTAGAAGTCGCTCCATCCTGCAGTTTCTACAGAGATGCATCTGAACAGAATAAACAAGCCTCCAAAATCAAGGGGGGCAATGTCTGGTTTAAAAATATTTATTTTATTTTACTCATTATCGATGGTATCCAATATGGCCTGCCCACTGACAGAAGGGCAGAGGAAAAAACAATTTACAATCATTCCCACTCACCACTCCGTCAAAATCTGCTCAAAGGTCTTTCAACCTTCTGAAACACGTAGGGGGATATTGGGGCTGCTTGGGCAAGCGGGTAAATAAAAAAAAATGCCCATCTCCCATTCTGATATTAGATTTCTTCTAGCGTAGACTGTATTCAAATACCTCCATACCCCACATCTTTCATCCATGGAGCTCAGGTGACATTTACATGCCTCTCCCCTGCCCTTTTCATCCTCAAAACATGTAAGGCATGTTAGGTATGGAGAGGTAGCGACTTTGCCCAAAGTTACCCAGTGGGCTTTCAGTACTTTGGGGAGAACTTGAACCCGGGCTTTGTTGTTGTTTTGCCGGCTACGTAGGAAAACGGGGAGGAGGGGGCCGAGGATTTGAGAGAACAAAGCAATAAAGTTTTGGCCTTTTGCAGCGGGGGGTGGATAAGAGGATGCGAGTTTCCGTAGTATTATATGAGCTTTTTTTTTTGAGAGGGGGATGCAATATCCAGGGAGGCAGGCAGGCACAAATCTTCCCACACCTCTCTGCCCTACAAGTGCGTGGGGTGGGGTATCAGTCAGGATATCTAAATAGGCAGAGCAACCCCACAAGCTCGTGGGGGGGGGCTCAAATTTGTCCTGTGGGTCACACAACAAGCTCTGGGGGCTGGAGACGACTTCGGGTCGAAAGGCGTCGCGGGGGAAGGCCCTCCGTCGCCGCCTCCAGTTTGTGAGGAGGAAGGGCCTTGCCCCCCCCCCCCAGCCCGCCCATGGGGTTTCCTGACGGGGCGACGGGTCTGGGTCCACCCCGAGACTGGGGGGGACGGGACCCTCTTTTCCTTTTCACCCCGCCCGGCTTCCCCCTCCTCCTCCTCCGGGCTGCCCTTCTCCCCCGCGCGGCTCCGCCTCTCACCCGGATCTTGCGGCTGATCTCGGTGCCGATCTCCATGGCCTCAGACCGGGCGCCCGTCCCGCTCCTGCCGCGCGCGGGGGGGGGGGGTGATGGGTGAGGGAAACCAAACAAGTGAGCTAGGCCCAGGCCTGGACCAGAGTCGGAGCCCGTGCGAGCGAGCTGGGCCGCGAGGGAGGAGTGGCCGCTCGGCGAGGCAGCGCCCCCTGCTGGCTGGAGGAGGCGAAGGCTCGATCCCCAAGCAGAGGGAGGAGAGAGCGGGCGATTTCGGGGCGGGGCTGCTTCTGCTGGCAAAACCGCACAGAAGGACATCAGCAGAGCCTGGCTGGGTCATGCTGGTGGCCCCATCAAGGCCCAGCATGCTGTTCTCACAGTGGTTGAACAAACAGGACCCGTGTGCAAGAACAGCTCCCGTCCTGTGGTTTGGGATTCATTGCTGCCTCCAGCTGGGGAAGGCAGAGCATAGGAGACAGCATGGAGCAGATCTAATGTGGGCGATGTGGGTGGCACTGTGGTCTAAACCACTGAGCCTCTTGGGGCTTGCTGATCAGAAGTGAGATGAACTCTGCAACCCCATAGTGGTCTGGCTTGATTATTGTAACTCGCTCTACGTGGGGCTGCCCTTGAAGCTGACCCAGAAACTCCAGCGGGTGCAGAATGCCGCGGCGAGACTCCTTACGGGGTCCTCGCTGCGAGATCACATTCATCCAGTGCTTTACCAACTGCACTGGCTCTCGGTGGAGTACAGGGTCAGGTTTAAGGTGCTGGTTTTGACCTTTAAAGCCCTATGCGGCCTAGGACCCACGTACCTATGGGACCGCCTCTCCTGGTATGCCCCGCGGAGGACCTTAAGGTCCACAAATGACAACACCTTAGAGGTCCCAAGTCGCAAGGTGGTTAGGTTGGTCTCAACTAGGGCCAGGGCCTTTTCAGTACTGGCCCCGACTTGGTGGAACCCTCTGTCACAAGAGACTAGGGCCCTGTGGGACTTGACATCTTTCCTCAGGGCCTGCAAGACAGAGCTGTTCCGCCTGGCCTTTGGTTTGGACTCAGTCTGACCCTTATGTCTTCCCTCCCCTTACTGTTTTGATTTATGGGCTACTTTTAAAACGAGGCTGCTTTTTAAATTGCATTTTAACCTGTATTTTAAATTGGGAGGATTTTTTGGTTCCCCCCCCCATTATGTTTCTATTGTAATTTTACTGGTGTTAGCCGCCCTGAGCCCAGCTCCGGCCGGGGAGGGCGGGATATAAATAAAATGTATTATTTATTATTATTATTAACCATCCAGGGGTCCTTTACCTTTATCTTCCCTCCAGCAAGCCCCATCCAGGAGCCCCAAGGCTCATGGGGTAGGAGATCTGGAAATAATGCCAATATATTTCAAAACTGGCACCCAATGTGCCCCTTTGGTTTCGGATAGTACAGTGGACCCTCCGGATACGAACTTAATTCGTTCCGGGGGTCCGTGCACAACCCAAAAAGTCCTAAAGAGGCGCCGCTTCTGCGCACGTATGCGGCATGATAGAGTGCTTCTGCGCATGCGTGCAAGGCGAAACCTGTAAGTATACACTTCCGGGTTTGCCGCGTTCGCAACCCAAAAGTCACGTTACCCGAAGGTATGGTGGCTCATTTACCAGAAGTAGTGTGTTTACTTATGGAAGTGTATACAGTGCTACCTCAGGTTAAGAACTTAATTCGTTCCGGAGGTCTGTTCTTAACATGAAACTATTCTTAACCTGAGGTACCACTTTAGCTAATGGGACCTCCTGCTGCCGCTGCACGATTTCTGTTCTGAATTTTATCTGTAAGCCACCTTGAGTCTGGGAAAAAGATGGGGTATAAATAAATATATAATAACAGCAATAATAATGATTGAGGTGTGTGAAAAATTGTCGATGGTGTGGACAGGGAGATGCTTTGCTTCCTCTTTCCTACTGCTGCATCGAACGAAGCTGAATGCTGGAAGATTCAGAGCAGACAGTGCATCGTTGGAACAAGGGGATTTCCTCCCCCAAGAGGCAGTGGTGATCACCAGTTTGGCTAGCATTAAAAGGGAGTTAGACAAACCAAGGCTGTCCACGGCTACTAACCACAATGGCTATGTTCTGCCTTCAGTGTTGGGGTATTTTCATTATTCATGAACCCTTTTAAAAGTAATACTCTTTGCAATGGTGGTAACAATGCAGGTTGTAAAGAGGTTTCTGAAAATTGTCCCAGTAGGCTAGAGGTTCTCATGGCCACATACAATTAATGCGCAACATTTCTTAATGTACAGAGAGCAGCTTTTGCTTCTCCTTCCGCCGCCCCCTGCATTTTTTCTCCTTCCATCCCCTGTAGCGAAAAGTCTGTAGTTGAGAGGGCAGCTGGATTTCTGTATGCTGTTATCAGTTCCTGCATCACAAGTATTTTTGCTTCAGGTCACAGATGTTTAAAAATACGCCCTTTGGTCCATCTGTACTGTCTGTAAACCTAATTATAATATTTCTGGGAGTTATAAAAATAAGACCATTACACTTGGAGAGATTTTAATTGGAAAGGCTTAATATAAATGATCATATAATGAAAAAGAACTGATCAGCTGTTATTTCTTGTTTCCCCCATATGTATTTCTGCAATGTCCCTTTAGCCAAAGAAGCAGCTGTCCCATTGCTGACATTCTCCCTGTTCCAACTTTCTAAGGTAATGACTGCAAGCACACACAATATTCTTTCAGATGAGTAAAATGGACACAGCATCTTCATGGCTCCTAAGCCATGTTTTCAGGCCTCAAATTATTCATTTGTGAGTCCCTTTCACCATTCATTTCCAATTACTCCATTCCGTTGCAAAATTTTATGCTCCCCATGCCTTACTGTTGCTCATTTTCTTTCATCTCCCACTTCAATGGGGCTTTCCTGCTTCCTTCTCATTGACGCCCCCTGTATCCTCTGAGAAGCCTCATCTGAAAGTCAGGGAATCTTCCCAGTTTCTGCCAATTCCCCCTCCCTTGCCACACCCCAGGCTTTTCCTGGGATCCTTGGACTCTCAGGATATGCTTTAGTGAGAGTGCTGTGTGAAAGGATAGGTAGAAAAGCCCCATTACATGTGTATGCTTCCATTCACACAACTCTAGAACCATCCCACTGTGTTTGCACAACAGCCCTGCAAGGATGCTCACTATCCTATGACCTTCACATTTCACAAAAGAGGCTGAGTGCCAAAGTCGATGTTGCATGTGAGTGCATGTAACACTACTCCAGTTAGGAGTAGTTAGGACCAGAGAAGATTTTGTGGAGGAGGCATAGCATAACCCTTTCCTCACTTGCCACTTTCCTGCTTTAGTTTGGCCCCTGAAATATACTCAGAGTCGCAAAGTGATTTCATGCTCTTTATTCAGCTCATAGTGGTGAGGAGGAATGAATGGAAGTCCCCTCACAGTATCTGCTTTATATACATTATTTACACAATGGGCTGCACATGATTGGCTAATTCCGGAATTCTACTGTAAGCCAATCAGGTTGTGGATTCACTTCTATCTGGAGCAGGATTGGGTGGTTCCTGCCAACCAATCATACTGCTGCATTGTTCTAGAACCAATCAGACTGCTGCATTCTGAATCCTATTGTTCTAGGACCAATCAGACTGCTGCAGTTTGGATCCTATTCAACTCAGTACATAACACCCCTCCCCTCTAAGTTCCAGTCCTGCCCGGGAGGTCACATTCATAGTCCTCAAGGTATGCCGGCGGCCTACGTGTGCGTTGCGGCCTGGGGTGTTCCCTGGTCCGGGCTCCAGGTTCTGGCTCGTGTTCCAAGGATGCTGGCTGTGATGGGGCTGTTTGGTCTGGTGCAACCGGCTCGCTCAGTCGTGGTTCTGGTTCCAGTGTCCTTTCGGCCTCACGGGTCCTCTCTGTATTTACTGATTCTGCCTCTCCTGCTGGCCCCTCCTGCTCTATGGGCCTCACTGCCCCGCTGTTCCCTTGGGACTCCTCTGACCTGTCCTCCTCCTGGTTTTCTCCTGGGAATCGTCACCGTATCTGGTCGCAGTGGCGGCGCCAGCATTGCCCCCCATCCATTAGCACCTCGTACGACACGGGGCCAGTGACCCTGGTGACTGTGGCAGGTACCCATGCTGGGCCTGCCCCAAAATTCTTTGCGTACACTGGGTTCTGGGCCTCGAAGGTCCGGGGGTTCCTGCCTCCCCCCACCACTACCTCTTCCTGAGCTCTATCGGGGTGAAGGCGGTCCAATCTGATTGCAAGGCGCCGACCCATTAGTAGTTCAGCGGGGCTCCAGCCAGTCGTTGAGCTGGGGGTGCTGTGCTGTGCTAGAAGGAATGTGGCAAGGCGGTACTCCCAGTCCCCTTGTGTCATGCGGCGAAGGGTGTCCTTGGTGGTCCGCACCATGCGTTCTGCTTGGCCATTGGTGGCAGGGTGGAACGGCGCCGAACGGATGTGGCGGATGGCGTTCTGCGCTGTGAAGGTTTGGAATTCTCCTGACGTAAATGCAGTCCCGTTGTCTGAGACGAGAGTGTCAGGGAGCCCGTGGGTTGCAAACAGCCTGCGTAGTACCCGGATGGCTGCGGACGTGGAAGTGGACGGTACGAGTGCGACTTCCAGCCATTTGGTGTAGGAGTCCACCACTATGAAGAATGTTTTCCCCTGAAAGGGGCCAGCGAAATCCACATGCAGGCGTGACCATGGTGCTTGGGCGGACTCCCAGGACTGGACTGGGGCCCTTGGGGGATCTGGGCAGGATTCTTGGCAGGCCTGGCAGTGTTTGACCCAGGCCTCTATCTCTCCATCGATCCCCGGCCACCACACCCAGTCCAGGACCCGGGAGATGACCCTATCTTTCTTGGAATGGTGTGCAACTTCTTGTGCCTGAATGGGGCGGTCGGGAAGCAGCTCCAGGCTCATAACCTCTTGTGCAGGTGCTGGGTCAGGGCCTGTTTCCGGTAGTGGTAGCCTGCTGAGGGCGTCCGCATGGCCCATCGCCTTCCCAGGTCGGTGAATCAGTGCATACTGGTAGCTGGCAAGGAAAATTGACCACCTGAGGACGCAAGGAGACAGCACTTGGGGGGTCTGCTTTTTGGGGGCAAACAAGCCAAGCAACGGCTTGTGGTCAGTCACCACGGTGAAGGGCCACCCGTACAAGAAATCATGGAATTTTTTTACTCCCTTCATGATTGCCAGACCCTCCTTGTCAATTTGCGAGTAGTTCCGCTCGGTTGCGTTGAGTGTCTGGGAAAAGTACGCCACCGGTACCTCTCTTCCCTCCGGG